CATCTTCTATCGGACCACTAATATAATAAAACTCTTTTGTTTGTACTCTGCTTCTAGGTATGCCATTTTCAGCTCTCAATTACATGACCAAAATGATTAAATTTCCTGAATATTAAGTATTATAATTGTATGTTCCTAAATAATAAACTAATGGCTCTTCATTCATAAAATAAAGCCTCAATTACATTAAAGCTCCATCCTTAGGAGTTCTACCTTAATCAACGACAAAATAGTGCCATTCTTAGGTTTTCTCATAGAAATTATCTTTTTTTATAGACAAAGTATCATATTTTCTCAATTCTTCATCCTAATATAGTGGAACTCCAAAAGGGATCTTATAAAACTAAGCATTAAGATGAATTACTGTTTCGTTATTGTTTTCAAAGTCAACCTTTTATTTTCATAAATAAATACTGCATAATAAAAGTCAAGCAATATATCTCCCTATTTTTTATTTGTTACATAAAATAAGTTATACATAATAAAAATTGATTGTTCTAATTGATAATACGACAGACCATAATTTTTCTAATAATATGTGAATGCCTATTAATTAATAAATTCATACCTCGAAATAATTTTGCTTGACCCATCCTCTAATTGTATATCTTTAATTGTAGGAAAATAATTGAAAATTTAAGATTTCAAAATCATTCTTCGACAGATTTGGGTCTAATACTCTGAATAAATCAAAATTAAGTATGGTATTTTTCTAATTCTAAAATGGGCATTTTTAAAATAAATTCTCAAAGAAGTTGTCATCATAAAAGAAAGGATTGTATTCTTATATAGTAGAGAGTAGTCCCTTATAATGTAGTAAAGGATTCCAATTATATACAAAGTTTTAGGAAAGATCTGTAAGGTATCCTCCTAAAATAATGGTAATTTTTTCTGATAATAACTAATATTCAAAAGTAAAGAGCTAATCATTGAAGTTTGTGTAAAATCTAATGACATGGTCGACAGATGAATATAGGATTGAAGTATAGAACCAATGATTCTCATATTTACTTGCCTAAAATTGAACTGATGCATGCTGGATAATATCAGAATTTTATTTAAACAAATAAAAATCGTGAGTTAAGCTAATTGGATTATCATTCATATTTAATATTATTGCTGCAAAATTAAATTCATCATCATCAAGCAGCTTTAAAAAGTAGAATCCATTAAATTGACAAACTTCAAATTAACAATTAGGATCGTCAAAAGGTTTATAAAAGATTTCTAATTCCGAATTAATCTAGTTAGAAATGTATTTTGACCAAAAGCCAAACCCTCGTGAATTACCAGAGATTGAATCAGTTTATATTTCTATCTATTTTATTTAAGGCTTTTATTAGCTTTATTCTAAGTTTGTATCATCATCTTCATAATAACATGTGATATCATTTTGTAATTAGCTCAATGAGATTTAGGTTATCCAAAGTAAAATGAAGAAAATCATAAATTAATTTTTTTAAATATGATGCAATTAAATTATTAGTATTTGAAGTATTAAACTTTCTAACTTTTTGATTATGTCTTATTTACAGATAAGAGATATAAATCAAGAAGTGAATTAACATAAAGCATTTATAAATAAAGAAATCCAATTCGTTTAATTTTGAACTATTTAAGTCTACAATATTAATATTTTTGGTTTCTTTTTTAAATATATTAAAATTAGAGAAGAAATTTAATCTTTTTTCTCTTATAGATTCATATTTAAAATTATTTTATAGTTCTTATAATAATTTCATAATTTTTAAAACACAGCTTAACTTAGTTAAATTATATCATTAAATGTTAATAATTTACACTACATGACTAATCAGTTTTCAGTTAATAAATAAAATAGGAATTCATTATTGATTTGTATTTCATTTATCTTATACTTTTAAATATTGTATTTACAATTAAGTATAGTGAATTTCATGAAATTAAGAGAAGAAATTAAACAAAAATTTTAGAAGAACTTTTCTATTTTATCATTAAAACTAGAATTACTTTATTTATGTTTAGAAAATAATTTATCATAAATATTAATGATGAAAGTAATAAGCAGGATGTCTTCATTAATTCTTAAGAAATCTGATGACATGGTTCTTTTTGCACATGACAATCCAATTAAATTAGGCGAGACATTAAAGTTCGGAAATTCATTAGGAGTAGTCATGTCAATTTTTGAAAGAAATCAATTAGCATTATTGTTATAACAATCTGAAGTATTAGAGCCTATCTAGCCTGTTAATTCATTAATGCCATATCCACAAAATGAAATCTGTACGATTGCAGACATAAAGGAATCAAATGAAAATACTGCTGATAGCAAAAAATTACCAAAAAGAACTCTTCCATAGAGTTAAATTTTATCACATAATGTGTATATCGATCTCTTTCATCCAATAACTTATGGACAAATGCTCATCATTAAAGATAAGGAACTTTTGAATAAATTGCAAGCCTTTGATCAGATTATTTATTATGGCAAATCTCCAATCAAGTAAGCAACTTGGTTTAAATATGCAGATAATTAAGGTTCAAATTACTACTTACCAAGATATGCATTACAATACGCCAAAGAAAAAGCGAAAACTCTTAAAACTTTGTTAGTAATGGATCAAATTTATGATCATTGTGTTGCGCATTAAAAATTATAAGAGACAATTCAATCATATGTTTATGAAAGAACCACTAAAACTGTGTACTTGTCTAATCTATTGAAAGATCTCTCAGAATCCTGTGGATACAGACCAGGACATAGCAATCTTACTGTTGCTGTTTTGCAAAAAGATTCGAAAGATGACTTATTAAACGATGAGTTGGAGAAAGAAGTATTATTTAAATGTATTTCAACCATTAGCTAGAATCCTTGTAATCTCATACTCCTACACAAAGCATATCTAAGCCAAGTCCATTCAGTTTGTAAATTCAAAGTCCATTGTATTATCATTTAGCCTAAGAATTATACAATATTATAGCATAACACAACGAAAAAAAATCAGAATACTTATAAAAGCAATAGTTAAAGATTCATATTGATCCTTGGGACTTTTATCAATATTTTGATTGCAAACCAATAGTGTAAATGATCAACTTATTCAACCAGTAGAATGGCTAAGAACACGAGTTAGTAATCCTAGTCGATTTCTCGGTTAAGGCATTCAAAGAAGAATTGATTTGTCAACTCAAAGGTATGTCTATGAGTGCCTATATTTTCAGGTTCCCCTAAGGAAATTTTGGATGATCTTCTCGGATTCTCTTGTTAAATAAAGGAGTTTGATGGAAAGACATTTGCTGAATTTTATTATGAGAAGAAGAATGAATTAGATGGAACTGAATTCAAGAATGTAATAAATGAAAGCTTAGGAAGATTTTATGAGTTATACATGCTTCATTTAAGAATGACAGATTAATTGTTATAATACAAAAAGGATTACATATGAGTGAGTATTGGCATGTATTTTTATTAAGACATATAATAATTAAATTCAAATAGAAATTACTCAAAATTATAAAAGTTACATCTGCAGAACAATATCAATAAAGATTATCTTTGTTGTTCTGATAACGTATGACCATATGATAAGTTAATTTATATTTATTTATATAAAAATTACCCATAAATGTTTGATAATCGTACTTCTTATTTTAATGTTTAAGGGAATAAAGCGAGCTTTAAGTAGAATATCAAGCTGTTTCAATCATTAAGGGCAAAATTATAGTAAGCAAAATCAAAATCCAAAGAACCAATTAGGGGATAACTGAAAACATTGAAAAGATTTGAAGATGTTATTGATGAACCCTAGATGCAATAAAGAGCTGTAACAACTTAAAAGAAATTGACTCATTTAATTGAGGAATAAGAATAAAGACAAGAGGAGATAAACCCAATGAGATACAACCTAATGTAATTACTTGTATTGATGGGAAAAAAGGAACATTATTTTGATAAATTAGGCAAAGATGAATTCAAATTAATAAGAGTAGGTTAAAGATCAAAGGAGAGTGTGGATGAGCACATTTAAAAAATTAAAAAATTTTTAAGCAATAAAGTTCGTTATAAGTATAGAACTAGTTTTAAAATGCAATGTATAAAAATAAATATTTTATCAAGTCTAAATTTAACTAGATCTTTTGAAGTATGTCCCAAAGAAAAAATCAATGACAATTAAAAATAGTCAAAGAGATTATGAGATAGATGAAGATGAGGACACTTCTAAGAAGAAAAAAATAAGTGCAAGAGGTTACTAAGATTTTTCGAATTGGAAGAAAAAGAACAATGTTGCATAAAATCAAAAAGTTTTTATTATAACAAATGGGTATCATGCTTTACGAGATTCTTTATTAGAGAGAAATTGGGCAGAGAATGAGGATGCATATAGTCCATTCTTTGATCTAAAATGGACTTGTGGATTAAGAAGTGATGACTTTTTAAATTTGATGGACTTTTAACAAATCAATCATTTCGATTCCAATCAATGTCTTTGTTCCAAATTTGGTTTGGCTAGAAATATGAGATGTATACCTAATTGGGAATCATTTTTTCCTAGGTGTTACGATTTAGGTGACTTAGTTGATTTTTCTGACTTTATAGAAGACTTCAAAATTTCGAAAATCCATAGTATATTAATGGAATTTGATTAGAATTAATCTATCAATTAGAATAAGAAAGTACTACCAGAACCTCATGAAGAGACCGAACATAAAAATACATTACGATTAAAGGATTTTAAAAATATTACAATAAGAGCAATGGAAGAGAAACCTTAGACATTCATAATAAATTTTAGAGAAAGATTCAAAATTCGTTTGTGCATAATGATTTTAAATAGAGTGGTTTGTTCATTAGGTAGTATGGTCAAAAATATACTGAAAGATGAATTTCCATTTGTTCATCCTGGAGAATGGTTGCAATTGATGAGGGATCCTGAAAATGCTAAAGATGTATAGATTAATGAATAAATTGAAATGATTCTGAAAGCAAATGGATATGAAGACTAAGAAGGAGATAAATTCATATAAAAATATGGTTCTTAAATTAAAGATTTGTTAAAATAATTAAACAGAAATCCTTAGAATTCATTGCAAGGTACAAGAAATATTTGGATTGTAAAGCCTGAATATTCATCAAGAGGAAGAGGAATTAAATGTTTAGATGATCTAAATTAGATTCTGGACACTGTAAATAAAGAAACTATGAATTATGTAGCCATGAAGTACATAGAAAACCCTTTGATAATTAAGAATAGAAAGTTCGATATTCGTCAATGGGTCTTGGTTACTGAGTTGGTTCCACTCAAAATATATTTTTACAATGAATGTTATATAAGATTTTCAGCAGAAGAATTTGACATTGATTAATTTCAAAACAAGTTTGCTCATCTTACTAATAATGCTATTGCAAAGCATTCTTAAAAGTTTTATGAATCAGACATTAAAGGCAATATGTGGACTTAGGAGGAATTTCAACAATACTTAGTTGAATAATATGGTTGGGATGTCTTTGCAGAGAAAATACAATCTAAACTTAAGGAGATTGTTGTTAACAGTTTAAAATGCTGTTGTGATTAGATGAAAAATAGGAGAAGATCTTTTGAAGTATATGGTTATGACTTCATGATTGATGAGCAATTTAATACTTGGTTGATTGAAGTCAATATGTCACCTTCAAGTGATACGACAACTCCAGTGACAGCTTAAATAATACCTAAAATGTTAGAAGACATTATGAAAGTAGTTGTAGACAATCAGAGCAAGACAAAAAAGAAAGTTGGAGGATTTCAATTGATTTATAATAGTGATACTAAATTATAATGATGATTTTGTATAATTAGATATTTAATTTGATCTCAATTCTTTACATGAGTGAAGTGATGAAATGTTTTAACAAACTCATCAGTTTTATGAAATGGTCTAACTTCATTGACTGGCTTAGATTAGTATATAATTCCTTAAGCTTATTTTTCAGAATAAAATGTAATAGGTTTTGCTGTTAAATATGATTCTTATGGTAATATTGATGCTAATTGTTGATCAGATGACAATTAAGGTCTAAATTAGAGTAAGTTAAGTAATCATACTTTTAATAAAATCCCATATCGCTCAATAGATCAACATCTTTTTTATCAGCATTTATTGCAGTTCCATTTTGTGTCCTCATTACTCTTCTTCCAATAGTATTATTTTCTATTGGTTTCTAATAAAGTAAATATTTGTTAATACCTAAATGAATTCAGATTTGCATGTTGTTTCAAAATATCTCTATTATGTTTAACTGAAACTGTCTGCTTCTCGAGAGTCTAATTCTGATTGAATTTATTATAGATATTATTATTCAATTAATTAGGCTTTCTTTCCAACTTTAGGTATTAAATCAGCTCTATTGACAGTCCCCCCAACACTAATTATATATGGATCAATTACTTTTGTGAAGCTGGTTTTGGAATGTCTGGTAAGATTTTACCAAATAACCTAGTTGTTGTATCTAGCTAATTTATTGGTTCCTTATAGAGAGGAATCTCTTCAGGAGGTTTGAGCATTAAATCTGTATGTTTCTTTTTTATATGTGAAGGAACAGGGGCTCTTCCAAAGCCTGTGTCTTCTTTTAATTGTGCTTCTTCGTGCCAATTGGACATCAAAGTTCCAGAAACAAAAGTATTTACTCCTTTGGCTCCGCTATTTGTAGCTTAAGTTTTATTGTAGCAATCCAATTTCGTTTAATTCATATTCATTATTTTGTAATAATTATTAATTAAATAATTTTCCTTATTTGATTTAATATTAATTTTAAATAATTCAGATTATAATCATTAATTTAGAGATTATTTCTGTTCCTTTCAAAAACAGTTGTAATCTTAAAAAACCCTTTCCTTTCTCATTAAGTATTACAAAGAGTATTATCATATATTGCTATATTTACAATCTTTTAGCTATTAGAATTATATAAAATTTTTGTTTCATCTTTTTTCTGAAACAAAAATAAATCCTTTGTTTTATTTATCACCATTAATTAATTATGAATTTGCAAGTCAATTGTATTTTAAAGTAAAAGAATATTAATTAATTTATCAGATGGCCCAAAAAGAATATATATTTATTTATGTTTTTTCAACAGTTCTGCTAAAATTTCCTTCAAGATAGTCTATGTACTATACTTTTAGAGTGATACTTATTCTTTTCATTCTCAAATTAATTTTATCTTTAAAACATACTGGTTTCTTTTAGCAGCATAAAATCAGGCTTCGGCTTAAGGAGATAAAAATAAAATGAAAGTAAAAGCACACAAATCAAAGCCAACAAAAAGAATTCAAATAGAAACTATTGTTAATTTGTTGAAAAATATATTGAAGTGGGATAGACCAAAAGACTATAAAAATTTTTAGTTTTTAAATGTGGTTTGAAATCGATTATAATTATCATTTAGGTTTTTCAAACAAGTAAAAAAAAAGTATCACTCATCCGGATTAAGGGCGTCAAACAGTATTCCATTTATAATAACTAAATATTATGTTTCTTTTTCTACCAATATTATAATATTATACTATTTGGATCATATTACTATGCAACTTCTTCCTTTATTTATAGTGAAGATTCTTTCAGAACTTTCTTGGATTAATGACAACCCATATTTTTATATTATTTAAAAATATTTCTAAAAATGTTTGTTTCTTAAGCAAATATTTACAATTATTGGATTCTTCAACCAAAATGAATATTTTTTAATAACATTCAAATTAAATTAGAAAAAGTAGTCATATTGCAAGCATTCTTATTATTTATAAAGCAATATCGCATGATCTTTGACTATGTCTCTAGATTTTATTATAACATCATTAGAATTAATAAATTTAACAGTTCATAGATTTTAACCTAAGTGAAAGCATGTAAACTTAATTATAAAAATAATATTTTTATTTATTCTAGAAATTTAGACAATATAAAATTTATCCAAATTTTGTCTAGTTTTTCCCTTAATATATATTCAATATAATAAGTCAGGACTATCAGTATAACAAATTTACACAAGTGAAACATAAGATACAATACTGAAAGAATAGGCTTACAATTGGGAGAATGTAGAAGAAAATATAAATTTATAAGATATAAGTTAGCTAAAAAATCATTTGAAATTAATATTAATTGAAAATTAATTAACAATTATTCACTCATCTACTTCTTTTTAAACTAATTTATAAAGTTAAAATAGAATTCTATTATTGCCTTTTATTATTTATTATTTTTAAGAGTGACAAACATTATTATAGACATTCTAAATTCCTTCAAAATTAGGACTTTTGATTTGGATTCCTGCTCTTTATGTTTTTTCTAAAAGGTCTTTTCTAACTTGTAAATTGATAGAGATTAACCCTTCTTAGCTATCATTTAATTCTGCTACTTAATGTTTGATGGATTTGACTTTTTAGAGAAATTCGATTTAGCGATTTAAGTTAAGGGTTTAATTCATTGCATATAACTGCTTTTATTTTTTGAGATAATCATAATCTTGTTTAAATGTTTGTTAAACTTATTCGTTACTTATGTAATAAATATCATTATTTACATCAAAAGCAACTTCATTGATTAAAATATGTTTTGATATTAAACATGATAGACCACTTTTATTATTGCTTTAATTAACCATATCCCTTTATGAGCACATCTTACAGTAATATAGTATGTCTAAACTGCTCTCTTTATTAATTCTAGTGGGATTTTTCATTTAACTTAGGAATTTGAAATTAATAAGTATATTCTAACACATTTTCTTAGCTTCAGCTAAATCTGACTTAGAATCAAGTTCACAATCATAATGGCATATTTTTTAACAATCTGTGCAGAACAAAATCTTTTTCCCTGTAGTTGCTTTTAATACTTTTTTTTCATATTGATTTTCGAATGCTATATAATTTGTAGATGTGATGAGGTTCTTATTTGGTTTTTGTTGCTTATCTAATTAAGGTTAAACACCTAATGAATGCATATCCATTTCCATTTTCAATAACTTTTTAAAATGATTAAGTTACTAATCTTTATCTTAATTTTAAGAATTGAAAATATTATTAATTTTTGATTAAATTTTTAGTAGTTCTTTTCTCATAATTTCATAGTAAAATTATAATATTTATCTTTGAGTTACTTCAATTTCGTTTTCCTACAATATGAAATTTTCAGATTCTATATATGATTGAGTCAAATCAATTCCAACTTCAACAGATGAGCAATTTTATTTGAAATCTTAAAAATTAATATTTCTATGATTGATTAATATATTTTCTGACTCTTGATCTAAATCTAAAGCTGGGAAATATAAGTAATTGTTATTGATACCAAACCAAAACTTCAATTCCTCATTAGGCATTTATTTTTACTCAATTTGACTTTGATATTGGTTCATTTGATTTTTCAATATTTTAGGAGTGGGTGAGTTATTATGTGAATAGACACTAAGAAGTGGGTTATTATCAGTACAAAATGTTAAGATTAAAAATATCCTATTAGAGAATGATTTGTGGAATAATTCAAAAAATCTTTGTATCGTATACACTTCTTCTTATCCCAATCTATTGATTGAAGCTGAGTTAACAAAAAATGCTGCAATGATTTCTTTATCTTAGACATATTCTAGTAAGACTTAAAAAAAATTGATTTTGCTATCCTGAAATATATCTTTTTCTAAATCTCCCATACCTATAAAATCTACAAAAATCAAATGGTCCTGTTTTTTCATTTCAACTAGGTATTCATCATAAAATAAGCCACCCTTATTTTTACTTTGCTTTTTCACTCTATATAAGCTATCAACATCAACATCATAGTAAATATTAATTAAATTAAATAGAAACGAAGTCTTGCCAGTTTTTTAGGGTCCTAATATTAATACATATTTATATTTCTGGCCTGCTATTGGTTATATGAATGGCACTTTAAATAGAGCTAGCTGCTTTATGTCTTAATCATAACTCAAGTCTTCAATTTCTTTATTGCTTGGTCTTGGGAAATCATATTTACATTATCCTCCCAGCTCTCTAATTAAAGTATAAGCTTCTCTCAAAGTAAACCCTTTGTCTAACAAATCTCTAGGAGAGTAGCGCAAGAATATTTCTATAGATGAAATGCCTCCAGAAAATAATTTAACAATCAAATTAAGTAATTATATTTCTCTCTTTTAATCAAATCTCCTTCTATCAATATTAGCAGATACTATATTAATCAACTATGATATCTAATTTTACATTTAACTTGGCAATTAATCCAAAATTTGACTAGATCCCTGATTCATACTATACCTGAAATTAAAACAATAAAAATTATTATGACTAATATGAATTTCTTTAGGTAAAACCTTATTTTTCCAAATTCTTCAAGGGAATACCAAAACTATTCATCTTAGAATTCAGGAAAAAAAGAGAAAACTCAAATTTAATTTAACCCAACTTTTATCTATTCAATTTTTGCTTGATTAATTATCATTAAACTAAAATAGTTTTTATATTTTATGCAAAATCCTTAGATTACAAGCTCTGTATATTTTCCAAAACAATCTTACTTGAGCAAATACAAAGGATTTTAGGAAATGAAATAATAGAAATTTCATAGTCCACAGGAACGGAAATTTAAAGAATGGAATCAAAAAAATAATTAAACATCTGATTTTGAAGAAACAATAGTAATAACTAATTCAGCCAAATAAATAATTTCAAAACGAAGGATTACTTTTGAAAATTAAATTAATAGTGATGAGGAGTCGTATTTCTAAAAAAATGAAGGTTCACTTTCTCATCGATACTTAGCAAATAGCTAAATGTTGAAATAATAGAAATAATTATTACCTTCACTTCCATGCTAAACTAATCTTAACTATATCAAACCTTAAGCAAGATAGTTATTTGCCAAACCATTTATTAAAAAACAAAAAAGTCTTGATCATGTAGTTTAAATATGCTATTCAAATAAATAATTTGCTTAATTAAAAGAAGGTGCGAGTTTAAAATGCTTGTTCAAAACTTTAGTTTTTAAGGAAGAGAATTATGATAAAATATTAATAATTTAATTTGAAAGTAATAAATTATCTATAAATTTAGATCTTTTATTAAAAAGATCATGTTCTTTTTGGGAAAACCAGAATGAAGTAACTAATTGTGGTATCAATTTAGGAACAAACAATTAAGAATAATGTGAGAATTCCTATTGCATTTGTAATTTAAGGAGAGAATTCAAAAATACATTAAAAATGTACATCCATTATATTAAAAAAGATTGTCAAAGGCTTTCATAATAATTTTCTTGGTATAAAATGCTAATTTTATGATAAAATGGCATAAATATCTGTAGGAATAAAATTATTACTATGATGCATTATACTAAATTAGAATAGCAAAAGATGTTCACATTGGTGGCATATAATTGAATAAAGTTTTTAATGATTTCTAGAAATTTAAATTATCTAAAATAATTTACTTTGATTCAATTGATATATCAAATTCATCCAAATTGCATCCCGAAGACTTATAGTATAAAATACCAATAACTAATTTCAACTTAGAAACATCGATTTTTCTATTTAAGAAAAATATACAATAAAAGTAGTTTGATTCGAATTTGCTATATAACTTATCCATGGCATTTTTTTAAGGCAAGGAACATGTAATAAGCAAAAAATAAGTTTATTTTGAAAATATCGATTTACATTTTGTATTTGAATATTATTCTTCCTAAAATTAAATTAAGAAAACTATCTAATTAAGAAAACTTAATGAGTTAAAACAAAAATATTAGAGCATATTACATACATTAAATTAATCTCAAAATATACAAATTGAAAAGGATGAATATTTAATTTAGTGGATATCAGCAACAAGGAATGATTTTATAAACGATTTTAAAATGAAAAAGAATGAAAGAGTTCCTCAATTCTATTTTACAATAGGAGATGTTATTGTTAGGAATTAAAAATTAAAATGGTAACATTTTAGTTATAAGAGTGAAAAATTATAAATTGGATACGAACATCTTTGTAAATAGATAACTAAACTAAATTAGGATCATGAAAATTTTGAAAAGCATTAACATTCAATAAAAATTAATTGTATTCTTTGTATTGAATGATATTTCTATATACTTTAGCTATATTAATTGTACAATTAATATTATTTGCCTTATTTTAATAAATAAATCAAAATAATTTCTTTTAAAATTTTTAGAAATAAACATTCGGGAAGAGCAAATAGGGCATAAATTTAGAAATTATGTCGTCCCTACTTCTTAAATTTGCTACATATATCATTTTATCATCATTATGTTCTGGATAGTAATCTGTATATGATTTCTTTTACTCAAAATTTTTCAACTCTTTTTTCTCAAACTTTTTGAAATTTTTGTATTTCATGATCAAAAATGATATTGCCTCTCTGTCTTTTGGAGGCAGATTCTTATAATTCTTTAATTAATAGTATCTTTATTTCAATTAATCTTCAATTGCATCGTTAATTATGTTATCTTATTCAGGATCATAATTAATAATCTACTGGTTATTTTATCTCACATAATCGATTGGATTTTAAGGTCTTCCTATTATACTTATTGAATGCTTTAAGCCTTGCACTTAATTGAAATTAAACGGATCATTAATATTCATTTAAGAGTTTTTTCGAGACGGTGCTGCAGGTGAGGAATGCTATATGATAATTTTAGGGATTTAAATAAGAGTTTTATCTTCGCTTTATGGTTTTTCTTAAAAGTCAAAATGATATTTCTTGTAATATTCATTTTAAATCTTCTTCAAAATTTCTAGATCTAAAGTATTATTACACTTTCTGGTTTTTCTTGTAAATTTGGTTCTCCTTTATTTGTGATTGAATTAATATCTTTTAATGATAAGATCTTTTTATGGTATATAATGCAACATAGGACAGTTAATAATTGAATGTGAAGGTGATTGACATGATAAACATTATTCATCCCAAACAATTTCCGAAAATTGTATTCCATCTCTTGTTTTGCAATAGAGTTCGAAATCTCTTGGAAATTCTTTAAGAAGTTGCATAAAATCATATCTACAAATCATTAGTAATTTCGAAAAGCCAACACTCTTATAGATTTCATTAGTGGGTATTCCTAAAACAAAGCTTTTAAGTCCAAAAGTTTCCCCTACCATAACTTACTTGATTTGAATTTTATTTTATCCCTCAGTACATACCGAAATTTCCCCTTTTTCAACATAACATACAAATTAATCTAATTCTTTACGAAATTCATTTTCTGGCAATAAATCAACAACACTTATTCGTTTTGATAAAGCTTTTTAAAATGGTCTACTAAATTAAGAAAAGAAGGGCATTTCTCTAATAACTTGTGTGTTGACCTACCACATTAATTGTTCTTGTAGTTTTTCTGACAATTGATTTATGATGGCTTTTTCTTCCATAGTTTCCTCTTCTTGCTGTTACATCCAATATTGTTTCAAATACTATCGAATTTATTCTTGGAATGCATATGGAATTCTTTTTTTGTGTAAATAAGTATTAATGATTCTTATATTCTTTTTTTATAATTCTGTTTACGAGGTGATTTCTGAAATTACATTTCCGACTGTATTAATAGAGTATGGCAATTGAACACTGGACACCATAATTAGCAATATTGCTATAATTCGTTCCTCGTCACTTTTTGGTGTGATATCTCCATAACCAACTGTAAACATAGTGACACATGCATAGTAAAATGATGACAAATACTGAATATTCCACGACTTATCCAACAGATTTCGATCATCTATCCAACTATCATCTCTATATAGTTCACTAAATTGACCTCCCTAAATAAATTAGTAAATAAATTACCCAAAACCAAAGACACCCGAAAATGTGGATCACATAAAATATTAACAATGTAAATTTGAATAGTTATAATATCGACGAAGCCTGTCTGGTGAAGTTTAGAGCCATTTCATATTATTTTCCTTTGTTCTGAACATTCTTATAATGTGATAAAAATAGTAATAGAATTAGGTAATAGGGATTTTGATTGATGTCTACTTTAGTATCCGTTGAGGCGGAATAGATGAACAGTATAAAAACTATAAAAGTTGATATCCACTCCAAACCAAACGACTACCATAATACGTTTTTAATTATTTAAATTCTTTTAGTAACAATTTAGCCAGCTTCATAAAATACAGTGTTCAAACTTATAAATAGATCCACCAATAATATAATTATCATTATCAAAGTGCTTATGAAATAATTGCCAAATAATAATTATTCTTGAGTCCAACAGATGTCAACTGGAATCATGTATAAAAAATAGAGTCTTGCGATTGTGGCTAAGACATCCCATATAGTTTTGTATAAGCTTTAAGGATATATTAATGGAATTTTATTTATTTTCTTTGCAATCCATGAATATATTGGATGACAATAATTACTTAAATGCTTTTTAAGCACTTTATTGTTCTCATCCACACTTTGTATCATGGCTGAGTATTTTTCGTTCAATATTCTGTAATGGTATTCTTTAAAATGGATTTGAAAAAATTTCCGAGCTAACAATCGATCTATAAACATTTTGACATATTTGTTCTTGGTGGCCAGGTTTTTGTAGATGAGCTTCGATTGAAAGTCCTTTGTTGCTTATCTCGTTAGGAAACTGATCATCCTGTGTTTTAAGTTACTTTGCCTAGAGCTTTCGGTAACGTAGAGACTTTTCACATTTTTATTGAGAAAAGACTCTCTGCCATCCTGATTCGAAGATTTAATATCCTATCTGCATGAGCTATACATTTTATAAATTGATAATCAAATTAAATATATCAGATCATTATGCTAAGAATAATCTTTTTGAATGAAATATAAATACAATAATGTAAAAAAAGTGATATTTTAATATCAATCATATGCTCAATTATCTTTTTCAACGAAGCTTCCCCTAATAGTAGTATTCTTGGCCTATCTGATACGATCAAAGAGAGTGAAATTGGTTTTAGTTCTTTTCATTTCTCTCATATCAAATTCCTGTCTTTTTTCGTTTTATTTTTCATAATAAATATTAATCCTATCTATTACAATTTCAAGGTTGAAATCAGGAAAATAGAATTTCGACGACTTGGCATTGTCCATATCCATTTCAAAGTGGACTCGAACTATGTCTTGTATTCTCTTCTAAATTCCATCCATTGATTAGCCCACATGCACACTATTGCTATCTCCATTGTTATCATATTTGTTGTTGGAATCAACCAGAGCTGAATTACTAGGTACTCCAGCCGTATACACACTAGAACTATAGGCTTCATTGTTTAGAACACTTTTTTCTGCTTTCTTATTTGATTTATTATCAACTTCCGATTGTTGGAAGAACTATAATAACTATGTGGTTTTTCTCCTTTTCTTCCTACGAGTGACTTCAATACTTTAAAATGTAAATTGAACAAATACTTGCTGGTTTTCTTGGAAATGATACTATTTTCCCTTGCCTCTATTCTTTGTTTGATTTCAATTTCCTATGAATAAGAGGGAGGTGATTGATCGAAATTAGTCTCACTTCCCTTACTAACTTGCTTTAATAAATGGTTCGCTTTATTATCTAGTTAATTTAAATATCAAATGAAAACCTAGATGCTAATTAGTGCCACTATCAAATTCTAGCCATGATACTTTTCTGATTCCTATGTTTGGATTGTTATTGAGTTTGCTTTTGACTACCTTCAGTTTGCTATGTATATAATTTTGTGATCCTGCATTGGCATTTTTAATTTTATCTTCCTCTTGAATCAAAGATTCATCCAAGAGATCAACTGGCCCATTGTTATTTTGATGATATTTCCCTTTCAATGATTGGAGAGTCTTGCCTCTATCTAAGCCTTGCAGTTTTATTCTATTAAGACTCCTTCTAAATTGACTGCCCTGATCCCAATCTAAGACGCTTTCCTAATAATCCATAAGACAGATAGTTTTACATTTGTCATACTAGGCCGTTGACCATCTTTGAGAAAGATTGCTGTTTGATTTTAGGACTTTTGGTCAGCAGGTAACACAGTCTATATTGAAGGTTATGGAACTGGCTATTAAAGATTGTTTTCAAATTAGGACAATATTTTCTAATCTTTGAATAAGGAATTCTTCTTATTTCCAACCAACTTCTATAGTTCATCCTCCCTATCATTCAACTCAAAACCGAGATTAATCAGATAAGTATCATTTATTTCTCTTGAATATTTATCAATTGTACCTTTCCGGTATTATATTGTTCAAGACTATATATCCCAATGCTGCTTCTTAGACATCAGGGAGATTATTTTTCCAATTCGATTTCGGCAATGTCCTATAAGGAAATACCAATCGTTTATTAGTTTTCGTTTAAGCAAAAGAACTGGCGATTTTATTTTTGTTCGGTTACAGAAATACGAATGGGCATCTATAGAAATATTACAAATTAGACTTACTAAATAAATCGATGAGTCCATCCGCATATTTCGCAGATCTAACCAAAACCCTTGTAATTGGAATTAAATAATAGATTGTCTTTAGCCAAACAGTACTTCTCGAATTCCTCGTTGTTCTCTTATAGAATTAGATAGAATTGCTAATAACTAATTCAAAATGAATTCAAAATAATACTCCACAACTAATAATTGAGTAAATTTGGTTGCTCTGGCATTGTATTCATAGGGTGTTTGCGAAATGAATTCTCGTTCTCCAATGACAGCTCTATAAAATGATGTTGAGTATTATATATTTACCCTTGAGTTATCTTCTTCAAGAAGGTTTCAGTGTAAAAGTGTTCATCCTCATCTAAAAGCATTACTTGACATTTATACTTTAATGGTCAGCAACATATTCCACCGCACCGGATAAAACAAACCAAAGTGCTTTTGGAGAATCGTTCCTCTAGAATAGTAATTATTCAGGATATAATTTGGTTTCTTTAACTACCTAACACAACCTATGGATAGTTTCATCACTAAAGTTCTCTCTCAAGAAACGTGATTGAGTCAATGTTTTACTGTAAATATCAACCAGAACCTCTTCTCTTAAATGTTTTGTTAATTACTCAATGAATTATTCGGCATGTTGATCTTCCTCTTACTTAACCTTGAAGAAATACTCGAAATATTTTTTAACCTAAATTGATTCCAACTGACTACCTTTAATTGCAAATTGTAACTCAACCCTCTCTTTCTAATATGTTGATTGATTTCCCTAATTCTCTATTTGTAAATAGCCTTTTTATCAGATATTTATTTAAAGATGTTTCCAATGTTGGATAAACAATAACCAAAAACACCACAAATCAACAAAGTAACAACTATCACAAACACTCTCTCCACTGTTGTAACTGGAACAATATCACCATATCCTACGGTAACGGTTGTGATAACACTCCAATACAAAGAAATGATGTATCTATCAAACCAATAGTAATCCATAGCATTAGGATCATATTTAGTCAACCAAGTTTATTCCTAATTATAATTTTCATATTCTATCACTGCAACCCAATGCCATGCACATCCACAAAAGTGTCCTGTGAGCAAGAGGAAGAATATCAATTTTAACAAATCCAAAAAGACTTACATGTTATCCTAATTCATAACTTTGAATATATTACTTCCAAATTTAATACTTCTTCGATACTTGTCATTAATGGAGTCAATCTCGTTAATCTCAATAACAATGTATATCTAACGAATGGGATATCCATGTTTGAAATTAAAAATGGAATTATGACTATTAAATCCCAGAAAAAGTTCCCCTTCACATAATGCTTCATTATCTACTTGCGATCTTCATGCATCAACCCTTTATCGTAATAGGCAGTATTGAAATTCAACAATATCTCAGCAACAAATACCCATGAGGGCAATAAATCAAAAATCCATTCGAAAACTCCTTATGATCTCACATCGAAACTAATGTAGATGGGTATGTAGAAGATGTTCACCACAATAAATAGCAGTAATACTATATCCCATATTATTTTGAATAAACTATCAGGTTTTATTACTTTCACATATTTTCCAATGAATGCATTTATTAATTCTATCCAATTTAGAAGCTTAAGAGCTTTATTTTAAATTTAGTCAAAAATAATTAAACTGATACTAGGTTTTTATTTAATTAATCTATTTATTAACATATATTCGAAATTTGCACTGTTATCGCAAATTACCTCAAAAATTCTTTTAGTAATTAATCTGAACTTTATTCTTTCTGTCTTTGTTTTTAATTGTTGTATAAATCGAGAAACCAATCTAATAATTATTAAGGCTTTTTAAGTCCAGACTTCATTTAAACTAAAATTTACTACGAAATCAATACCCTGTTTTCATCTCTTTGCTTCTGCCTCTCTATATCAATGATTGCTATTTTATAGTGTCTCTGTGAACTTATGCTCGCTTTGTTCTTTCGTTCTGCTCCTGCTCATCTTCTATCTATTACACAAACGTCTAATATTTTGCTATCTTAGCATCGGATTTCAATCCCAAATTGATTGTACCATTGATCTAAAGTGGAGATGATATCACAAAGTCATCTTATTCGAATTTTTATTAATTTTAAATAGTTTTGTTAGATTTAATTATTGTAGTCTTTCTTAATAGAGGTTATTAGGATTTCAAATTGCAACTTATTGAACTTATAGAACCTTAAGGTTCGCTCCTTTTACCACTTTAATATCAAATCTAAATACCTTAAATTACTCATTAGACAGTCCTCCTCATTCACATCAGCCTTGTGGCCTAGATTTATGGCATTCTTGTGACTGTTATCAAATATGTCCCTCTTCATCCTCACAGCTTCTAGTTACTACAATTAAGAAAACTCAAGTGTTGGATCTAATTGCTAACCTCCAATAGGACTAGCCTAATCGATATCAACCAATTGCCCAGATGAGATGTTATTGCTCTGAATTCCACTTTCCAAATCCTAGAATCCAGTGTCTCGATTAATCATTAATTTATATTATTAAAAATTAAGTAATAATTATAATAATACTTGTTTTCATGAATCATTATTCCTAATTTCTATGTAAGACTTCAACAACTCAGTTTAGGTTAGGTTATACACTATTAATTTTTATATCTTCCCTCGAAAATCGTTATCATAAAAGTATCTATCTACCAATCCTTCAATGTGTGCTCCAACATCCGTGATATACTGACTCTTAACCACATTCGTTGTCTTTAGTAGATGTACCTAATTAATATACAATCGAATTTTACAAGCGATGTAGCGATATCATCACTCACTTTTCCTTGGTTATTTGAGTTCACAAGCATCACTGCAAAGGATAAACAACCAGCAGATATCTCACTTTAGTAATAGATACTCTGTAGTTTGTAATCGAAACAACACAACTTCAATGTAAAGTAAGCTATCTCAATTATATCATTCTCCTTATCCTTTATCTTACTCAAATATAGTCTTAATAATAAAGTTAAAAACAAAAAACCATTAGAAAAGTTAAGTTAATGATCTAAACTTTCAAAAATTTCTAACTCTCTCTACAAAATCTTAGTTCGAGCCAATCTATTATGTGAAATATCTATTGCTTAATCTAATCTTAAAGGTATAACATCGTTAAACTTTGATGCCAGATATATACAACTCACACCTGTTAAGTGGAGATTATCTTTAGTAACACTATCATCTATTATTAAAACTTACTTTAGAGTTATTTTTTAATATTCATCCAAAATAGAACAAACTATGAAAAATGTTGAATAATTCATTGAATATGCCTGTGTGATCTCTACCAACCAATTCAAAAACCTAATTCTCTCTTCATCATCCAAACCCTTGGGGTCTATAAATAAGTATTCGGTAGGCTTATTTTGTTTTTCCAAATAACTTTAAAGTACTAAATTATAAAATTCATCAGTTTTCCCATTCTTCTAAATAATCATGCTTAAATCTAGTTTGAACTCCAATGGACTATGGATTTCTTCTGGATTTTCTATTTCGTTTTGATTCTCTGACTCTGTTGGCTTTTATTCTATTGCACAAGCTAGCTCTCCTAATTAGGCGACAATTGCCACCTTGTCCGATTTCACTGATACGCCAGAACTGAAATCGGAAACTGAATCACTTGCAATGATGGAGGAGGATTGCTTTGATTGTTTTGATTTCATTTATTTAATTTTTAAAGGCATTCAACCGCTCAATAATATAAATTTTATATCACAGTACAAATTAAAAATTAATTTCCAAGCTCCTATTTTCCTATTATTTAATAGAACTCTACTATCCCTTCTCTTTAATTCTCAAATTCCATTCCTTCAATAATTATTTATTACTTTGTCTTTCAACCGAATTTCGCTTCGAGGAGTAAAAATACAAGATTACTTTTTATTTTTAGATTACTTTACTATTTGATAGCTGATTCATTCGATTTTGATATTATAGTGATTTTTTTGGATTTCAAATATTTAATTAATAGATGTGATAAAGTTATTATTTTTTAGATGAATTAAAAAAATAAAATATCTCTTTCAAAAAGAATGAAGTTAGCAACAAGAGAATATCTTGCATATTTTTAATTTTTAATGTTGAGAGATAACTTTGAAGTCACTCTAAAGAGCATTTTATGGTTTCGATTCCTTTATATAATTAATACTATACAAGTTGTTTAATTAATTAATGGCTAAAATGTGTAAAATATTCATATTCAAAATTAGCTTCATTTAAGAAATGCTAACCAAATATAGAATAAATCTATTAATTTATTTTGGGAACAGCAACTATTTGATTTTTGCCTACATCATTATTTTAAGCATTTTTTTTCATATAGCTACTACTAAATTTTTAATCAAAATGAAAATTTCAGTCCATCAATGTATTGGTTCCTTTGTTGTTTAAACGATATATTACATATTGTCTATGCCAATAATTTTGAACTCCCTGTATGCCATTTTAAATTAAGATCAATACGCCCATTTTATTTTGTTCCTCTTGAATGTTTTATTGAATGTCATGTATATTTACTTCAACTGCTAAACAAGTTTTTATTAGATTGACGGTAGTTTTTCAAGATAATCAGATGAAATTATTATCTATCTCTTTCGAATTATTTTATGCATATTAAAGATCAAAATACCTATAATCGAATTGCAATTCACAATAATACTCCTTGAATCAATTTTGTTGACTATATTTTAAATGAAAAATACTGAATCGAATAGTCATTTTATTTTAAATTTAAGAATATTCCTATTAGTATTTGGAATAGCAGGGATAGCCAAATTAGATTGGATCTTTATATTATTACTCTACGTATTCCTTAAGAATATTATACAATCTTATAAAAATAGAGTTTAAACTAATTAATTGTTTATCGATAAAAATTAAGGTTAATTAAAATTATTGATTTCCTAAATTGTAAATTATAATTAAAATGATGAGACTTTTAAGCTTATACTGATTTAAAGATATTTTAAATTGAAGTTTTCCAATCTACAACCAAATCCTTATGATGATGTTAAGCTCTAAGATAGATTAATGATAGAGCGATATTTTTAACAGAACATATATAAGTTGTATTTTCTATTGTTGTCATAAAATTAATAAAAAATGAAATTTTTAGATTTTGTATTTGTGAAAGCTTACACTTATTTAATTTAACAAGAATGCTAATCGAAATCTAAGAAAGATTAATAAGACAACTCATGGCTAATTCGAATTTTCGTATAATAAGAGACCAACTTTGATATTTTGGAATAAGCTAGAATAACAAAGTTAATTTATTTTTAAAACTTAATTAAGACAAATATCAATGAATCTAAATATTTTAAGATGATTAAAAATTAGACTTCGTAATTTTGTATAAAAATGTAAAAATTAAAGAAGAAACTTGAGACTAACATTGATTTAAAATCCTAAACTCTTTAAAATTCTGATATTGTTGATCTTAAAACCATTTAAGCTATTTAAAAATACTACTATGTCTTTTATGGTGACCATGAGAAAGTATCACAAAAATCTAATATATTAGGCTACTCAAATTGGAATGAAGGCTAAGGATTAATTAGGGTGGGATCGTAGTTTAAACAAAAAGTTATAAAAAAGTAAAAGTTTTCATTCGATATTTAGATTAAATCTTTCTAATTTAAGTAAGTTATTTATAAAAAAAATGGAAAATTTTGAACCCTAAAGCAAAATATTTGGAAGAATATTTTAAAAATCAATATTTGGATAATGTTTTGGATCTATTTCCATAATTTTTAAGGGGACATTATGAATAATAATTAATTAATTACGTAGAAACTGAATTTGTCGACAAATATCAATTAAAGACTTTTATATTGAAAAATAATTATATAATTTCTTGTAGAATTTCTTTTTATCACGAAGTTTTAGATAATGACTTAATTATCAACAATGTAATAGAGATTGAAGATAACAATAATTTTCTATTATTTGATTAATTTGGCAAAATTTTTGGGATTTCAGAGTAACTCTTCTATGAACTTTAAAAACTTGATGAATATTCTACCCAGGAAATAAATTATTCAACCTTCCTCGATAAAGCAATGATATAATTTTATATTCCAGGCATAGAATATTAAGTTCTTTAACTTACTTCATTTTAATAATGTAATTAAATTGAATTTTAATCATACTTTTCCAAAAACCTTAACCTTGATGATTGCTTATAGTTGAAAATAAATTTCAACTTATCAGAGGAACTTCTACCTTCGATTAAACGTAGTTCATCATAGAATTTTAGAAAAATAATTCAAGATGACAATCAAACTTAAAAGAATAAGAAAATATAACTTTTGAATCCTAAATTTTCGATGTAGTTTGAATAAACCCAATAGTGTCTAAATTAAGATTAAAATATATTTTCTCAGAATTTTCAATTAGAATATATTCAATTAAATAATTGTGATTATTATTATTTTATCCTCCATTTTTCTGATTTAAAAAATAATTTGGAAAGTTAAGATAGGAGTTTGAAATTAGAAACAAAGACAATAAGCAAGAATCGTGTTATTGAAAATAACATAAATATGTCAGTTATTGAATAAATAATAGAAAAAAAGAAAATATCAAGGAATTTAAAGCTGTAAATAATGCTAATAATTATTCTTATCGTTTATGTGGTTTGTAGTATTTTTGTCAACAAATAGTCAGGAAACAGTGAAATCAAATCTTATTAAACTTCAATTAATTTCTTAATCAATCCTTAAGCCTTAACTTTCTCATATGCAGGATCATTTCTTTTATAGTGGAATAGATACTGTGTAGAAAGTGGTTTATATAATATGTCTTAATATATAGAATTTTAAAGGCAATCAAAATTAAATTACGCTTTTACATTATGGAAAGGTATACATATCAATTATACTTTGAATCTAAGTAAAAGAAGCAGAGAATTAGGGATGGAAATGGTTGATGTAATAGAATATGACAAAAACAATAATAAAATCATAACTCAAATGGACTATTATTCATTTTATACTATATCCAGAGAAAAAATGGTTAGAGTATAGAAAAATACTAATTATTCAAATATTTCAACTCATGACTATTCTATATTTAAAGCAAATGGATTTATTAGGCAGAACATTTTGACTATCTTTAAATTTCATGATATAGTGATAAATGATGAAATTGAATATTTGAAACAAAAAGTAGAATTCTCTCAAACAAATTTTTATTTGATAGAAATAATTTAGATAGGTTGTGCAAATGTACTTTCAACTGCTCTCATTTTTTTTATTTATATACAAGTCAAATTAAAGAATAGAATATTCTTTTTATTATCCTTGATAGAGATTAATTCGATAAAAGCTTAGATAATATAAACAAAAGAGTTATCTTAGTTTACAAATTATTCCTCAAAATCGAAGAAATAATATTTAATTAATAATAAAGATTCAACTGAAGATTTTTAATAATAGAAAAATAACCATACAATTTAAAGATTACAGAATATTAAATTCTCTACTAAATTGTATTTAATTATACCGATTGTATTTATGGTTTGTTATGGTTCATAAATGATTGGAGCCTATTATTACAGAGCATTTTACTATAATAATTATAAGAATTCATTATTGATGACAATGAATTACATCAAATTTAAGAAGCTATTTGATAGTTCCATCTTACTTGGTGAATTAATTAAAACAGAACATCTAATACCATCAAATCCTCATTATTTAATTAATGAAACTGAAACTGTAGAATTATATTTGATGTATGCTGACAATTCAACTGATTTGTTTAATAAAATACTGGATGATTTAATCGTATCAGATTATTTTAACTATACAATGAAAAATCTAATATTAAGTGCTTTTAGAAAGGATTTGTGTTTGAATTTTACAAGATTTCTCGTCTTTTGTAATATAAGTTAGATTAAACTACCTTACAAAGCCAGTGATTCTTATTTATCCATCACATAAAATGGTATAGGGGGAGTAATATAAAATTACAAAAAGATGGTGTAATAAGATTATTTTATAGAGAGGTAGACTTTGAAATATTCAAAAAACAATACTTAATTTATTAATTCTTAGATTCACTAGAATTTCTATGTTCAATATGCCTAAGATATTTAATCATGCTTTTTCACTTGTTTTAGTTACTTCATTAATGAAAGCATCTATTTAAGTGATCTATTTATTGAAGCGATGTCAGATTACTTTAACTTAACTGGAATAATGTAATTATTTCTAAATTATTTAAGTATTTTGCTACTATATATTCTATTCTCTGGGTTTTGGATCGTCTATCAATATTTACAGATACATTAGATAAAATTTGTTTTACTCTTACTTGAACCAAAATTAGTATAGAAAAAAGGAATTCATCCAATGTTAGTGAGAATTATGAATTAAATATGATTAAATATTGTAATAAAATTCACTTACATTTCTATTTGCACATTTTGAAAATTGTAAAAAAATTTAAAATCTTTTATAATGACTACAAAGCAAAGAGAAAATTTTATTTTGAAATTAAATTATCTATTATTTGAAATGCTTGAAAAAATTCCTAGTTTTCTTTAGAAACTGATTGAAAATTATCTAGATTTCTTTGCTGCTGCCTGCTACTAAAGAAATCAATTAGCTGTGTAATTGTTCAGAATAGCTGTGATAATTAATGGATTACAAGAATTGTCATTAATGGAAGACAACTTACACTAAAGCGACACGATGTATTTAGTATTTCAAATTTTCTAGACTATTCTATTCCAGTCTAAAAGAATCTCTACCTACAACTTAATTAATTCGATATGAAAGCAAATCTACTCTATCAATACTTCTAATCACACACATCATCATTAATTTCTTAATATTTGTGAACTTATTTTTTATTAAGAAACAATCATATTTCCATACAGTAACTTTATCTATAATATTGGTTGAAAACTACATTCTTTTGTATCCTACCCTTAAGGCAATTTTTTATTTTAATAAATTATAAGCAGACTACGAGATTTATTTAATTTCAATTTTTAATCTAATAATGTACGTGCAAATTGCAATCACATAATACTCTTGGAGATAAACTAAATTAATTGATTTATAAGGTTTGGTAAGAACAAACAATCTTAAATTAGAATTGCTATCTCATTTGATTCTAATGTTAGCTGTTGGGTTTAATGAACTATCAAAAATTGGGTCCTACATATTGATAATGATTAAATAAATAATTAAATTAGGATTGAGTTTTGATTAGTATAACTAAAATAGTTAATTCATGCTCTATTAAAATGTAACATAAATCATATTCATGACTGTATTGTACTTCAACATCAACATGATTTACACCCTATTAATTTTTGCATTTGTAATATAATTAATACATAAAGTTTAATCCCTTTTATTTGAGAATCATTTAATATAATTTGAAATATCCCTCAAGAAATGTTAAATTTATGAACTAATATTTAATTAATCTGAAAATACATCCAAAATTCTTTTATTGTAGTCCTTATTATAAAAAAGCTTTTAACAAAAGTAAAAGAGTAAAACCAAGAAAAAGTAGACAGATTTCCTTTTTACCAATCAATAGGATATCCTACAATAGTTGATCAGATAATCCCATTTTAAAAAGAAGATGTTGATTTAAATTTTTTGTAATTACGACCTTCAAAACAAACCTCAAAAGACACTTATTTAGTTTATGAAATATTATAAAGTATAGAATATATACGATAGAGCATATGGCAAAGCATTATAAAAGCAATTAAATTACATCATTAATTAAAATTAGTCATATTTTAATTCAAGAGTTTAGTCCATAAATATGATGGATAATGAAACAACGGTGTAAGCATTAATTAAAAGTGAAAATGCAATAGATTGTATCCAAAAAGTAGTTTAGAGTAAGATTTCTTTGTTAGAATCACTTCGAAAAGGGTTTTAGTAATAAATTGAAATTTTAGATTAAGTTGATGATTACACTAACAATATCTTTAAATGCAGAAATTTCATTTTATAATCTTATGATTTGAAAAGATACAAATTGACAGGCTGTTAATGTACTGATATTCTTAGTTTAAGAATCTTATAAATGTATTTTGGAATTATTTTGAATGATATAAAAGAAGTATTTACTTATTAAAAATTAGAGTAAAGTTATTGAAAAGTTAATTGAAGACATAATAAAGGCTGACAAAATACTATAAGATACAACAATAAATAATCAAATTTTACTATAAAGTATATGATTCATATATTCAAATTAGATCGATTTATGGTATTGAATACTAGCTTAATCAATTAAAGAGGAAAGCTGATCAATTGTAATAAATAATAGATCTCTTAATTTTTTGGATGTTCACAAGAAATAATGCAAAATTACTAATATATACATGAATTTATGCCTGACTTTATTGCTTAGATTCATGATGAATTAATTGATTAGTTTATTGATAACGGATACACATAATTGATGAAAAGTGGCAAACTAACTTTCATTTAGGATCCATAAAATTATCTAATGCCAATTTATATTCATTTGTACAATCCAAATATTTAAGATGATTTCACCTTATATTCTATATTGACAACATAATTCTAATAGTAAGACTATGTGATTTTTGATTCAGAAGGAAAAATTTAAGGAATTTCTAAACGATTTTTTGAGTACACAAAACTATCAAAGTCATTCGCATAAGATATAAATATTTACGACATTGTTCACAGAGGAAGTAGTATTTTGTATTATTTTCCTAATGTTATAAGTTTGATAAAAGATCTAAAAAATAATATTGATCATAATATTAATAATACATTAAATAATGTAAGATCATTTTGGTAAATTCCTGATAATCACTTGGAATGTCTATCATAAACACATTCGCTAATTAATTACTCTTAAAGGATGGAGTTTCAACCAAATTTAATTTTGGGTTAAAATATAAAGTTATTGGATTAAGCTTATTCATAATCTTTCATTAATACAATTAAAAAAAAATAAAATAATTTAGATTCAGCCGAAAATCATATTGAAATGCTACATAACCTTTCACTCTACATTATTGGAGATCATATATTCTTTTTGATTACAATAAAGGAGTATAAGCTAGCAGATTTTACTAAGACTTACACATCTAACTCAATACATCAACAATAGAATCCATTTACATCCTTTTCTACACATTTTACTTAATTAGATTAATTGATGTCTGAGAAATAGTTAACTACAGATAATGGCACAATTTAGGATATTAAATAATTCTGCACTTTTCAGCATTCTTAAATAATTGAAAAACTATTCAAAGATGATGATATGAGTGGCAGATTTGTAGTTGATATTACTTAAAAATAGTAATTAAATGCCAGTCATTCTTAATCCAAATTGCCTTTCTTATCTTCTAGATAACCTTTGTCAAATAGATAATTACTATAAACTGGTCTAGTATCTATACGGATGGTTTAACCATAGTTTCATTTACCATCGATAGACTCTAAGAAAAAAATAGAAGATTATTAATTATACGAATTGGAGGAGGATATGAAGGAGATAGCAGGGATGGAAAGTATCAAGTAAATTTAAGTCATGTAAAATGAATAAGAGATTGCCAATTAGAAATAAGAAAATATTAATTTTAATCGTTATGATAGTAATGTTAATGAAGATTCAATCAAGATGTCTGAAAAATAAAATGACTCCTAAGTTTAGGCATTAGTGTAAAGCTAGATTCAACAAGGCTCTTAATTGTAAATGATTTAACAAATTGTAAATTTTAATGGAACTATGAAAATGGTGAACATCGGCATAATTCTAAATCTGTTTTTGGCATTATGGATATTTATTATGCTCTTTGTAAATGAATACTTAATAAATAATGAAATCCAAACATATTTTCATCAGCTTACTAATAGTATTGGTTATTAAAGTTTATAATTTTATATTGGAATACCTTATACAATACTCCTATAACTCTATATGAATGATAAGGAAATCCTTAATTTTAGCCCAGCATTGTTATAAAATACAATAAGTAAAGTGCCGTTTTTATATGGGTATTCATAAATTCAATAGTCTTCATTTTAAGATATAGTTTGTAGTTAATCTAAATATTATGATGAGCATTTTGCTGATGATAATGAATGCTCTAATTATTTCATTCAATTTCATACTGCAATTTTATAATCATATCTTCAGTATGAAATTGATGAAACATTTGATTACGAATTGTTTAAAGCCAATTCATTTTATAGAAATTAATCATTTTATGGTTAGAAAATACTATTAGATTCTTTAACCAATTTTATAAGTTCTTTCTAGAAGGTTACGCTAAAAGATACTTTTTTAATATTGCTAATGATAAACCTATTGGTGGTTACAATTATATATGTCACATAATTTTAAATGACAAAATCTAAATAAAATTTAAAGCAAAAATTCTATTAAATTTTGAATAGATTGTCATTTGATGAAATAGTGGAATTGATAGCTCGATTTAGTTGTTTTAAGGTAGCCTTAGGAGAGAATGCATGGAAATTGATAAATTATTACGATATGATAAATTATAATAACATTGCGAAAGAGAAATCTAATTTAAATGCTCATAAGAAATACATTTAGTTAAGCGACTCAAAGCTTAAGAAGAAAACAGATGTATTTCAAATTATTACAATAGTGTCATCGTTTTGTTGTTGGATCCTCTTTTTTGTATTGGGGTTCCTCCTTTTTTATTTTTTATTTGAAGAATTTGCTCCTAGTTTTAGAATAGCCTAAAATTTTGTAGCCTTCAAATAGAAGCTTGATCTCTCATTGTGCATTGGATTTTGGATAAAAACAGATCCTTTGACCAATATGAGAAGAGACACATCGGAGTAATAGTAGATGATTAGTTTGTTTTTGAATTTAACAGACAGTTTGTAACTTCTTTTAGATGAAATTTCAACTGATTTAGTAAAATCAACTTATTTAAATGAAGAAAAGATGAAAGTTATCCAACAAACTCTAAATTCTGATTTATGTCCTTCTTATTAATATCTCTTTTGTTATCCAGAGGAATTATCAGTACATCATTATTATGATTCTGAATCATATGCTTCAATATTAGCAGGTGGAATCACAGGATTTGTAGCCTAAGTTTACAAATTTTCAGTATCAGAATTCACAATAGAAAAAGAGACATTGCAATATTCTCCATATCTAGATGAACTATAGGTAGTAGTCTAGGAGCAAGTGTTCAAAAATTTATTTGTTTAGTACATTTAAGATATTCAATACACTATGTATAGTCTTTTTTCTTAGTTTAATGATGGGAATTCATATGCTGGTGAAACTCTACTTTCTTACATGAACTATTATAGTTTTGGGTTTGGAATTAGGTATAATTATAAATTTGATATAATAGTTTAATTGTAGTTTATAATATTATTGATTTCATAAGAATTAGATAGGGTGTTAAGGAATTAGATTAATTAAAATTTATCCTCTTGGTTCTGCCAGAACAAAAGTTTGAAAATTAGATTATAAAGTAAAAGATCACAGAAATAGGTAAATATTTCTTTTGAATTAAATGGAATTTGTATATATATAATAACAACAATAACAATAATCATGCAAATTATTTTATAATCGTCATATATTCAGCTGCCAATGCTTCTAGATGAACGATACCCTTAGATCCCTATCTTGCTCTATTTTCACATTTTGCTGTTGATTTTATGAGTTCATACAGAATTATCTTATTTGCATGATCTTTATATTAATTTAGCACTCCTTGAAGCATTTCAAACATAATTCTATCAACTGGAATGCAGTTGACCAAAAGTTGGTAGAATTTTTCTCTGATTTCTTTCATTGTTTCAACTAATTGGTTCTTTACTATAGGCATGACGATATTATGTTAAATGTGTAGTTTCCATTCTTGAGCTGCTATATTTTGATCATCTTTAATGCATGTGTTATTGACTCTAGTAGATTGCAAATATAAAATGGCTTCTCTAAGATTACCATTACTTGCAATAGCAATTTTATTGATTAGTTATTGGCTGATTTTGCAATTATATTATGCACTAATCTTATCTAAGATTTGAGCCACTTGAGTTTGATCAGGAGCAGGTACTCTAATTAAAAGGCACCTGCTTCTTATAGGATTAATGATTTTAGCCAAAGATTCGCAAATCAAAATAATTCTGCATCTCTCTATATACTTTTCCATTGTTCTTCTCAGTGATGCTTGAGCCTCCTTTGTAAGATTGTCGACTTCATTAATAATTACAACCTAATATAGTGTTCAGATGTACTTTGAAATCTTTGGTTTATTTGCTATTTACTTGATGTGAACTTGCAACTTCCTTAATTAGTTTCTGGATGATCACTTTATCGTGATGATCAGCATCTGATGGTGCAACATCAATGTGAAATTTGGATGATAATACAGTGCAAGAAGTAGTGGTATTTGAGGTTTCATTTATTTTATACTCCTTTTCTTCTTCAGTGACTGTGTATACACCTGATCCATAAACTTCCTTAAGAAATGCAAGCACTCTTGTTTTCTTTCCAGCTCCATTTGGACCATAGAACAATAAATGAGGGAAATCGGAATTTTTGGCAAGTTTTCTCAGGATTTCACTGATTTCTGAATGATAATCCAAAGAATCAAGTGATTTTGGTTTAGTTGATTCAGTCCATAACTATTGAAGCATTTTAGAGCGGGAAATTTATATATATAATTAAATAAATATAAGCAAAAGTCATTTAAAAAAGTAAGTATTCATTATTCTTTCTAATTCAGATTTAGTGGCTGGTTTTACAATGTAATCATCCATATATTATAAACATTCTTTCTTTTCTTTTTCTTCAGCATATCCACTACATCCAACTATTGTCACTGGAACATTCATGGTTCTATAAAAATTCTTAATGTTTTTAGAGGTCACTATTCCATTTTAGATTGGTAATTCCACATCCATAAATATCAATCTATAAGGATGACATATATGCTATTATTTTGAAAATCGCTATTATACTTTTTATTCAGCCAATTACCCAGAGATTGTATAATCTATTTTTATTAAATTTTGAAAAGTTCGATTGAATCTGAGTAAAAATGAATCTACATTAAAATGATTGTCTTCTACCAATAATATTTAAGGACAAGAACAGAAATTCTTTTAGAGAATAAACTTTTTTTCATTCATTGATTATCTTCTAAAATCATTTAATTTTGTCTCCAAATCTACATCTATTTCTTTTTTAGAATCTTCATAATTTTCTATTTCATTTGTATATGTTTATTTATTGTTAGTCACCAAAAAACAAAATGTTGTGCCTTCTTAATACACTGATCTAAAACCTAACCCTCGCTATTCAGAATTCAATTAAGTGGCTATTGAATTACTTATCAATAATCCTAATCCCACACCCTAAGCATTCATTTAACTTGTCTCTTTATTTTCAATCTTAGCAAATGCTTTGAATAACTTAGGTTAGTCTTCTTCTCTCATCCCCACACCAGTGTCCTTGACTTCTATGCAAATTTCATTAGGTGCATCCAAGTAGGCTCTCAGAGTTATTGAACCTTCCAAAGTAAATTTCAAGGCATTCCCTATCAAATTTATTGTTATTTATCTTATTCTATTTAAATCACTCCAAATATCTGTTGTCAACGACTTATCATAATAGTAATTCAATTAAATATTCTTCTTCATTGCTTATATCTCAAACATACTAAGACAATCCCTTAGAAGTGACTTTAAATCGAAAAGGGTATTTCGAATCTTAAATTTACCTGCTCGAATCTATGCCAAATCTAATAAATCATTTGAGAGATTAAGTATGTATTTAGAGTTATCTAATGCTGATTAAATAAGTTATTATTCACTCAAATTTAAACTGGATTTATTTTCTATAACTTCTTCGAGCATTTATATGATACAGGTTAAGGGAGTTCTAAATTCATGACTTACAAAAGATAGAGTCTTCGATTTTTGGGAATTGTAATCTTTTAATACTTTAATGTAATCCTTATGATTCACATCTCTGAGGATTATTACCAACATAGGCTTATTGTAATGCAAAGCACTAAAGACTTTAAGGTCCAAACATTGTTTTTTCTATTATTTTTTTATGTTGGTTACAAATGCATTACTTTCATGAATGTAATAGAGAGGTTAATTTTAGTAATTCACGACCTTCTCCTTAACCAATGTGTGCAATTATTGCCAAATCTATCCCAAGAGATAATGAAAGGAGTCGGCATCTTCTAAGGACTTTTTGTGTGAAGTTGCATAATTAATTGAAGGAGAATTGGAATGATTCAAGTTGTCGTTTTTTGTTTATGCACTTGGAAATACTATTTACACCTGAGGAAATTGGAGACAAAAGTCATGATTGGATTGAGGTTGTTATAGCAAAAATTCTTATTTTTAAGAGCTTGATTGATTCTCCAAAATGAATTATTAGGACAATTTAAAGCCTGACTTACAATATGACTATTATTTAGGTATTATCTTAAAACTATTTCTTCTCACACTCTACTGAGATTAAATGCTGAATGAGTACTTATAGAGATGTTCTTCGCTTTTCTGTTTTTGAGAGGCACTTTTTAAATCAAATAGTTCTTATAACATCTAATCGTGATCATCAGAATCTACTAGGTATTTGGCTGCAGAATTTGAATATTTTATTGTAAAATCCTCCTTTGTGTTTTTTTCAAGAATTATAATTCCTTCAGGTAATACATCAAAAGTCTTAAAAAGCTTCTGGGAATCCTGCGGCTCGTATTCAAAGTTGATGCTTCGAGGTACTGATGGTTCCATTTCTTAATTATTTAATTTCTGAGCTTCCTTTAATTAATTACATTCCTTTTCGTGTTCTTATCTAAAGTGATACAATAATAATTTCAGTAAGATCGATGAACATAATGCTTTTATTAAATCAGTAATTTCTTAATTATGAAATCCAACCCGAAGAAATACATAAGCATTAATAACCATCGCTCCCAAAAATAACATATATTACACTATTTTTTTTTTTTCATTTCTATTGAAAAACACAGCATCGAATATTGCCAATTATAAGAAAATTAAAAACTCGGTATCAATTTGTAATTCCACAGAGAATAAGGTCAGTATAAAATATTAACAATATATGATGAGCTATGTTCTCATTGTACTAAAGTAATAGGATAATACCTGATATATTATCATCACCAACAAAAAAATCAGAGAAATCATTATAAATGGTCCTCTGCTTTGAATTAAATTTTCAATAATTTATGCAAATATTATCAAACTATTAAAACATATCAGCAGATCTTTGAATTTATAGCTATCCAGACTTCTAAATTGTTTTACACTTTCCATCAATAAATTAAAAATAATTATTTTATTATTATGATTAATAAGTACTAATTATTAAATTGAACATTTAAAAGCCCTTACTCTATTATGAATCTCTAAAGAGTTTAGTATTCTGAGTGCTGATTAAAAATGGAATTCAGAAAACTATCATATAGTTCATGAATTTTAGTAAATATCAAGATTAAAGATAATTTAAAAATAATAGCTCAAATTAGTGTCAAATTTTTATATCAAAATTATTGATTTCAGTCATTGTCATTTAATTAATTATCAGAGATTGTTTATCAATTAAAATGACTCCTTGTTTGAATTTCACTTTGCTATTGATCGCAGAATATGAAGATAACTTTATATTCAAATAAATCATTCTTATTCTGATTTGAGTGTCATTAATGCTTTGCTATTATTAGAAAACCTTATATTTACTGTTTTGAGCATCATAATTTATTCTTTCTGCTTATACAACTCTTTTCATAATTGGGCTGTTCCATTTGAAGAAGTAAATAAACTTATATTATAAATTTATTCTTAATATTAAAATTCATGGTTATTAAGATAATATATCATCGAATTGTAATATTTTCTTATAATTTGAAATTGCATCCTTATAATTTGGTTGAGAATTCCCATTCTGATATTATTTTTTATTTGAGACCTTTGAAAGTACAGCTAATAGAACCATATAATAATTAGGCTTAAGAAATTGTTATTCCAATTCTATTGATTCACTTTTTTTCCTTTAGCAATAGTATTAATCATTTCATAATTCTGCCCACTAATTTTCATCTATTCTTATTTGAAGAGGTAATATTACTAAAAAAGAAAATAATGATCAAAATGAGTATAGGATTATAGTAAATTCGAAATGATTATAATAATTTTAATTTAAATTAAAGAATTTTATTATTTTATAATGATCATTAATAGTTATTCATGTAAGACCAAATTTTCATATATATAGTTATTTTAAATTAATGAAGATCCTTTCATTTAGAGATAATCAAAAGTTTTCATTAAAAAATAGTCAGATTTTTCAATTAAATCCTTCTTTATCTTCTTAGTTTATTATCTTATTTCAGCCTATGTTTAACTATGAATTAATCTATTAATATTATACTTTTTACAGAGTTCTTACAGTTACTTTACTTTTGCTTGCAGGGTTTAAATATAAAAATAATAATGCTAGTATAATAAGCTTAGTGGTTCATAAAATCATTGTTTTTAGAATTTAAAAGCATTTAAATTAAAAATACAAAGTTAAAATTTACTTTTTATTGAATAACAATATATATATATAATTAACTTAAAATTGTGATAAATATTTATATTAAAGAAATATGTAATTAAAGAGAGATTATTATGAAATACTTGGATTGGAGTAGAATTGCGATCAAGAATAAATCAAAAAGGCATATAGGAATATGGCATTGAAGTGTCATCCAGATAAGAACTAAGCAGAAGATGCAAAATAAGTGTTTTAAGAAATCCAGGAAGCTTACTCAGTTCTTTCTGACCCTAATGAAAGAACTTGGTATGACAATCACAAATAGTAGATCTTGAATCCTGATCTTGACAAAGCTGATTTAGAAACTATGGAAGGATTTGGTTTTAATATATGGCATTATTTTTCGCCACATTATTTTGGTTTTGGAGATGATCAATAAGGTTTGATTTAATATTTATATTTTAGGATTTTACGCCTTTTATCGAGAAGCCTTTGAGAAAATTAAATTTGAGGAAGAATCAGCTTTTAATAACAAATAGTTGGATTCAGAAGAAGAAGACTCAAATACTGAATTTGAAAAACTTCCAGGTTTTGGTGCCTCAAATATGCCAATTGAGTAAGTCCTCAAATTCTACATCAAATGGGAGAATTTCACAACTTATAAATAATTTGCATATGCTGATAAATACAATCCCAAGGATGCCCCTAATAGATGGGTAAAAAGGGCAATTATTAAAGATAACAAAGTAGAAAGAAGGGAAGAGAAGAAAAAATATCTGAAAACAATTAAAAAGTTAGTAGAAACAGTGAAAAATAAGGATCCCAGATATAAAGAATATTTGGAACAATTAAAAAAGGAACAATTCATCAAGGAATAACAAAAGAAAAAATTCAAAGAAGAAGAAAAAATACATATGCAAGAAATATTAAAATAGGCTAGACTTGAAGAGTAGGAAAGGTTTAAAGAAAATGAAGAGTATTTTAAGGAGAGACAACAATTTTAGGTCATTACAGAAAAATAAGAGAAATCTTCAGATGTTTTCTTTTGTGAGATTTGTGATAAGGAATTTAAATCAGAATCATAATTTAAGAATCATCAAAATTCAAAGATTCATAAATCTAACCTAAAGGACATAATTTCTTAGATTACTGTAGATAAGAGGGAATAAGAAGAATTATTAAAAAAAAATGGAGTTAGTAGTGTGAGTGCTTAAGATTTAGAGGAAACCTAAAAATAAATTTAAGAGTAGATAAATAAAGAATTAGAGAAAGAATAATAAAAATAATAAAAATTAATTGAATAGTAGACAAAACAAAAGGAGAAGAAAAAGAATAAAAATAAAAAAAAGAAATCTTAGTAATAATAAAAATAATAGGACCAAAAAGAAGAGAATAATAGCAGTGACGATGAGTAGTAGAAAGATACAAAAAATGTAGAAGATGATTATGTAAATAGTGATGACGATGATCATTTTACACAATTATTAAAAAATAAGAAAACCAATCCAATTAATTAATAATAGGATATTAAATAAACCACAAATGTTTAATAATAATAAAATAATGAGAAATAATAATCTGATTCTAAATTCTTAGTTTAATAAAGTGATTCTGATGATGAAAAAAATACTGTTCAAGATAATAATAAAGAAGTTGAAGAAGCTTCAACAGAACCAAAGCAACTTAATAAAGCAAAGTTAAAAAAATTAAAAAAAAAAGAAAAAGAAAAATAAAACGAGTAAGAAAAATTCAAATGCAATATTTGCTAAGAGGTTTTCTAATCAAAAACTAAATTATTCAAACATTTAAATGAATCTGGTCATTAAAAAGCAAAATGATGTTTATTAATGTTTTCTATTGTAATTTAACCATAAGTTTATCAATAATTCTATATAATCTCACTGTTTATTCAATTTATTTTATTATTGTAATTAAATTTTTATTAATTAGAATTAGTCAAAACATTAAAATATTCCTCAAGAATAATGATCTGTTATAATTAAATATATTAAATTGTTGTAAATTATAGTATTAGAATGATTTTTATACCTCCTTAACATGATTTGTCGCAATTCTTAAAATAATATTATAGTTTACATTAGCAGTATTTAAACTCAAAATTTTTATTAAAATTAAATTTTTCATAATAAATTTGACTTATTTAAAGTAAATTTAATAAAACTTAAAACGTATTTTATATTTCAAATTTGGATTAATATGATAATCTTTATCAAACATCTATCATAGCCTAAATAACAGATGATAAAATGTTTAGAAATAAATTTATATTCTATTTATATTATTAGAAATGAAAAGTTATGTAAATTTTGAAAAAATAATTAGAATGTGGAATCGCAACAAACAATTCTATTAATATACAAATAGATAATAAGGAATTTCTTAGTTGATTTAGTATTAAATATTTATAAAACTAAATTTTAGGATAATATTTTAATTAATAATAGAAAGAATTATTCATAAAATTTATTATAGAGTATATTATGCAATTATCAATACCCAAAATATTAGACCTGAGAAATAAGATATTCAAAGATAAAATGTCAATATAATATTCTATACTATACTTAAATTATTCTTACTTATTTAAGCAATACTAATAATACTATTCCAAATTAAGATTGATGTATGTTTCTCGTAGGAATTCGCTTATAATATAATTAAGGTTCAAGCCATTTTATAATTAATAATAAATATAAAAATAAAATGTACGAATTAAATGTTCACAAGTGTGCTAAATTCCGAACATTTGAAAATAAAGCTGATACTCGACGTGCGATGGTTTTCTTGAAGTTATTGGATAACGTATCATAAATTTAATATTAGAGTTGTCCAAGAGAGGAGGCATTAAAATTTTGTAAAAAAAGAATATGTCGATTTGATACTACCAAAAAATTAGAAGGACCTCCCAAGTTTAGATTGATAAGAAATGCAACTACTAGTAGGGGATGGATTTTTCCTGAGGAGATCAAGTATGATCTTGGTAAAAATTACGAGAGACCAAAGACAGAAGAGGATAAAGCATTTTAAAAGTTCTTTTAGTCTAACAAATTAAAGATAGTGTAAGAATAACAACATCAAGTGGAGGTTGTGAACTAGTTTATGAAGGAAATAGACGGATAACTGAACATGAAATATAATAATTTAAAGGAGTTAAAAAATAAGGTTTAGGATGTCAGAATTAAATAAGAGTAGTATAGAAACACTCCTGTAAATTACTTGAAATTCAAAGGGCAACGATTCATTTAATTGTATGATGTGTACTAATTCATAATTATATTTAAGATTCAAGAAACATTATGACAATGATTTGTTGGGATTTGAAAAACAATTTCCAGTGACAGTTTAAGAAAAAACAAAAAGAAACGAAGACTTTTTTGTTAGAGCAAACAAAAAACTTGAAACTGATAACTTGTAAAAGAAATTTATAAAATTATAAAATGAAGGAGAGATAATAGCCAAACTAACTTAATCTGAAGGGAATAAGGATTAAGGTATATCGATTAAATCATTTTAACACATCAATGATGTAAAGAATCTTGCCATGGAATTCAATAAGACCTAATATGTTTTTGATGATGATAAAATAAAGAAAAAGAAGAGAAATTCTTTACATCAGTTAAGACTGAATAATAAATATCGAAAGAATAATAATCAAAAAGATATTAAAATTGGGGATTTCGATGAGAAGTTAGAGAGAATAGTAACAAATAGAATAGACTCCATAACTAGAAGTGGAAATGCAACTAATGTGGATTATGATCAAATAAATTCTTTAAAACAAGTAAAAAATTGAATATCATAAGAAAACTGAAACGGCTAGAAATAAAGAATTTAACAAGATCAAATCTCATTTCACTCCAAGATCAATCAAATAGAATTAAAGAGCATATACTACTTAATAGTCAACAAGAAAGTTAGAATTAAGAAGTAATAGATCATACAAGTAATTATAAAAATAAGGTTGAGTTATTTAATGTTTATTAAAACTCGTATTTGCTTATAAAATTTTGAATGAAATTGATATTAATGAATTATATTAAAATGATAATGGATCGTACAAGAAATAATTATGTTAATTTTAGTATTTAATTAATAAATATACTGCAAACAAATCTTGTTAAAAACTGCAAATTTTTGATCTTTATTAATCATACATTTTTTAAAGAATAATGCAATATCTTCAACCTGTTCTTTGTACAGAATAGCCAGCTGAAGAATCAATATTGCTTTAATTCAATTAATCATCTCAAGCAAAGGCAGCATTACAAAGTCCAATTTTGCAAAACGAAAATTACTTCATTAATTCGGCTAATAAGGACTTAATCAAACTTCATGACACGTAACCATGTTTATTATACTGTATTAGTATAGCAATAAAGGAAAAGGCAGGGTCATCGTTGATCCAATACTTTCATATAAGACATTTTATTCATTCAATTATGAAGAAGCGAAAATACTTGACAAAGTTTTCGAGAATTCATTTTAACCTAATAAATGATAGCGCTTCATTTTTCAATCTAAAATTACTAAAATAAAATGCCTTGTCGTTGAAACCAATTTCTTAGACAATTTAATAAACAATGAGATAAAACACGAGAAGCCTAAAGAAAAAGAATGAGTGTTGGAATAAGATAGCTTAATCATGTGAAAAGTGCTTAAATATGATACCCTTAGTATATCCGGATGATAAATTAAAAGTGAGATGGGATTGCATTTTAGTCTTGCCTCGTTTTTATTTTATGTGTATAATCCCGGTTGATTTGGCTTGGACTAAAGAGCAAGTATTGTTTGGCTATGCTTTCATTCCAACTCTGATATCTTTAGGACTAATTATCATAGATTTCTTCTTTGGTTTTGCCTGTAGTTATTATGAAGATGGACAAGTAATGGTAGATAGAAAAAAAGTGTTCTTGCATAATCTCACAAAATCATATGGAATTGAATTAGCATCAACTGTGGTTTTGATTATCTTCTTAATCTTCCAGGTTGGCTATGATTAATAGGTCGATATCTCAAAAGACATATACTACTTACTATTATTATTTTCCTTAGTGTAGTACAGAAACATAATGAAGATACGAGAACAATTGGAGGAAGCTTTAAATCTTTCAGAATATGGCAGTTCCATTGTAGAGCTCGTCAAATTGTTGTGTTTGGTCTGTTACGTTATTCATATTTTTGGCTGTTTATGGTTTTGGGTATTTTTTATTGGTCATAACAAAAGGTTGGATATTACGGTTCGACATACTTAAACGAGGGTTGGCTGGTTGGATAAGAAGTTGTAACGGCAAATTTTGGTACCCAATACTTAAGAGCCATTTACTTTTCTACCGTTACTATGTTCACAGTTGGATACGGAGATATAACTCCAAAGACTGAACCTGAATACATACTGGCAATTATCTTTATGATGGTCAGTAGCATTCAATTATCATACAGTGTGAGCACTGTGGGGGCTGTTCTTGAGAAAATCACATCCTTTAAGGAGATTAAATAAAAAAAACTTAGTATTATAAATAATTTCATGGAGAAAAAATAAATAAACTCCAAACTGTAATTTTAAGTAAGACAATATTTGAACTATTATTGGAACAAGCAATAAGACGAAGAGACTTAGGCTGAATAAACAATCATAGATTAATTGAGTCAAACTCTAAAAGAAAAATTAACCTATGAAGCCAATTCTAGGATTCTAAATTAATGTCGATTTATCAAAGATAATTTTTCGGATAAATTCTAAAAGAAATTAGTTGAAAAGATAAGTTCTCAGTATTTACAGCCAGAAAACATTATAGAATTTTAGAAGTTTTTCAAAAGAATCAAAAAAATTGAGAAAACTGAATTTTAATGTTTATGCTTCATCGAGATGGGAAAAGTTGAATCATTTATTGAAGATCCCAACACCTAAAATGTTATTGCTTCAAATATCACTAATTATTTATAAGGAAAATGCTTCAATGAAATATCATTTCTTACTGGATAAGATTTTAAGGAAAAATTCAAAACTGTAGAATTTACCAAATTACTTATTCTATCAAGAAGAGATTTTCTAGCCACAATGAAAGATTTCCCTCAAGACTTTGAAAAATATAAAGAACTTGTAGACGATTTTAACATAAACAAAGAAATGTCGATGTTAAAAATTTAATGTCAATCATGTGATTCATACAAACATTTAACTGTTGATTGTCCAATTGTCCATTTTGTTCCAGAAAGAGAGGTTATTATTAAAAGATCTGCTTATTCATAATTCTAATAAAGAAGGCACATAAAGAGATCCAGAACCAGAACCAAACCAACTATCAAGATTCAAAGATTAGTGGCCATGCAAGCGAACAAAATGTACAATTAAGTTACCATCGATCCAACCTATTGCAATATCTATGAAATTCCAGATGAGCAAATATTTACAGGGGCTGAAGAACCATAACTGTTAAATCAAAATCCTTAACATGTTTAGATACAAATAATAGGTTCTTAAGCCAATAGCTTCGTTTAAAATTCTATATCCGTTCTACCCCAATAACCAGAATCGCCTAAGCAAAAGAAAGGCTAAAAGACCTTTAATCATCTTAGTGCAAGAGCAATTAGACATAAAAGTAATCCCAAAAAACTATTTCGCTTGGGATTTAATGTGGTATCAGGTGCAAGGTTTTGGTCTAAAGTAACGAAGATCAGGAAAAATAGTTCATTATCATTAGAGAATATGAATAAGGAATTGCAATTAAGAAGGACATTGATAAATGACTAAATGGATTTAGTACCCAAATCCATTTTGGATGATATGTTCTTTGCAGAATAACTGTTTTAATAACTTCTGACGCAGTAGCAAGTTGAAGATTAATTCGATTAAGTAAGAGAATGCAAACGGTACAAACCTTAAGATAACCTAAACTAACAACTCTGTAAATAGGATTTGATAAATGAAAAGTGTTCACCTAATGAATTGGCTTTCTTCCAAAAGATTAGAGAAAAATTGTCATAGTTTATGTGTTTCCCGCATCAGTATATTTTGAGATACAAATATCCCTTATCTATATCATCTAAAATTGGGTTAGTGGTAGATGTCAGGAAAATTAAAAGGTAAAGCAAAAGTAAATCCAAGATTGGGAAGTCTATGACGGGAAAGAGATGATATATTATAAAATTAAAATAACATCAATGTGTATATTTTAAAAAAGGAAATATATTATATATTATAAATATATTAAAATTATGAAACAAAGATTGGCACTCCCTTTTGCTTTTGAAGCTAAATTGCTATCAGAACAAAATGAGTCTAATTTGCTTAGTAGTAAAATTCAAAATAGCAAATTAATGTAGTATCGATCTGCTCAGTTTTAAGCTGATTTTTGGTGTTTACCTACTAATGATAAAAAATAATTAAACTACGAAAAGAAAAACGATTTCATAAGGAGGTTTATTGATAATATGCTTGATCACATTCGAAAAGTCAAGAAATTAACCAACTTTCACATATCACTAATTGGCGACTAAGGAGCCTCTGAAGAGGTTTTTGTAAAAAGGAAATCTTCTACGCTTCATCATTTAAATTAGTAACAATTGAAGTTTTTTTAAAATGTTAAAAAATCCATAATTATTTAATTAGAAAAGTTACCACTTATACACCCTGGTTAATACATTAAAGTGATTTGGGATATTATTGCTGTGACTGCTCGTTTATACTTTTTATATATAATCCCTATAGACTTGGCATGGGTTAATCAACAATTTATATTCCATGACTTGAGCTACATTTCAATAACATTTTTACTTATATTGGTTTTTGATTTGCTATTGAGTTTGAATACTATATATTTTTAAAACGGAGAGGCAGTGGAATCTAGAGTTCATATAATAAAAAATAGCTTGTATAATACTTACGGATTGCAATGGCTCTCAGTGTTTTAATTATTAATTTATTTCGTTATTTCAGCTTTTACGGATATTTCGTTGGATATTTCCAATAATATATTTAATATAGGTTTACTTATATTTTTAGTTCACCATAAGACAATTATCAACTATGCCACTAATTACGAAGAAGGTTTGAATTTGTCAAAGCAAACCTCAACGATATTAGCCTTACTAAAATTGATAGCATTTCTATTCTATGTGATTCATTTATTTTCCTGTTTTTGGTTTTGGGTAATCCTATTCACTAATGATTTTAGGTTGGTAGATATAGCATAGATAATTATGAAGGGAAGAGTTGGCTAGTCTCTACTAACATGCTTGAATAGACTTTTAATACTCAATATCTTCAAGCTTTCTATTATACCGCTGTTACGATGTTTACAGTTGGTTATGGAGATGTAACGCCATAGTCCAATATTGAAAAAATAGTTTCAGTTATTTTAATTATGATATCAAGCATCCAATTACCATATAGCATTAACACTGTTGGTACAATTATAACAGAAATTTCTGCGTTTTCAGAAGAAAAAAAAAGAAAATTAAGAATCATTAACTCATATATGAATAAAACTTCCTTGTCCTCTGGTCTATAAGTTTAAGTAAGGAAATATCTTTCTTATTATTGGGAAAATAAAGTCGTTTCTTAATCTGAGGAGGAAAAAGAAATTATAGATTCCTTATCTGAATTCCTAAGACAATAATTGATTAATGAAGCTCATCAAAATATTTTTGACTAATGTACTTTGTTTCGGATACCTTTTACTGAATAATTCAAAAAGCAATTAATCAAAGAGGTTGAAGAGGTTCTCTTATCTCCAGAATAGGATTTGAAATAATCCAACGATATCTTATTGTATTATATAGAGGAAGGCTCTGTATAAATATGTTTATAATAAGGAAGAAAAATAAACCTAGGGATAGTTAACAAAGGAGCTTCTATTGGAATGAAAAATTTTATTACAGGCACTGAGTCTCTTGAAACTTTGAAGAGTGTTGGATTCACAAAAGCTATGTTACTCAAAAGAAGGTGCTTTTTAAAGATATTGCAAGATCATCCTGAAGACTATGAATTATTTTGTTCCATTAGAGACAAATTAATATTTCAAAAGGATGATCAATATTTTAATGTGAAATGCTTTTCTTGTGGAAAAGAATCTCACAAATTAATTGAATGTCCTTTGATTAAATTTATACCAGATAAAGAATTCATAATTAAACAATATTTATATCCTAAAGCTTAAGAAAGAGTAGAATTTGCAAGAACCAGAAGGAAGGTTTAAAGTTTAAATCAAAATAGAAAAAAGTTAGAATAGTGCGCACTATTAATTTAGAAGGACAATCCCTAATTATTTTAATTATATAGATTCGATAATATTTTGAATATAGATGAAGAATAGTTAAAGCAATACATAAAAAGGTCTAATACAATCCAAAATATAAATACTCATAAACCAAAAATTAAAAAGAAAATTATCTCTGCTTTTGAATAAAATCAAGATCCGATAAAGAAAAAATTTAGATAATTAGTAAATAAATTAATTTCGATAAATAAAATATACCCTTATTTTTTAATATAAACGTATGTAGAATTTGAAAAAATGATTGAATAAAGATCTATTTCATTAACTCTATAGATTTTGGAATAAAGATTAAAAAATATCCATTAATTAGATAATAAACGATTTGATATCTACCTAAGTGATATCAACTTTATCATCTCCAAGTTATCCAATAAAACATATATAGACGATTAAGAATTTGAAAGTCCTCAAAGTTATAAATATTATTTTAGGAAAGATAATTTTTCAATTGTCAAATAGAAGAATTTTTTATAAAATCTAAATGTTTTGAAAAAATTTATACATTATGTTCAATACCCAGGGGATTTAATTTAGAGATTCAATTTAACTCAAATCGGAATGTTGTTAGTGGTAAATAAGAGAAGACAAAACTTTTGTCTATCAGCAGTTTAGCCAATTAAGTGAATTAATATTTCAAAATTAATATAATTGTTTTTCTCAAGATTTTGGTCTTATAAAATGTACAACCTTTTTAGTTAAAAATATAAATTAATACGATTACATACCTAAGTTAGTTTAAGGTTAAAATAATTTAGACTATTAATTAGGAATAAATGGGATTAACATTCTAATTCAAAAAATTAAATTTATTTATATAGTAATACATTACAAATAGTAGATTTAAAATATATTAGGTTTATAAAGTATTGTATTGATCATTATTTTTTTCTTGCACTTAATAATGTACCCTATTGATATTCATTTTATAAAGATAGATCATATTAATTTCTGTATATTGGCAATTATTCTTATTCATAAATTTCTTAACTTTGTTGAGTAGTTTAATGTTTTATTTATCCAAAATATTCTGTTGGATCAATGATTCGTTCATTTAAACTAACTTTTTAGTTATACTTGTTCTTATGTTTGATTTTAACATTTTTTTTGAAATTGTTCTTTATTTAACTTTTAGGACTACTCCTTATACTACTGCTATACTGCATTTGATTCAAAGTATTAGTGAACATCATTTAGGATAACTATTTGCTCTGTTGATTTGATGTCAAATTCTCAGAATCAGACATTTCATCCTCATAATCATAACAATTGAAACTAATGTAATTACAATATAGAATACTTTTGTCTACTGACTTTATCATTTTAAATGCTTATTTCATCACTGTCTGAAAATTTGCCTTCTTTTTCTATTTTGATAAACACTAATTTAGAGTAAGATTCCCAAGTTTTGAATAGGATTAAAACTGTCAAATAATCATGTAAAATGTTGAAATTAGCTCTTAATTGTTTACTAGAACTAATGTTTGTTCTCTCTAATAATCTATTTTTTCTATAGTACATCAATCTCAACTACATTTCATTATTGAATTATTTGATCTTGACAATCGAAGATTCAGTGCCTTCTTTGAATACTTCGTTGATAAAACATCTTCGAAATAGTTCATACATCAATTAGTTATATTAAATATAGCCATAATGATCACTAGGATAGAAAAGATAAATACCATTTTAATTTGAATGAAGAAGCCAATTTAGCTACATCCCAGAGATTCTCTTCTTTGCTTCCTCCTAAAGGTTTGCCAATATCCAACAGAAACTTGCATAAGAACTTATAATTCATGGCTTGTCCTTGAGTTTCTGATGAGTATTTACACCATACAGTCTTAATCTTATCCACATTTTCAACATATGTTTGAATAAGCGAATTTTGCAATTAAAAGAATTGTTCAAATTGTTCTATAAGACCAAGTACAAAGAGATTGAGCAAAACATAATTTGACAAGAGCATGAACAAAAAGAAAAAATATTAATTATTAACACTACCACAATATTTGGGGTCTTCTAAACACAAAGGATTATGTTACATAGTATCTGTCATTATTGTCCTCCAATCATCTCCAGAAGCGCATTTAAACAAAGCAAGAAGAGCCTAAGCTACATTTTGAAAATTGATTTGATCATCCATCACAGCTCCACCATCAATCTCACCATACAATTAGCATCCAATCAATGCAAAAATGAGCATTGCTATCATTAGGATTGTAAAGATCTTGCCTAAAAAAGGCAACGCAAATACCATCACTCTCATCAATCTTTACAAATTGATAAGTCCTTAGAAGATCAAAATCACTCTTAGACTTCTCAAAGAGAAAAACAATCTCAATAATTGATATCCATTATCATAAGGTGTTGATTTATAATAGATCATAATCCAATCGATCGAATAATCTGCTATAAAATCTATTATTGATACTATTATTAAAAAGAAATAAAATCTTCTCCAATAATTATCGAAAAATCTACCAATACCCAAAGCCAAAAATAGCAAAATCACCCAGATCACATATAACACAGTCAAAGCATTATGGATATTATTGACTGATCTAAAGTACTCTTCACTCATATCTGATTCAAACAATAACAGAATTATCAAGTCCAATATCAAAAACAAATACATACAAATTAACAAATATGTATTGTTAGTAATATCTGATGCCAATTTTCTAATACCATTTGTAGGAGGAGAACTGAATATTGGAAAATCTTTAATTATAATTGATGCAATTTCTTAGAATTCCTTCTAAGACTGAGTCTCATCTGTCATCTCTATTTTTTATTAATTTTCTTTCAAATTTGAATACAATACTCCTGTGAATAAACTCAAAAAGAACATTGAACCTATGAAAACAAATATGATAAAAAAGAAGTAAGTGTATACATAACTATTGAATGCCTCTGGTCCAATACTTGCTAATTAACTGTTTTCAGCGATTTAATATATTTCTCCCCAGCCATCTAATGTTGATGTTACAAATAATGAGGGTATTGCAACTGTTATATTATCAAAATTATGTTTGTAGTTAATCCAATGTCTATTTTCTCTTATACATTATTCATAATTAATTTTAAAATTCATTTTGTCATCACAAAATCCAAATTGTCCTTCATACAATATAATAGCATATACTCCAAACATAATCCACACTGCTAACATTGTAATCAAAACATTTGTGATATCTACTAAAGAATACCCTAATGCAATTCTTAATTAAGTCAGCCAACTTATCCTAAATAACAATTTCATCGGTCTCAAATACCCTAAATACAAGCAAACATCAAAGATTGGAGCATAGTGATCTGAAGAATTGCTGAAGGTAATGAAATGTGAAATGATGTATATTACATCTAAAATTTACCACACTGACACAAAATATGATCCCTTATCTAAAAATAACCCTTTTGCTATAACATTGATTATTATATCTAAAAACATTTGAATGTTGATTATTAACTGAATCTAATCACAAACTATATTGCTAGTATCCTCATAATCATAGTATGTATTCATTATAAAAGTAACCAATGAAGTGTACAACACTAGATCCATAAAGTAAATATAAGTTTTAGATGTTGCTAATCTAGTGCATATCATTCTTAAATAATTAGTCTTTTCAAAAATGTAAAGAGAGGTTTAACATTCAATTCCTGTATATAGCTTTGGTGATTTATTGAGCAATTCCTTATTTAAAGATCCTAAGTTGATTAAACATATATTTAGTACTTATTGATTTAAAAAAGTTGGTTATGAGACCAATCTTAGATTTTCCTTAAGTTTAAGTTTGTTCTAGCATAATATTAGTTTAAGATGCTTGTGGAGTCAAGATTGTCTAATATACTTATTGTTCTAATTCTTAATTGGAATTCTAAGTCAATTGAGCATTTTCTTCATGTACGTGTGTACTTTCAATTGATTAGTCTAGATACTTCCCAAAACCATCAAGTAGAATAGCCATAAATAGACCATAAGTTAAATAATTCAATATGATAACCATCGAATAAGAATATATTACTGCGAAAGTGTAATTAATATCACTTCCCATTACATACACTCCATACCAATCATCATTGGTCATTATGTTAAATATTGTCATGAATGCTTTAAATATGTTATCATATGAATGCAATTGTCCTAAAGAATCAGCCTAATCAAACTTACCTGCATACATCTCCATTCCAACCAAAGCATACATAAAAATCACTAAAAACATCAAAAATGTCAAATAAATGTATTGTTTGAAAGTCATTGATGCTATGTGTCCTATTTTAACAGCCATCGCATTGTATTTTAGACACCGATAAAATAACAAACATTTTGTACCTCTAATCAATCTCAAGTTTTATTATCCCAAACCAATTAACAGATTCTTAATAGTTAATTCAACTATATTCAATATAACAATTGCTGCTTAAAGTAAGTAATTAGGATTGCTGGTAAAATTTTTTATTGAGATTGATATCAATCTTAGAATCAATTCAAAGGATAGTATGATAGTTGAAACGTTTTCAACTGAATGGATTGTAGTAGAATCTACAATATTCCATAATGCCAAAAATGTAAAATTTATGAAAATAATCAAGTCAAAAAATGTTTGACTAGTTGAACTTGTAATTATAACATTGGTATGTTTGTTAAAATTTAGAACCATTCCTTTGAGACCTTTCATCCAAATTAGGATGTCCTTTCTGTTGAGTTGAAGGAAAATTTGACTAAACATCTAATAGTTTTTTGTATTTAGAGTTAATACGTCTTTACCTGACCAATTGCTTGAAGTGATCAGCTTTCCATTTTAAACTTCTTTCTCTCTTATTTTTCTATATTTAAATTGATTACTTGTTTAATTATCTTTGATAATTGGGATTTTCAAATTAATTTTATCACGAATTTCTTTATATGAAAGATAATAACCCTACACATAAACAGCCTATTCACCATTTATAATTTTTATAAATTTCTTTGATTTTTTTTTAATTGATGTATTCTTTTCAAAACAAAAATTCAGTTTTTATTCAGGAGATCTTTCAAAATCATCACAAGAATTTTTGCTTGTTTCTTATTCTTTTTCATCCTCTATTTTGATGGTAGTATTCCATTTATTACTTTTCTTTTATCTATAAGGGAACTTATTCTTCTTAATTTCAATAGATCTTTGAGCCTATTTCTTTAACTTCTCTACTTAACCCTGCCAATCAGGATATTAATGCTTAAATTTAATTTTTCTCATTTTTTCTGGATTGAATTTCTTTTCTTCTTACAATGCTAAATCAATTTCACTAATTTATTAAATTTAAATACATAAACTTTAACAAAATGTCATGTTAGCTTGAATAATTTTAATCTATTTATTAATTCACTTAAGATTATAGACATGAATATGATATATTTTACAACTTTTATAGAATTTCTAGTTCTAGAGGATCATCTGAATACTTTTTAATATTTATCTTTTGTTATTGGTATTTCAATACACGAAACTTAGTCAATAAAAAATTCTTGGTTGTAAATTACCTTAGTTTATTTTAAAAACTTAAATTCTCTACATTCTATGAAATATCATTTATTTCTTACATATTAGTTATTTAATTTTCTCTATGCAGCTGATAAGGTTCTAGCTTCAATTATTGTTTTATTCATCTAAGCTTCTGATTCCAAATTCCAACTTAAAACAGATCTTCTCTAAAAAGACTCTCGATATTTTTGAATCGTAGCAAAAAACCCAATATCTCTTAAAAATGCTACATCAAAGACATTTATTAACTCTCTCTCTGGATATTCTTGATTATCTTTAATCAATTTCTCAATCCTAGCTTTTTCCTATTGCTTTTCGCTTTCTTCAGCAGCCTCTGAATAATGAGTCTTCAACACAGCTATAACCAAATTAAAACCAAAAAAACCACCCACAAATATAATCAACAAATAGTAGACCCAAATCCAAGGATGAAATATTCTCATAGTAAAAAACATCACCCAACTCCAATCATCCATTGTTATAGTTCTTAAAATCTGACCGTATGAATATATCACATTATTAAATGATGTGGGCATTTTAGGGGTTTCCTCAGTGTACGTACATGTCATGCCATCTTGATAACACTAATTTTGATGACACTGAATCCACCCATCTGTTTCATCACCATTGTCATATTCACATCGGAAATTAAATAATCCTTAAAATAGAAATACACCAAATATTGCAAAGAATAAGGAAAAGAGTCCAACTATCATCAAGGCTTCCAATAAAAATTTAATTGATTATTTCAAAGCCAATAACATAACTCCCAATCCTACAAATATATCTCCAAGATAAAAAAGAAGTGTAATCATTCTTAATGGTGAAATATCTATTATAAAAATCTCTGGATAATAAAGATTAATTGTAGTAGCAAATATCAATGTGAAATCATAAATATCCTAAATGTTTCGAAAGAATGCATTTTTTGTAAAAAAAAATCCTGAAACGAAGATTCTCATCAAAATTTCAATTATGAATAGTATAGTTACTGCCTATTCAATTTCAAATGTGTCTTCTCTATGCTCTGTCTTAACAACTATAAATAAGCAAACATTAAATAATATTAGGATTGTCATAAGCATTTTGTATATTCTGGTATTCATCATTCCCTTTGCTAAGATCGGAATCACTAACGAAATAAAAACAAGACATTTGCGAATCTGCAAAAATTTTACATTATCTTAGTATTTCTCAATATTATAATTACATATACCTTTAATTCATAAAATAATCTGCTTAGACCCTATAGTGGTACTAATATAATATAGTATGGATCTTGAAAAGGATTTCGCTAGATTTGTTTCTCATATCTTTTGATTATCTTCTAGTAAGCTATTTCATTTTCCTGTGGTTCCTCTTGTTCTATAGCTAATAGTTTAGTAATTTCCAACAATTTGTCTCTATTCTGCAAATCTTACATCTCATAATCACACTGGGGATTGGCATTCAGGGATTTTACATTAAGATTCTCGATAAACTTTTTTGACGTTTTTCTTGATTCATATGAAATATATTGAATGGTTAATATAGTTTCTTCGGAATAATCAGATGAATTTAAATTATACTCTTCACAACCCTCTAATTCTTTATCTTATTTTTTTCTACTTTTAAAAGCAAATAATTAACTTTTTTTATTTAACCAAAGAGGAGCGAGAATTCAAGGATGAATCTATTGATTCTTTTCTATTCTCCTTTTCTTATTTAATCACTTTTTATGGAGATCCCTATTTTACTATTTGAGTGCCGGCTAATCAAAATGAAAAACATAGAATACATTAAAATTACTAAATAATGCTCTACTTTCTTTAAGCCAATTCTTTCGAAATTGTTTATCGTTTTTTGTTATTCCTGGGTTAGTGCTATTAATCCATGAAGAACAATAAATAATAATTTAATAGTAAATACAAGTTAATATTTTCAAAAAACAATAAATCAACAATAGAAAATAAAATAGAGACAATGATAATCCTTTTAAAATTTTTATCTCAAATGATCCAGAAATTTGTTCTTACTTTGATAAAATATAGAGTCTTATATAATTTACTGATCATTATTGAACAATCTAATATAATTGCATTATCCGAATATCTAGTTAATATAAATGCCAATATCAAAGAAAAATTGTGATAATTTATATTTTCAATTTCAAACATTGACTTTTTTATTAAAGTTATTAATAAACTATTTGTACTCTTTACCCTTCCCATAATCCAACTATTTTTAAATTATCCTTATTCAACTGCAACTCATTCTAATCGACCTTCCCTCATCAACTCTTTAGAGAACATAGGTTTTCTTTATTAATTAAGATGGCATACTATATATATTTCCTAATCCTTACACAATTAAGTTTCTTAACCTAATGCTTTTATATTCATTCCTAAGTAATATTTTCACCTCCAAATCCATATTGATTGACTTTTCATTCAAAGTTCTTGACTTGATCATTATGATTTTAATTATCACTCAATCAATTTATCATTTTCCAAAAAATAATAATTATTTACATACTCTCTTCTTTTCAACTCTAGTTAAGTAATTTGTTGCACTTTATTGGTGGCAAACAAACAAAGTGCATTTTATTCTATTGATAGTATAATTTATAAACACTACTTATATATTTTGGATGTTTATTGTTTTTAATGTTATTCTTAAACTTTTAAATTTAAAGATCGTCTTATTTCATTCATTTTTAAATTAGAAGGACTATATTAGAATTATTATTATTATTTTTAATAATCATACTATAATTAAATTATTTTGACTCAATCCCAAGTTCTATTTTAACATTATCATTCTAACTTTCTCTTTACTTTTAATTTTGATATATAAATTAGTATTTTCTAATTCACATATTTTAAGATGACTATTCACAATTTCTAAGTTTCAGAAATTCACTAAAATTAAAGACTTTATAATAATTTCTTAAAAAATGAATATTTTTAAATTATATATTAATTACTAATTCCTATTAAATTTATATCAGAGTGTCCTCACTAAGGTAATTTCTAAAAAATTTAATTATGAATGCTATAATTATTATGTCTTTAATATTTCACCCACAAATGTTTCGTTTACTTTCATAATTTCTATCCTAATTTTAACTTGAATCTTAAAGTTTTATCATAATTGATTAAATAGATTGAGTGAGGAGTAATTATAAAGTCCTTAATTGAGCAATTATAGGAATTACTATTTTGTTTAAATTGTTAAAAATGTCTTAAAATTGTTAGAACTTGATTTAAAGGAATTCCTTTTTGGTATTTTAGATGAAGTTTTCTAATTTTAATGCTTAAATCATATGCAGTAGATTAGTTTATCTTGAAATTTATTTTAATTTAGTTAAATCAAAATATTTCAAATAATTTATATCTGATGTCATTGAACAAACCCTATGATATGCTAAAGATCCTAAATGGAATGATGAGATTAGAATAAGATTAAGATAAGGCGATATGATGATTGAGTTTTTGATAAACTACAATGATTAAATTATATTAATTTTTCAATAAAACATGCTTGTAAAGGATAATTCATCACCATAAAAGTTTTCAGCTTAGCAACAAGAATTCAAAAAACAAAAGAGTCAACGATTTACTATTTCTAATTAAATGAAGAAAAAGAGTCCTACAAGATATTTTAGGGAGATGAAGAGTCTAAAATAACATCGTCAATAAACGATATTAAAGAGTTCAAAAAGTTTTCAGCCTAAAAGATAAAGTTAAGATAACTCCTCAGAATCAAGCGAATGCGACAATATTGACGAGAAATCAGACATGGAAGAAAAAATTATAGCAGTACCTAATTTGAGTTTTAAAGAAGGGCTAATGGTTACACATGAATAACCAGAATAATTAACTCATAATTCTTCTGATCCACAGCATTCATAGAATCAGAAACATCATATTATCAAAAATATCAAAAAATGCTAAGGTGATCATAGCCTGATGAGTGATATGAATTCATAAGAAAACTTACTTTCTAGAGATTAGGATTCTTTTCAGAATAGAAGCTTTTAAAATTTCTTATAAGTGTAACCAATAGAAGACAGATAAGATTTTTATGAAGAGCTTGATCCAAGAATACTCAAAAAATATTAAAAACATGCAGAGCGTAATCCTTTCGAAGATTCATATTATGTTGTGCTTACACCACTTCATGGCTTAGAACGCCTTAGATATGAATTAAATGTAATAGATATAATTATTAATCTTAGAATTACAATGACCATCTAAATTTACTCAAACTAAGAAAATACATTGTTTATTCATTCTTATGCATACCTATGCATTTTTAAAGAATTGTAGATAGTGTCTAATTTAAAATTATCAATGGTATTCTCATTATTTGCAATTTAACTTTTTTCACTTTGAGCAATTCATCTCCACCAGTTACAAATGAGGAATACAAATAATTTATCTTTTATTGTTTTGCTATTGAAATCGGAATAAGAATTATTGCTGCAGGAGGAATCTATCCAACCATTCATTTTTTATGCAGCAAAGAAGACATGTTTAATTTGCTATGCACATTAATTACATTCCTACATTATTTTTATCCTAAACATATTTCATTTGATCTATCACCATTAAGAATAATTACAATATTATTATATTTGGGAGATGGATTATTACGACTTAAATACATGTTGATAGCTCTCAAAAAATCATTAATATTTTTGGCGGAGGCTATTTTTATATTACTTATATTATCTCTCCTATTTTCAATAATTGGAGTGTCTCTGTTTTAAGGATTATTTAATTACCGATGCTAACCTATGGTAGGAGAACCTATTGATGAATGGGTTCAATGTTATTAAAATATTTGTCCTGATGGCATGATTTGTGTGTTTTCATCAGAGACTCCTAAGCTTCCAACTTCATTCAATAATGTGATTTTTTCCTTTGGTTAGATATTAAGAACAATAACAATGGATGATTGGAGTTGGGTTATGTTTTTCACAATGAGGATATTCCATCCTTAGATATGGATTTATTATTTAGGAGTCATTTTTTTATGCGGTTTCTTTTCTATAAATTTAATGATAGCTGTTCTTAAGATTCATTATTCTGAGGCCACAGCAGAATGTGAAGATTATGAGAAGTTATCAAAATAGAAAAACGATCACAGCTTAATGCGGCAGGAGATGTTTTTAAGTAAAGACCTTATTACTTATTTCGACTTGTCATTTTTAAGATATATTGGATTTTATTCTGTTTTGAAAAAACATAAATTATTGCTTAATACTGCCAAACCCTTAACTGAATTGATTGATGACGAGAATAAAGTCGATAAATTTAATAATTAATTGCGATTGTTGTCGTCTAAATAAAAGAAGATTTTAGACGAAGCCAAGTAGGTATTATTATGACTTAATTTTAGAAAAGTCTAAAGAAATCTTTTTGGAATTAATTTAAAAATTTTTCTATTAAATAATGGATGCTGCCCAAATTTAAAGATCTATAAATAGAATAAAATAAAATAAATATTAAGATGTATTCTGATGATCCAATTGAAATTTCCATACTTTTGAAATTAAGCGAATATTAATTCACTTAATTCCACAATTCTGTTAATTATCATGTAGATTAAAAATTCAAGAGTCTTAAAGATGTTTTCATATAAAAAAAGAGGTATAATATATGAATTTACAAGCTAGAGTTGCGCATAAAGAAAAAATCAAAATATATTATCAACCTCTTTTCACTAAGAAAGAAATCAAAATCATACCTCGTTAATAATCAGATGTTTCCCTAAGTCGTTATCCAATACACAAGAGTACTCGTAGAATAACTGTTTAAAGATCATTTAGTATTAAGGATGACAGTCATGGAACATAATCACCTTAAGTTAGAAAAAGATAGAATGATATTTTTGGAACTGTGAACATTAGGTCAAGAGTGGAAAGAAAATTACCATTTCAAATTTTAAGGGGAACGAGAAAATATATATATATTCATGGATTTTATATTGATTATGAGTAGATATAGGAGAAAATAAATACAAAAATACCTAAAACAAAATAAGTTTTAGATTCAAATGAGGAGGTCTATTTATAAATTTTTTAAAGGGAAAGAGAATAAAAACTCATCAAGTCAAAAAATTGGTCAGGAAATAATGTTCTCTCTTTGAATCCTAATAGAATGTAGTAATTTCAGGAGATATTCAATAGTTTAAATAATTTCAACCATCTTATATGGATGCCAACCTTTGGTGGCAAATTACTGATTTTACGAAGATACACTCTTATAATTATTGATAACAAGATTACTCAATTTTTCTTTGATTTCATAATTCTAATCAACTTCATATTCCTTTCATTATATGGAATAGCTGATGCTCGTATAATATCGAAATTTGAAGACATATCTACTATAATTTTATTGATTGAAATAGGGTTTCAAATGTTTACATACCCTTTGCATCGTTTCTTTTCTAGCAAGGAAAATGTGCTTTAAGCTATTATTATGATTGCAAGTTTCATTGAATTCAGTTTCAGTGATTATTTAAACTTAACCTAATAGTACTTAAGAATGATCAGAGGAACTAAATGCATTTTATTTTATAGATGCTTAAAATATAATTAAATGGCTGTACTCATAGGTAAAATAGCTTCAATAACATTTAAATAATACATCTATTTGACAATATTTATGTTCATTATGATTACTATATATGGGCTAATTGGAATGGATCTTTATGCTGGATAATTTGATCAAAATGAGCCCTTAGGATAGTTACACTCTTTTGATAATCCTTTGAAAGCTGGTATGACTATTTTCAATATAATGACAAATGATGATTGGTATGGAGTATATGTAATAGGATCTGAACTCAATTTAACAGCAGCTGTAATTTTTTCATTTTCAATGGTTTTAATTTTAAATTATTTAACATATGGATTAGTCTTGGCAATTTTATTGGATGGGTTTGGGAGATATTTAGAAGAAAAACATGATTAGGATGGAAATTAACAATAATTATTGACATCTTAAGCTTCAAACAACAGAGATGAAGAAGCCCTGAATACAGAAATAGATTCTATGTTTGATTAGAAAGTTAAGTCTTAGTATTTCTCATAAGTTTAAATTTTTGATTAAAATGAAGAGAAGGAATAACCAAAAATTAAACTTGATATTATTAAATCATTCCAGAGATCTCTAAGTATTAAGTCTTAATTATATTAGAGTAATTAAATAAATAGATACTAATGTCGAATCCAAAGTTATATTAAGATATAGAATGCGAAACTGCTTTGTATTTCTTTGCCAAAAACAGTAGGATTAGAGTTATTTGTTGCAATATCTGCACATCAAAGAGATTTTCATGGTTTTCAAACACAGTGATGGTTTCCTCAATATTTCTTATGATAGTCAGAACATATCATGATTATGAAGATGAAAAGAGCTAATATCCCTATATAATATTAGCAATTTTGAATGTGCTTAAGCTATTTGAGGATATCATTTCGATAATAGCTAAGGGATTATTTATGGATAAGGGTAGTTATTTAAATTATTCCTGGTAAGTGGTGGATCTAATTTATTTGTTTGCTTTCTTTATTGATACATACAAATAAAATCCAATAATAGACGTGTGTTTATTTTTTGGACATTTTAGGCCAATGAAGCTGATGTATAGAATCAAATGGTTAGATAATATAAGGGCTGCATTAGCATAATCTTTATTGGACATGCTTAAGATTTTGTTAACTTTGATTTCTGTTTGGATAATGTTTGGAGTTTTTGGCATAATCTTATATGAAAGTTAATTTGGATTTTGTGATGATAAAATGCAATTCAATGTTAACTAATAGGAATGCATTGAAAATGATAGGAAATGGATCAATTATAAACATAATTTTGACAATATAACAATAGCCTTGCCAACATTATTTGTAGTATCAACATTTGATGGATGGGGTGAAATAATGTAAGTGGCAGAAAATAGCAGATAAAGTAATTTAGGTCCTGCACCATTTGCATCATATTTATCAACCTATGGTTATTTCATGTCCTTTTGTTTTATAGGTTCAATGTTCTTTTTAAGCTTTTTTACAGGAACACTGTTTTCTAAATTAAGAGTGAATTAATAAAAGATAGAAATGTAGAATGTAACAAGGTCTTAGAAAGAGTTTGTTGAATTATGTCCTATGATACTAAAAGACTCTCCTGGTTTTTCGACTCCACCTACTAGATTCATGGGAAGATTGTCATCATTTATAGTTAACAATTCTATTAGTTAGAAATTCATGTTTTTATTACTATTGGTTGATTTAATATGTTAATTGCAATACCACTATGGCATGAATATAGATAAAATAAGAACCCTGAATCTAATTTAAAGGTTTTTAATTCTATTTTATGGCATATGGATAGTTTTACTATTTATGTAATTAGGTATTAATAGATACTTTGACAATTATTGGAGAAGATATTATATTTTTTTAATTTTTATCTCTCTATGTGATATCATAGCAGATTTTCAATATGATTGGGTCATCCTTTATTATGAATCCAATGTTTACACACCCAACTATTAGATATTAAGACTGGCCTTTATGACAAGATAGTTGAGACTCTTAGGAATCTTTCAGGGATTAAGTAATTTATCAAGATTGATTCGAGTCATGGGTTTTGCTATTCCTTTTTTAGCTAAACTTATCTCTATTCTCATTATTACAATGATCATTTATGCTTTGATTGGGTGTGAACTATTTGGTAAAATTAAACAAGGGGCAGTCATTGACGAATACATAAACTTTACGAATTTCGAATATGCATTATTGGCATTATATAAGTGTGCATCAGGGGATGATTTTAGAACAATAATGACTGATACGATGCACCATAATCCATATTGTTTAGAGAACTCTGACAATTGTGGATCAGATTTTAATTAATTATATTTCATTACTTTTATGCTATTCTCCAATTATGTTCTATTAAATTTATTTGTTCTTGGATTGATAGAATAATTTGAGGAATTCTTTCAGGTATAGAATTCAATGATTCAAACTTACGTAGAGTAAATTGATAAGATTAAAACTACTTGGTGTAAATATTCAGCCGATAATAATGGTGAAAGCATGCATTATAAATTCCTATGTCGATTCTTACTAGATATTGGCTAACCATTGGGAGGAGGGAATGAAGATAATCTTTGGGATGCTGCGAAATTGGCATCAAAATTAAATCTTAGATGGTATCTTTATATCTATGCATCTTAGTGATCCATATGGGTATATTCAATATAATCAATTATTGTATCATTTATTTAGAAGTTGCTATCATGATGAAATCTTTAAGGATGGATCTCAAGAGTCCATCAAAAAGATTAAACAATTCAATAAAGAAATGCATACAAGATTGTATTATTATAGAAGAAACAAAACTCAGAAGAGGAGCAATATTTGTCTAAATAATTTACAATTTAAATCTAATTTTAACATTCTTCATGATTATCTAAATGTTTTAATCTTATTTAAAACTTGGTAGTCATACTCAAGGTTATTAGTTTAAAAAATAATCAGAAGATAAGATGATTACACAGAAAATGATGAAATGACCATTGATATGGAATATTTCAGTCCATAATAGTAAATAATTTCATTAATTTATTAGTCGGCAAACTGATTTTATATCTGATGGTTTTAGCTCAAGGAGAACAACTGATATTAAGTTCTAAGAGAATTTGACTGGCCATCATGTATCTAGATAGAGTCATGAATCTTAGCAGCAATAGCATTAGTTACCTATTTATTAAAACACTCTGTAATAGGAAACAGATAGAATATACGGAGGGTTTGATGAAAATGTAATTTTGGGTTTCAAAGAAATTAGATTTAAAAATTGTAATTAATGATTGTAGACTATTAATTTATCATACTTTTTTATTTTAGATTTGCATTTATGATTCTTGAAGTTGCTTGCTTTTACTAAAAAAATGTCTATTAGTACCAATATATAATTCTTGAGGAACCTCCTCACATTCAAATTATAGCCCTATTTACAACAATAAAATTACTTGCATTTTTAAAGTTCGATTGACAATTTGAATTAATCTATCTATCATCAAAATTAATTCCACAAAAAGTGCACTGCAGTTTATATTTATTTAGTTCTTCTTAATATTTCTCCTCAATATTTTACCATTTTTAATACTCTTACTAAACTTATTATTCTAACTCAGCTTTGATTTTCAATATCTCTGCCTTAGAATCATTCATCAATTTCCAAATCATTTCATTCTTAAATTCGATCATCTATTATTATATGATACTCTATTAGTAAGACTATTTCAATTAAACAAACTCTTATGGTAAATCGTTTGAGTAAATGTCAATTTAGGTTTTGATCCTCACCTTGGCCATTCTTTCTATGTCCCCAAGTATCTTAATTGAGGGAACCTATTCCTGATTATTTAAAGCGTAGGATTATAGAGAATCAATATATTCAATATTACTTTGAAATTTATAATTCCAATTTAATACCTTATAAGTTCATCTTTATCTTGATATAATCTTTACAGTTTTTAATTTTCAGTTGATCTTAATCTTTCTATTATACAATCAAACTCTTCTCTAGTCATATTTTCAATTTTTTAGGTTTGATATTTGATTTCTTCAATCCTATTTTCTATCTAATTCATCATATAAAGTACTAACCTTTTAGATTTAATAGAGTATTTCCTGTCTCTTTGGCAACAGATTTTAATTAATCTAGTTTCTAATGCTTTCAAATCGATAATCGTTTTAGTCTTAATTTCCCATATGATAATGTTGTTTGTGATAATATTGTTAATAATTTTACATTGGTTATGTCTGCTATTAATAATAAGGAATGTTATTTAATTAGCTACGATATTCTTCTTAAGTTGAATCTGACGTGAATTAATTTGTATTATAATCGGTACTTCTTTGAAAATTATTGCTCAATTACTATTAACTTTAAATTCCAGAAAAATTATTCATCTATGAAACACCATTAGAATAAGAGGATGTGAAGGTTTGCATATATGGATCATCCTCATTATTGGCTATGATGTTATTTAATTGATACCTAGATTTTTGGTTTCTTTATCCCCTCCTCTGCTAATTACTCTTGCTATCAATTGAGATTGTTCTAAATCAGGAACACTTTAAATTTTGGTATCCTTTTTTTCTAATTTAGCTGTTTTCTTCTTTTTATCTTTATCTTTTGAAGACATTCAGTTATTAAATTTATAAAAATTATAATTCTTAATCACAATGATCTTTTTTATAGTCATAAACATACTTATATAAATTAATAATTTAAATGAACTTACAGAAAGGGCATTAAAATGTTAAATCTAATGTATTTTATAAAAAGTGTGAAAATAAACTTCACTTTTTGATATTATTTTATTATAATTTATAGAATAATTGTTATATATAAATAGTTTAAAATAATTGAATAATTAAATATGATCTCGATTTTGAATATTTAATTAAAAGGGATTAATAAAGTTGGATTATACGAATGACATGACGCATTAATTAATGAATGATATATTATAATTTCATTTCTTTTCATTGATCAAAATAAATAAAATTAAGAAAATGAATAAGCAATAATAGAGTGTTTCAAATAGTTTAACGTCCATATGGAGTAAAAGGACTTCTATTGAAACAATCTAAAATGAAGCTCTTTCTCCTGAATTCGAAAATAGTACTTAAGACATTTCGAAATATCATTTTGTCATTGGAATTTTAAAACCTGGATAAAAAAGGATAGGCTTAATAGCTATTAACAAAAATAAACTATCAATTGCAGGCATCCTAGGAATAAAAAAAATATAGAAATGATGCATTTCTAAATAATTGATAATCTCAATCTAAGTTGTTATTTTAATAAATTAATAATCTATATTCTCTTTTATTTTATTGACAGTCAATTTATTCAATGGCTTCTTCTATATGTAATTGAATCTTAAATTTTAATCATTTCAAATCACTTTTGGCATTCTATGATTTCTGTGAAAAACAAATAAAATGGAGATATCCTTATTTGATGCAAAAAGGAGATGAATATTTGAATCATGCTTTAAATATATTTATGTATATTAATTTTATTAGCCATATAAATTAATTAAAGTTTCTAGATAAAAAATAAATTCCGTATTTAAAATTTTAAGGATAGCTTTAATTAGGGAAAGTATGATCTTATCCTAAATCTTAAAGTTAGGCAGGTAGGTGAGAGAGAGCATTACTCTCCTGACCTTTTACTTGAGCAGACTCATTTCCAAAGCAGCCAGAATTATTGTCAAACCATGATAGGGATTCCTATGCCAATAAACAAGTTCTAAATTAATTAATTCTTTGATTCTTTCTCATCCTTCAAGAATGTTTCCAATAATAATAGTAATCTATCAAATATTTTATAAATCAATTCTTATCCATACATTACTAGTAGTTTGTATTCTTAAGTATTATAATACGCATTAACTTAAAGTGTATTAATCTGTTATTCCTAATATTGAATTTAATAATACTAGCTCAAAAATGTTTGATAATTAAACTACATCTTCTGTAGGATATCCAATGTTCCCTTCAAACCAGTATTAAAGTAATCAAATTATTACTATTGTTAATATAGAGTGTCTTAAGTATAATAACATAAGTTATCCTTTAGCAAATGATTTATTTCACTCAACACACTTAATTGTTGTATTTAGGGCAACCTCGATTGATATTACTCAGAAGTGACAATAATTTTTGAGGAATTCGAATCATATCCATAATCTAAATTCAATTACTCTAAAAACTTTGACATATCACTAATGTATGATTTGATTTTGCTAGTGTCAGAAGAGATTGTTAGGAGAAAGTAAGAAATCTATTAATCGTAATAGAAATTCAATAAAGTAAATTGTGTGGGGATACTGGTAGATTACATATTTAAATATCTTTAAGTAGTGATCGATAATTTTGAAATTAAGCTTGTAGTATATACACTTGTGCTAACAGTTTAATCGAAATAGTCTATAAAAGGAGTAAATGTATTGATTTAAGTTTGAATAATAATTATAGAAAATATTAAATAGCCAATAGAAATTGATGAAATCATAACATACAATCCCATGTCTTACCAAATGCTTAAAGTAGTATCACTTAATTTGGAATAAAAATAAGAGCTTTCATTTCCTTTTGATTTGACATTACCATTTTTAGTGTATTTCCCATTTAAATCAATATCCTTACTTTTATTATAAAAGATGAGTTTGACTTGGTTTTGTATGACTACAAAGATATTGACTAATTCATCCTCATTATTTAATTTTTCATCATCTTCTTATAAGTCTCCTTAACTCGTGATATTATTGCTAGTAATTGAATTAGATCCTGAAGGAGTACTATGTCCACTTCTTTTCATGTCCTCCTTTTCAGAATTTCAGAGTTTTCTCTGAAACTTTGCTCTTGTGATTCAAATTAATCATTTTTTACTTCAATATTTGATACTCTCCTAAGATTTAATCTACCAAACAACTTTGCAAATAGAGCTGTAGGACTTGAAAAAGAGTTCTTCCTTTCCTCAGGAACAGAGAGTGAGGAGGGCTATTTCTCTCTTTATTATTATTATTATATAGGTTATAAAAAGGATGGAGCATTTAGAGTAGTAGGAGTTTCAGAAGGAGGATCTTTTGGATTAAGAGCCTTTTCTATCTTCTTTAAAAAAGATAACTTAAGTTTTTTCTTTGGTGGTTCTTCCTTTAGTCTGAGAGACTACTTGATTATTCCTTTAGATATTCTTTACTTTGAATTGACATCTATTTAATTTTTTCAATAGAATTTTACCTCTTTAATTATGGGACGTTTAAATTCAATGATTGAGTCATAGAATGATTGCCACCTTTTGGAATTAGACTTTCTTTCATTCATTTTCAATATCAAACGAGGACTCATTTAATTTTTGATTTTGAGCTACAAAATTGACTTTCATGTTTGGTCCATCGTCTCTATCTAGTTAAGTTAGATATGATCTGCTATCTGGAATAGCCAAAGTGACAATGATTGGTTAATCAATATCTCCCTTATATTTAATTTATTATTGAGGAGTACCGAAACTCTCTTATTTTGAATGGATAAAGATCTTTTAGGCTTCTCTTTGTCAAATGAATCCAAGGAAGAAGCCTATTAAATCAAGCTTTTCCTTAATTCTTCACCTCAATCAAATTATTGATTTTTTTCTTTCTTCATATGAATTTTTAAAACATCCTTTCTTTTTGCTGTTTATAGATTTAATGATCATAATCTGCACACAAAATATAGGAATTGATCTTTTTCGCTTGCTCCTCCAACTCCTACATCAATTGAAGAAACACACTTGTACCTAACTTACTGCAGTAATTTGGCATCATGAGATTCTAAGGCTTCTTTTAATAAGGCTTTAGAATAACATTTTCTCACTTAATTATCAATAAAATCTTAGAATTCAGCATCGAATAAGTGATAACAATTCTACTGTTACTTAATGTAGGCATATCTGTTCTACATTTGCTATCTACGTATATATTTAATTTCCATATCATTCTTACTCTCCATAAATCGCTCTCCTGCATCATGAAAATATTCAATTAATTCATTATAATTCTTAGGCACATAGAGGATCAATCTTTCATCTTGCAATAAGGACATGTTCTTTTTCATCAATGAAATTGTTCATAATGAAGTTTCTATACTGATCTTTACCTAACATAGCACTGGATAATCCAACTTAATTTAAGCTCTGTTATCGATCAATAAATTGACTAATTTATCTTTATAACATATTACTAGCCTGACTTTCAAATAACTTATTATTATTTTATTGTTAGACATCTTAGTTTTTCTGATTGTCTGTTAACTGATTAAATTATTCTTGAGATTCTCTTTATAATAGATGTCTTTGGCCAGTAAATCTGTAATAGTTTTTCCAACCTAAGTCAAAAAGTGTTAGATACTTCCAAATTGTAACAAAATGTCTGATGGTTTTTGATATGTTCTTTTCAATTAAAATTTTGTTGTGCCTAATTTTTAATGCGTAGTTATGGTTTTCTTAAATAATTTAGCATTTTTATCTCTGGCTATGTTATGTAATAAGGCATTTTTCAGATGTCCAAGTTTCTCCATTTTTTAATTTACAGACTTATACTGGACCATCCCAAATTCATCCAAAGCTCCTTTCAATATCAATTTATCAAAAGTATGCAAGGAAACACCTAAGATACGAACCCATTAATCAAAAATAAGATATTCATCATCATCTTTAATTTTCAAAATAGATCCTAAAAGTGTAAAATCAGACAGAGTTTAAAAATTAAAAGATAAGTTGGTGTTGATTGGAAATACAAATCTTTAGGCATCACATGCATAAGAATTGATTGGTTTGTCATAATAATAAGTGTATCCCCTTTGTATGAATCTAGAAATGAAATAATTGTGAGAGGCAGTCAAATATGGAGGCATAATGCTTGAAATTTGTAATTTGTCTGAGTTCTAACTCGAATTAGATGATTGTAGTCCCCTAATACGTAGATTTTGAATCATATCCTCATAATTTGCATATCCCAAAATATCAACTAATCTATTTGAGACTCCCTTAAGGATTTAGCCACTCTATACTCCAGCACTTACTTCTAAAGTCACTAGATCTCCTGAGAGCCATTAGAAATGCCAATCTATCCTTATTTATGAGCTGCTCTACTCAACTACCATGAATCTTCTACTTTCCTTTAGAAAACGACTGCCTATTTATAATCTGAATCAAAAAAGAGAGATCTAAAGCATTGATACTTCAAATAGTATCAATAGTTCTTTTGAACTTGATTGGTGAAGCCACTCAATATTATATCTACTTTGTTCCTACTCTGTTCAATTTAAAGTGAAATTTTGATAATATCATCGAGAAATCGATTCATATTCTGAATATCTCCAGAACATAAATTCTCCCAAAATGTTATCTTTTTCCTCAACACAGATACAATACTCTTAACAATATCCTCTTTAACCATTTCCAATCGCAAAATTTCAGTCACATTCATTTTGACAAGGTCATAATATGAGTTTTTGTCTTCGAAGTGTTTTAATTTTAAGAGCATTAATAAATTATGATTCTTGTACTTTGGTAACATTACTAAAGAAGTAAGAAAATTGAACAGTTCTACTTTGTATTTGTTTGATTTTGGTGAGAGATTAAAGGCTGTTTACTTGAAGAAGAACATAAAGAAATGTACTTCAATGATAAATATTCAACTTCATCCAAATGCAAGGAAAATGACAATTATTAAATAGTTTAATGGAACTATCTTTTGTCATATTATGAAATAAGATCTTCGTTGATCGTATTATTCTTGATGAATTTCATTGGTTAAAATTAGATGGTCAAAGGTTTGCTATTCAAACTGAGGATGACCTCCACCAGCAAAGGAATCATTTTTACGACTTCCATCTTTGATAGTCTTCTGAAATTAACTGACATCCAAATTTTGAGAAATGTTCCAAGGATTACTGTTTTTATCTCCATTGCTCAACAGAGCTGTTTTAGATGAAAATGATGATCTGTGACTCATACTTTCTTAATTTTGAGTTTTGGATTAGATAAATCTTCTTTGCATTCACAATTTGGATCATTGCAGTTTTGAGTGTGATATTTCAACACATAGAGAGACAGCATGAATATATATGAATCCATTCCGGCTTACTCCACATACCAAACAAGAGCTTCTAAAGACGAACACAATTTCTTTATGTCCATCTATTTCATTGATCCAGTTAGAGTTTACAATATTAAATCCTTCAATTTCCTGCCCTAAAGCGATTAGATAAATATAAGAATATTGGAAATACCAAGAGGAAAGTCTCAAAGATGTTATCCCAATTATTGAAGGGTAGATCTAGGAGAGGGAACCCAAAAAGGATACTATGAATAGGCCTGTTGTTCCAAACATATAGACTTTGTTTCAAATGTTACCTTGTATGGCAGGAACAACATTATGTCCACCAATTTGAAAATGCTGAGCAACCAAAAAATATATGGCTGGATCTGCATGTCTGTGTTCCAATCTATGGCTACTATAAATATCACAATCAGATAATAGCAATAAGATATTAGATTTTATGTTCTATACAATCTCAATTAATTGAATTGATAACTGCGATAGAAGTAGAAGTAAATTAACACAATAATGGAGTGCAGAAATATGTTTATGATTGGCAATGCACTCCAAGCACTACTTTGTTTATAGAGCAACCCAAAGTTGATAGATAACTAGAATTTAATCAAGTGCCTAAAATTGGACAGCTAAGCTTCACTGCACTTTCAATTCCCTATGACAGTAAGATGTGCAATCTATTGAATTTTTTTCCGACATAATTATCTTGTTCTAATTCTAAAGTTTCAAGTACGACATCAGCAGTAGACAGCCATACAAAAACATGTTTAGTATCAGATTTAAGATACAGATTGGTACAAATAATATATTTGTTGGTCTTGCGAATATACTTAAAAACTACAATAACCATTTAATATTACATGAGTAAAATATTCATAGCCTTGGTTTTATTCAAATTTCAAACTGAAGCTCATCAACGAAACAAAGTGAACTAGTACTAGAATTAACGCTTTAGTCCCGAACATATTTTGTTATCTGCAATTTTAGTAATCTCTATTGACAAGACTTGGCCAAAACTTAATTCTTAATATTAATTCATTTTTCTAATTTAATTTAATATTTCAGACTCTAAGATCAGAATTTTACACTAATAAATATCTACAATCAAATTATATTCACTTTTGTAACTTTATTATTCAAACATATCCTGGTTTCTATCAACCTCTAAATATATCAATAACAACAAATCAAATCAATTATATATCATCAAATTAATTTCAGAACCCAACAACTAGGGAGGAATGGTCTCAACAATAAAAATTCACTAGAATTATGTTAGGTTGGTAAAGGATTCTTTTATATATGCTAACTTTATAACTTAAACCGACCTTCCTTTGTTTTTAAGCAACTTTAAAAATATATTAAATTTCTATAGTATGAAACAAAAAGGGTACATTTCATAAATGTATCTTATGAAAAATAATATCTTACTAAAATTAGAAATTTTCAAGTGTTTATTTACAAAATGAAATGCTACATCTAAAGGATGTTTTGTTCTAGAGAATTAAAATGAATATAGCAATAATTATCTAAAAATAGTCTAAAATATGCAAGGAATAATAGCAATTTAATTATTGTCACTTCAAATTAGGCAATTATCTAATTCTCTTGATTATTTTTATATCTACTTTTGACTCGGAGATCAACTACCAGTTTGTAAAAGCAAGAGAAAATAAATTGATTGATTTCAACTAATGAATGAGTTATTTCGTAATGGATTTCTAAAGATGAGAGTAAAATTAATTATTAAAATTGAAATTGAAATTATGTCTTAATAATAATAAAAATCCATGAATGATACTCTCTTCGATACTAAGGTTTTAGATAACTTTGAATAAGAGTTTTAATAGGTTCATGATGATATAAATCCAAAAGTTCACTCTCGTATTGCTCCTTTGGTATATGCAATTAAGGGATTGAAATAGGAAATCAATCAAGTCTTTGCTGATTTCATTCGAGAAACAAATAGAGCAACTGATGTTATGAGGATTAAGGATATGTTTGAAGCAGTGTTGATGGAATATAATCTCAGAGAGAAGGAAAGCAACAAATTAATGGAGGCCATCTTATAAAACGATTCCTAATAGATAAGATAGATATCTCAATTACTCAAAGAAATTCGTGAACTCCAACTTGAAGTAAATCATTTTTAAAGACAGAGCGAAGTCAAACGACAAAGGTAATGTGGTATATTTAAAGGAAATCCAACAGATTTCAAGAAATAAAATACTTCAATTATAGACGAGACCAGCATCTATGATTGGGTGGTTGACATAGATTTTATAACATCTATAAACAGTTCTGGATGGAAGGTTTGGTTGTCTCCAAAGATGATAAACCAAGAGATAATCAACATAAAAGCATTGGAAGGAGCAACGGTAGCTGTAACTGGACTGTATGACAAAGGGAAGACATTTGTATTGAACAGTCTCACCATGAGTAATTTGCCGTCTGGGAAGAAGGTTACGACAAGAGGCATTTCATTTAAGCATGTGAATGTAGATAATGGTACGAAACTTATTTTAGTGGACACAGCTGGAACATACAGTCCTGTTAAAATAGAAAATGAATTGTCTATTGTAGACAAAGAAGCCACAGAAACATTCATATCAGATCTTGTATTTGATTTGGCAGATTACTTTTTATGCGTTGTCAATGATTTTACCAGTCTTGATCAAAGATATCTTGACAGATTGAGTCGCAATCTCTAACAAAGTCCGAACAAGACATTTCGAGAAATTATTGTAATACATAATCTAAAAGATGTCGAATCTACCGAAATATTAGAACATGTGTGGAGTACATAAGTGACATAAATATATGCGAATGGAACTCTATAGAAAACTAAAGTAGCTGCCCTTAATCCAATTAATAAATAACTATTGGAAAAACATGTTCTTTGGTTTAAGACTCCCTATACTCGACATGTATGCATTGTGAATGATGATTGCAATTTGGGTAAGGGTCTCAATCCTTGGGTATTTTCATTACTCAGATATTGGTTAAAGGCAGTTTTCATTCCTGTGAACAGAAGTTTTTCAGTTTTGGATTGTTTGTTAATTTAATCAAGATAAAAACTTGTTAATTTTTTTAGAAAGAATATTAAAATTGATCTGAAAAACACTGACGATCCTTTGATCAAGGTCATCAAGACAGAGAATGAGTTCCAGGATAAAATTCAAATTCCTTAAGGATAAGTTGATATGAGTGGTTTAATAACAGGGCAACAGGATTCTTTTTAACCTGCCACCGATATTATTGCAGGTGATCAATATATAATTTTGATGGATGCTCCGGGATTGACTAATGATGATGTAGACATTCAGAGACAGAATGTTGTGACTTTGGTGAAGGGGAACAAGTAGAGACCGTACATAAATCAAGGGCAATTGGAAAAGAGTGAAAGGAAATATGGGGAATTTACACTCACATTCAAAGTATTGAGTAAATTACTAATTAGATTCCTGATATATACGAAAGATAATGGTCTCATTTCGGTGTGGAGAAGGGAGTGATCACGATAAAATACGATAAAGATAAAGATGATATTTGATTATATAAATTATTTTATGAGTGAAAGTCCACATTAATTGAAAGCCAAGATTGACTTCCTACATCAAGAAAACCAATAGTTGAGAGTCACTATAGAGGATTTACAAACCGTCATCAAATTGAATAAATAGTCAATGCGATCTATGATTGATTAAGACGTTGCCAATCCAAGATTTAATTAATAGACTACAATACGTGAGAATGAAAACACCGTGAAAGCACTTAAATTAGTAATTACAGAACAACAAAAAGAAATTGATCATTTGATGTCATCGTTAGAGAAAGTTTAAAAAGAGAGGGATTTTGCATAAGGCAAGGCCCTAATCTCAGAAGAGATAACCTACGCAGCAGAAAAGAGTGAAAAGAAGTTCATAGCTGAACTTGAGTCAACTATTTTCGATCTTAATCACACCATCAGTTAATAAGCTTAAAAAATATGTTAACTTGAAAAATAAGCTGATCAAAGAGATGATACTACTGGAGTTGTTGTGAGATATAGGGATGTCATTCATCCTAATTCAGCCACTATTTTACTTCATGATGAAATGGAAACATTACACCAATTGATTGTGAGATTACAATTATAAGTTAATTACTTAAAGAGTATTCAATTAAAATTAGTGACTCTTATCAATAAAGTCATAACTAATATATAGATGAAAATCTAAGGAGAAGTTATCGATTTAGATGAGGATTATGAAAGAGCGCAGCATGAATTCTTGGAAATCTTAGCTTAAATTTAATGTAAATAAATTAACTTAATAACTATTTTTAGAATCTAGATTACCCACTGTAGATTTGCCAGCCAGAACAAATTCCATCTAATCACCTATGAATACTGATATGATACACTCTCCAATACCTTCTCCTTTTCCTGCTAAGGCTCCCTAGGTTTTTAAAAAAAATTGTTAAAATTTAAATTAAACATTTGATGGAGGAGTAGGTCTTAATGAATCATATTAATAATATGGAAAATAGGATGATTTTAAGAAAAACAATTCTAAGTTGCCTGTGCCAAAATTGAATTTAGCCAAAGCTTTTCAAATTTAATAGATTAATGCCAAAAGATCAACCCAATAAATCAAACTAACTGAAGATCAATTATAAAATAGAGTTCGTAAGTTAGAACAGGAACTTGAAGAAACCAAGAAGAATCTATCAAGAGAGATGATTTTATGCAAACATTATGAAATCGAAAATGAATCATTGAAAAGACATATAAAATAAATTGAAGGAAATAATGACATTTTAGTCAAATCCAATCTCAATCTCAACCAGAAATGGGAGAAAATTTAAAAAAGTTTTATGTTCTACAAAACATTTTTTGTCGAACATAAGGATTAGTTTGCATAATTATAAATATTAGTTTAATCTGAAAAGGAAGTATTAAATATATTTTGATTCATAGAAGGCTTAATCTTAAGAGGATTACAACGAGTTTGGTTTTAATTCTGCGAGGGTGAGTCATGCAAGAAAAGGACAGACCTAAAGAAAGAAAAACTTATTGGATTAGACAATTTCTTTATATGTTCCTGCATATTAAGGTAATATTGTTATAATAAACATATTAAGAAAGCCTGATGGATGTCGAGTCTCGATTAGCCAGAGTCAATCAATCAGAAACATACAATCAGAATAATAGAATCGACTCAAGTGTGATCGAAAACGATAGGGATGGCGAACTTGGAAACTATTGTTTAGATAGGGATGATAGTTACATGGAGAACAATGAATGGAAGAACAATGTTAAAAAAGAATGGACAATCCTAGCATCCTAGGTTCACTCTGCAAAACCGAAAGATTTAGCATAACAAATAAAGCAATCCTAACCAATACAAAAGTTATAAAATATCAAATCATGAAATATATTATTAATTACAATCAACATCCATCCCACTAATTATTTTTTTGGTATCATTGATTTATTAGAAAATTAAGTTCGATAATTGAAATACCTTAACATTAGGAGAGGGAGGAATTTGGGGAATAGTCTAATTCTATAAATGTCCAAAATAGTTGAGTAACTCTACTTCACTCTTTTAATCTATTATTCGAAAAATCTTATCGTTTAAGTTTGAAAGTTTCATATGAGTATCAGTCAATCTATTAACATAATTTTCTTATTAATCTATTATCGAAGGAAGATTGCCAATTTTTTCTAATAATTCGTTTTGTTTGCTATTCAATAATTGATGCATAACCTATTTGTAACTCAAAAAAATTACTTGAAATTCTTAGGCTATTTGAAGTCTCATGTGTTCTTAAATTGCAGATTATTGAACTTGCTTTTTTTCTAAATCTTATCTGTAGTTCTCAATCTAAGTTATACATTGGTTATTTTATTCGACTTAATTTTCCAATTACTTTCTAACCAAAGGATATGACTTTTTGATTGTTTTAACTTCATGGTTCTTATGGATTCCATGAATTATACATTCAGGACATATACATTTACTATTGCAATCAAAGCAAAAATAGGAAACCTCCTCTTCTGGATGGTCGAGACATTGCTCTCTTGAGTGTTGGATAAATGAATTTTCACTTTATTGTTTGCTCATTTGACGTTATGACTAATGAACTGATGATTTTGCTTCTGGATTCTAAATTGCAAATTTAATTGTCTTTTCTTTTTGATTCTCCTTATTATCTTATCGAGTTTAGGATCTTGATTTCACTTATTTCTCAGAACTTATATTCGCTTTTTAGACTAGAGCAGGTTTTCTATTAGATCGATCGTGTAATGCAGATGCTAGATTTATTTTCTCTAATTCATAAATGCTATTAGAATCTAACTCAGTGTTCCCCTAGCAGATGTCACATACAAAAAACTTTATATTATTTTCAAACTAGTATACTTTTTTGTGCTTTTTTGTCTATTGAATTGAAAAAGATTTGGCAGCACAATCCAAACAAAGATCATGATTACAGGTCAACATTAATATGTCATCAGGCACTTTCTAACAGTAACTACATTTTGAAACATTCATTATTTTTAAATTTTCTTTGTTCGTTAACTAATTTATGAAATAATATAAACTAGATCAATTAGCACAAATAATAAAGAGACTAGAAAATATTCTAGATAATCCTAAACCAATAAATTCTCAATATTCTCTCTTTCGTCTCTTACCCACTTTTTAATCTGAAGATTAGACCTCTTCGGAATCGAGTACGAACTAAATTATTTTTGATGAGCAGCCAACTTAAGATTATACAAAGAATGAACTGAAGACTTTTTCAACGGAATCTCATAGTCTTAAACTAGATTACACGAAAATTTCAACAGAATTAAGAGGAATGCTACAGAACACGTTTAGGAGCCTTAATATAGACTAAACAAATTATATATCCCAGGTAATCTTAAAGCATACTCAAAAGGATAATCCTTTAATTGCTTTGATTATAAATTAATTAAATCTTATTCAAAGTGTAGTTGAAGCAAATTCTATTTGTCAAAAATATCATGCTTCAATAGAGAATTTATAAAGTCAAATCAATAATTTCGATTAATAACATTTTATAGCATTAGTAATCTCATTAAGATCAAAGTTTTTTTCAGAAATTAATAAACATAAAATCGATACAAGCTTGGTTCCTTAATATGATTAATTTTAGTTAATTAAAGAATAATAATTAAAAATTTAACATGTTTAACGAGCCATTGATTAGCTAATTCAATAGATTAGTTGATTATTTTATTTATTTATTTTTCATAAACATAATCATATGTTGATAGTATCTCAAAAGTAAATATTATATAAATTATTTTACAAATCATCAAAATCAGAATAATCTAAGAACTATTTTAATTTTAATTATTTTTAATTTAAATCTCTAACATCTTTAACATTTCTGAAATTCAATAAATAATTTTCTAAATGTAATAATTCCTATATATCGATATTTGAATTACTTGGTCTTCTTTGTTATCATAATATGAAATAATTGGGATTCCATTGTCAATTTATTTGTTAAATGAATAGGAAGCATTGTCTACTAATAAAACATCAGAGAGTTTTCGATTTCCTAATACTCTAAAACTAAATGGAATTTACCTTAAATCTTTAATGTAAGCTCCCTCCTTTGTTTAAATGCAATGTTCCCTGAACAATCGATATGAAACCCATTATTTTTTTGGATCCAAATAATCAATAACTACATTAGCGTAACATGAATGAGAAGCTGTAAAAATAACAATTTCAAAATCCCTTGAAAGTGTTTACAGGATTTATTTTGCATAAGGTCTAATATTAATAGAAGCCTAAATGGTTTCATTATTTGGAAAGGTGATGGGTAATGTGATGTCTCCTGGAATTGATGTGTTCTAGTTACAATGAATCAATGTTTCATCCAGATCAAACACTATTGTCTTTAGATTATTTGATTTTGGCAAGAATGTAACCTTATCTGGTTCAAATTGCACTTAAGATCTACTTGCATAAAGTAATCCCTAGATAAATTAATACTAAATTCACTTGATATGTTTGTAAAAAATGATCTTTAATAAGTTCATCAAGTTCTGTAGGTTTCTTACTTTTTATAGCTTAGATTACAGTTGAAATGTAGTACAAGAACTAGATAAGCTAAATAGCTTACAGGCTCATTTGGTTATGTGTCACTCATCTTCTTTAAATAAAAAAATTTGGAATCCATCGATTATTATCTTTCTGATTTATTTAAATTAGAGTTTGGTGAATGTACATTGGAACCCTTTAATAATTAAGAATTCTTATTTAAATTTGTTTTAATTTAAGTGACAAAATCTTTTAGTTATCCAGTCTTTTTGTCCTATGATTGTCTTAATAATTAAGAATTCGATGTATAACTGTTTAGATCCTTTATTTATGCATAAATATTTAATGTTGATTCAATATCTTTAGTAACTTTCCTCTCTTCTTAACTAACATTCTTTTATTATTAAACTAATTTCTAAGGGAAGTATTTAGATACCATAGAATACTATTTTTATTTTATTCTATCTGTTTGTTTGTCTTATTAATTTTCACTTCCATTAGCAGAAGTATCCTTCAACCGATTAAACCTTTTTTCCAAATTTTCCAATTTCTCATTCAAACTCTTGTAAGACTAACTTTCTGAAGGTTTTTATCTTTGACTCTCATTTAATAAGTAATCTATCCATTTATTATTTTACTCTTTAGTTGATTTTGTATAATTATGTCTAAATTTAAAGCCACTTTGTTATAACAAAGTGAAATATGAAACCTTTTTCGTCTCATTAATTTATTATTGATTTCCTTTCTAAATGTAATATGAATTTTTCTCAGCAGCTGATTAAGCACGATAGAATTATTATAGCGATTCAGATTTATATAATCCACTATTTGAGCGATTTTCATTTTTTTATTGACTTGAGTTGCTGCTCTCCCTATTCTAATACTATTTCTTTTTCTGCAATTAAGCATTAGAGTTTTCCTTATCATTTGTTATTGGAGATCTGAAATTATCTAATATACTTTATCTAGATATCAAATCTATATTGAATTTTCATTTAGTTACCTGCGTAAGAACAGTTTTATGCAGTCTTGTACATCTTTTAAGATTCTGATATTTAGAATAAAAAGTCTGTTTATTTTAATAAAACAAATAATAAAGGAAAATATGCTCATTTTTTTACAGCTGCATTTTAAATGTCTGCTTTTCTTGATTTTGAAAATCTTTAAATTATTTTTTAATTTTTATTCTAAAGCCTTATTTATTAATTTTATTTAACTCTATGGAGTTAAAGTTCTAAGATATCTGAGTGTTAACCTAGTACTTTTATAGAGTGCGTGATTTTAAAAGCTTTCTTATTTAATTTATTAAAAAAAACTCTTCTTAGCATCAATTTTTCCAAGGATTGAAAATATTCATAACTATTATGTTTTAAAAATATAAACATAGGATTACTAAATTAAATTTCTGAGTGATTCTGAATCATTTAATAAGTGAAGTTATTAGCTGAGAATGTTATGATATAATGGTTGATTAAAGATATAATCAAAAACAATGTTTTAACTTTTATATAGTATGGGGTAAAATCGATATTCTCAAAAACTTTTAATAATCCTCAAAATTAGTAGAAGACTTAAACAATGGATCAAAAGACAAGTTTTATTGAATCCATTTACATAGTCGATAACTTGTGTGTATCCTTAGATTTCAACTTTATTATTTTTCTACTAAATAGGTATATAAAAAATGTAATTATTTTACATATAAGTATATGTTTTCATCAGTATAAATCACTTTATGCTCTAAGCCATTCTTCAACTCCTGTTAATATAACAATAAGCTTTTTTAGATTCTTAGACATTTTTTAAATATCACCAACATCAAATAAAGGCTCTAGATCTTCAGCATTTTTATATGATTAAGGGACTTTATTTAACTCGATATGCTAGTAATTGACTAAACATCTATTTGGACTTAAGTGATTTAGCAAAACTGGATTCTTGAGCTCCCCAAGTTAAATATGTGCATAAGATAGTCCTTTTATTTTACTAAGATCTAGAGTTCCTCTTTCTGTTAGTAGAGACTAAGTTTACTATGCTCTTGGAATTCTATCATTCAAATTTTATTTGTACCTAATAAAAGAATTAGCATTTTTTGATTCTTGTTATTATCTTTTTACGTTGGTTCTGTCGAATAATGGCTGTTTTCTTATTTAATAATGCAGAAGTTAAGGTTTTTTCTTGGAATTATGCCTCATAAGCTCAAAATTATCTTTAGCTTTTTATAAGCCTTCATCCTTCTCTTAAGCAAAGATAACCTCGAATGGTTCATCATCAGAAGATATATTAAAATCTGCTTCTTCAGTATTTACAGATTACTTCTCTCTATTACTTTTGCCTATCGAACCTTACTCAAACTTAGCGACTGCCAATCTCTTCAATGATGAATTAGATTTCTAATATGATTAACAAAATATTACTAAAGTATCTCCGTTAATCATTTTATTATGATAAAACTAAGCCATTTCAATGTTACCTTCATAATAATAATACTTTCCCATCTAGTCATACCCTTTTAGTTCTTCATTTGGTTTATCCAATTTCCAGCTGCACATCAAATACTTTGTTATGTAGGTTTTAGCTTGCTTAAGTCTTAGCTTAAGGAAACATAACGATAAGATTTCATAGGCCTTAATTTTATACTTTAGCATAGGCTCTGAGTCTGAAAACCTCTTTGCATTTTTAGCGAGCAAGATAGCATAATGGAGGAGATTATAATATCTAGCAATTTTAGAGAGAGATAAACTAACTAAAATCTTGATATCTAACACATTGATTAAGCTAAAATACCAATATTACGGATTTTAGATATTTGGTTATTGATTTCTTAAATAATCTCTATGCAACAGGATCGTTTGGATTTGTTTAGAAGAATCCTTCTTAATCTATCGATAAGAATGGAGATATCATCTCTGTTTCTTAGTAGCATATCTTGACTGAAAAAATAGATTGAAACATAGTACATATATAGCTGTTGATTTGTTTATCGGATTCTGCATTCATCCTTTAACTTTTCTATTTCACATTTGTAGGTATTTTTTATGTTATTTATAAGTATATTTATCTTGCTATTGATTTGTTTAGGGTACGGATTAGATCTTTTGATTAAATAGCCTTCGCTAGTTGAATGTTCGGTATTAAATTTTTCATGAATATACTTGCTAGATTTGTTGGTATGAACAGTAGTTTAAAGAACATCACATGTTCTTTCTGTTGTTTTATATCCACTTAAACGAGAAAGAGACGGTTTATTCTTTGTTAGAAAGTATTGATAAAACATAAAATAAAATACACATTTATCTAATATTGATTAATTGACTCGGCATCTCTTTAATTAGAACAATTATTATGATCTATATTATTGTTGAACTGTTTAGATGATTTAGATTTATTACAATATTGTTATTTTTCCTCTTATTCAATTTAGAGTTGATTATTTAAATTTATCATTCTTATGAAAATTACTATGATTAGAACTTTGTCTCCGTATTCTAAAAAGGTATTCCATAACTAAAATACAAAGCAAAAATTGAATTTTTTTTCTTAATTGGGATATGTATAGTGAAATTGAAATTCTTGATATGTTTATAATTCTCATGAAAATGGCGTTCAGAGTATTTAAGAAAAGGTTATAATCGTTTAACTTTGACGATTTTTCTAAGATATATTCAATTTCTTATTGAAAACGATAATAAAATTTGGCTAAATTTAAAACTGAATATTTTTGACAATTTAAATATTCAATGTTATTTTGATTAAAAATAAGCAAAAATCTTTGGAGTTGTAGATATCTATTTACAGGTTTTCTATGATCAATAGGAGCAGCAATTAATTTAAGACATAAAAATAGGATTTCTAAAGGAATTTAAATTTGATAACGTTTCTTCTTCTAAATTAAAATGTAAATGGATTTGAAAGATATTGGAATCTTAACTAATCCTTATTATTTTCAGATCTAGACATGAAAACAATATAAATTTATGCTTTTTCCTTTCAAATCTCTCATTTAGATTTATTGGACCAATAGGATTTCTTAAAATAATTTAATATAAAATTATAGTTTTCAATTAAACTTAAGAAATCTAGCACGACTAGCTAGAAGAGTTAGTAGCAAATCGGTAGTAATTTTTTTATTATAAATACAGTATTAATATTAATTAAAATGTATCTAAACAATTTAGAATTTTATAGTGGAAGTGGGTATAAGCAGTCAGGTTTCTTAAAAAAGTGGAAGGAAAAACTTTTAGTTTTCAATTTGAATACGAAGGTAGTGAATAGTGGAATATTTAGGTTTTATAAATTTAAGATGCAAAGACTCAAACTCAAAAGCAAATTGATATTTCAAATTACAACTTAAAGAAGTTGGGTAAGTATTAAGAGAAATGGTCAATAAAACTATCGTCAGCATAAAATGAAGTTAAATTGGGATGGAATAGTGAAAAAGATTTATAACAATGGATTGATTGTTTCACGGGAGAATGGTAGAAGAAATAGGAGCACTTAAGATTTTTGGAGGAATTTGATAAATCTCACCCTGAGATTGAGCCATATATTGAAAAATAACCATTGGTATTTAGACCAAAACCAAGCTTAATGATTCGTGATAAGATTGAAAATATGATTCCTCATTTGCCATAGTTCATTTAAGTAAAGAAAAAGCATAAACAAATAGAAAGACATGGAGATTCTTCTGTAAAACACATTATAGAATTTGGATGGTTTCAGTGACATTCAAAATTTCAAGCAAATATTGGATTAAGAAAATGCAAAATTGTATCAGGACCCAAACGATAATTTGCATATGAAGTTGGTTTACTATTCGAAAATTGAGCCTCGGAGGATTTATGATGTAAATTCTGGTTTATTTATTTAAGGAACATGTGATGCCATCAACATAAAATTGGATGCCTGATATAATTAAGCAATTTTAAGTATTTCCAACTAAGAAAGGATGTAGTTTGGTATATTTAGAATTTGAGTTTAAAGATGATGCAATTCCTAGATAGCATAGTATTTAAGATGAGGATGTGTAAGAAGAATAGCATAACTTCAAATTTCATTCATCTCAATCACTGAATTAGAATGAGTAGGATGATAACAATAAAATAAGAATAGTATTCACATAGAAGGGATTTGAGAAGGACGGCATCTATTGTGTATTTCGTAAGTACACAGGATAAGAAATGTATCATGATTAGATTGATAGGAGTCTGGCAAATTAATTGGGCAAGTATAAGATCATTAGATCAGCTCTTGTTGTTTAACCATCAAAGTATTAAAAGTCATATCATTTAGCAAACAGGAGTTCAAAAGTTTACTGATAGAAGAAATATACGTGGATTGTAAAGATCTGGATGGAGGAGAAAAGTTATTGAAAATCCTATTGTTGAATATAACATCTTCAGACAGAAATCTGATGCAAATCTAATAGGAAATATAATAAATAACTGAGAATGTGGAAGTGAAAAATGTAGAACTATTCGAAACCATTTAAATCTCTATTAAATTAACGGAATCTGATATTCAAAGGATAACTTCAGAATAGCATTAGATTTAATCAAAGGAAGAATTCTAAAAGTTAATTGAAAAGGTGGGAAATGGCCAATACATTTTAGATGCGATCGCATATCATTCAGATCAAACTATTATTTCTGGTTTAGACAAAAAACTACAAACCAATGATGAAGAAGGTCACTTCTTATACACTAAATACTACCGAGTTGACACCACTAAAGGTGGCTTAACCTATCATAATGAAAGATTATTGAAGGATTAAAGATCTGTTCTCTTAAACATGATCAAAAGGATGGGATCCAATCTTATATAAGGAAAATCTGTAATGTCTGTCTCCCTGCCTATCTAAATATTTGAAAGTAGATCCTTTCTTGAGAGAATGGCTCGAGCTTAAGGACATGCTCCTCTATTTTTTGAACCTGCAGCAAAATCTAATGACCCTTTACAATAAATGAAATAGACTATTGCCTTTCATATGGCAACTTTTATGATGGGAATTCAGTAAGAAAAACCATTCAATCCAATTTTAGGAGAAACCTTTTAAGGTAGAATACTTGGATGCCCTATTTATTTGGAATAGACATCCCATCATCCACCAATTTCTAATTACATTATGTTTGGAAGAGATTATAAATTGTATGGATCTTTCAGTCCTATAGTTAATATGGGCTGCAATAGTCTCTCTGGAGAACAGCAAGGACATTCTATAGTACATTTTCAAAATACAAATTTAAAATTTTATTACATTAATCAACCATTTACAGTTTATAACATTATCACTGGACAAAGAAATGTCAATTGTCATAAACGAAGTTTCTGTTTTTAGCCTGATCTTTAATTATGTGCTGTTATACAATTCAACCCCAAAGATGAAAATAAAAGTTTTTTTTCAAGGTAAACCACACCAATTGATCATTTCTTGGGGAAGATTTATAAGGTATCTCCTATGTTTATTTAACGTTGTAAAATGGCACATAAAACTGGATCAGGATTGAATTTGAAATTGAAAATCAGCAAAGAAGAAATCTTAGAGACCTACGACTCTATCAGTGGCCGATGGACTTCTCATTTAGACATCAACGGCTAAAGATTTTGGGATATTAACATACATAGGTATTTACTATTATTAATCTACTTAATGATAGACCCTATGTGCTAGAATTGGAGTCTAGACCTTTACCATCTGATTGTTTATATAGATTAGATTTACTTCTCATGAAAATGAAGGATATTTAAAGAGCACAAGAAATGAAAGAAAAAATGGAAGTAGATTAAAGAAAGGATTAAAAGTTAAGGTAAAAATGATGAATAATTTTATGGATAAATTAAATTTATACACTACTCATTAATGTTTTAGAAAATATTACATCTTTTATCTTCTCTCTGATAATTATTCAATAATTCTTAAGATTTGATATGATAATTAAAGTCCTTCGATTAAACAATTACCCAGATTTTTGCAAATTGTGAAAAATTCATATTAAGAAATACTAATATTTTAAGTAGATAAAATTTGGTAGCGTACTGACCTGCTTATATATAAAATTTATACTGTTGAGGATAACTTAATGGCACTATGATACCAATCTCTATTTGTTAATCATCTTTAGCTAGTACCATTTTGTAACAGTCGTGTAGATGTTCGGCTTGGCCTTCAAATCTATAATTCAATTAAATATATGATTATAAGGTTTTGTCCTCAACTAATAGGGTTGTGTCCTTATTTTATTTGTAAATTAAACTCTCTCCCAAACAAAACTTATACCAAAATGGAGTGTCATCGTTGATTTGACAATTACCAAAGTATTTTAATTGATATTTCTATTCAAAATTCATTCCAGGAAAATTTGTAAGCAACTCATTTTTTTACAATTTCTGTAATTGAATTTTGATTAATTATATATTGTATATTCTTTTCTGTAATTGGAGATAGAACTATTGAGCACTCAACTCAAATCCAGTTAACAATTTAGCCCATCGGAATGTCATATATTTAGTATTAATGTTAATTTCTTCATCACTCTTTGCATTAACAAATATGGGTTCTCCAGGATCTCCTTAAAATAATCCACAGAACAATTCTTCGGATGTTATTTGATTTTTTCGATCTACTTAGAATACAATCTTATCCAATGTTGTAAAGTATCTAATACTAAATGAAAATGGGTATATATTTTCATAAAATTATTCCAACTTAACTCCTAAATAATTTAATGCGATCTGATCAAATATTCCTGATTCTATTGTTACCTTCAATTCGAATTGTGACTATTTGTAAATGCTATCTGCAATTGGATGTGAAATGATTTCTAATTGTATGAATTTAGTTTGTAATTTTTAATAAATTTAATGTAATGGTTAAGGCAACTATTAAAAGAATTCCTGTTGAGATGGAAGTGCTAAATGAGGAATTTCAAACATATTCAATGCTGGTATGAGATGCGATTATGATTACCTAAGCAAATCTGGCAATACTTGAAAATATTGGGACTTCTTTTATTCTTAGTGTTATTGCAGATGTTCGAACTCATTTGTGATTTCCTCATATTTTTTCTTCTTCTCTCTTCGAACTTCTAATTCTGTTTCCAACTTATGCAAGATTTCGTTATTATGATCCAATGGATTTTTATCCTCCAAATCAAGTTGCTTTTTAATTTAATTGTAATGATTTGTTTGCAAGCCTTTGAATTATCCTATTTGCAATTACAATTAAGTTTTTGAGTACTTCAAACATTCAGAGTTGATTGTCTACTTGTCCAACTAATCTTTTTCCAATTAATTTGTACGCCTATTACCTTCTATACTTTTATATAGTTCTCTATGACTCTTCCTTAAATCAGTCAACAATTGGTAATCAATACTATCATTTCTTTTACCTGTCGCTTTGCTTACATTATCCCTCATCTAGTCTATCAATTTTTGGATTTTTTATTGTAATTCCATTTTTTATTTTAATTAATAATGGCAAGATTAATTGGAAATGCCAACATTAAACTCAGAAATCCTCTTCTGAAATTATGTTAACCAACTACTTCACTATCCAAACTGATTGCCCTCAAATTGATATTCATTGATGACGTTTCAAATCATTACACCATCAACTGCAAGAAAGTGAATTGCTTTTACACCCAAGGAAAATAAATTAAGATCGAAAAATTGATAGAAAAAGAGTTAAATCAATATTCAGATTCCAATCAACTAAAAAACCCTAAATTTTATTTTTATGATTTAAATGGTAATCAGATTACCATGTATGACCCATCCATCGAAACATATCTGGTCAGTATAAAAGATAACAACCATTGGTTATATGATAAGAAATATGAAAAACTTTTATTCTAAATAATTTAGATGGATACAAGCATAATCAGCAACAATAACATCTCTGATGATAAATCGAGAAAACCTTCATTAATGAATTCAAATTAGCACATTATCCAAAATAGTCTTTATGATCATTTAATACCTTAGAGTAGTTTCAGATCTCGAATACTTTAAAAGGGAATTTAACATCTAGAAAATGTCTATGATAATTTCAAAATGACCAGTCGGTAAAATTCTGACCCCTTCATCATTACCAATTGTAAATTCAAAACCACCCATTAATCATTCAGTTCATAAAACAGACCATTAAATATATCTTATGTTAAAATCAATACTCCTAATTCAACTCCAAGACATTATTTAACTGATCAAGAATAATACTTCATAAATAACATGTAAAAATGTTAGGATGATTTAGACAATTTCATTAATAAACTCAAATCCAATTTGTCAAAAGAAAATGAAGAGGTTGAAAAGATCATTCGATTTTATGAAAATGTCTTATATCCAACCCCAAAAAGTAGAGCACTTGAGATGAAATAAATATCTACTTCTAGTTTGATAAGCACAAAATTAACCAAGATATTAGGAAAACAATTCCCAGCAGACACTAAAGCACCAAAAGCCTACGTTCCATAAGAAAAGAAAATGTTGTATAAAATACCGCCTTTATTACATCTAAACATACCATCTTTATAGGCCAAGTACAGACTAAACAGAAGTTAATTATATGCCTTTTTCTCACTCTATAAAGTATTACATCTCATCTCAGGATATATGAAAATAAAAAGTAAATAATTGTAGGTTCAAGGTATTACTTATGAAGTGTACAGGAATGGAATTGAAACTATTCAGGATTAAGCAGAGAATATGGCAAGGGGAATATTTGATATCATAGATAGCCGTTGTTCTGGCTTCTTGGATTGGAGTCAATTTTTATATTTGATGAGTTCAGTATAAGCTAAAACTAGGGATCAAAGAATTGATTTGTTTATCAAGATAGCTGATTCTAACAAGGATGGTTAACTTTCTTATTAAGAAGTTGTAAGGTTGAGTTAATAAACACTATAAAAGTTCATTAAGAATGGTAACACAGAATTTTTGGATGAAATGTCTTAATTTTTCACTAAAGTAATATTTGATTCAGTCGGAGTGGATTATTAATAAGAAATTCAATTTAATCAACTTAAAGAAGTAATTAATTAAGGACATCCTAATTCAGATTTATTGTGTATGTTTTGTGGAGCAGATTCTTGATTCTTTATGCTTCATTTTATTTATTTAATTAAACGAATACTATTATCATCATATTGCCTTCACGATTGGAATTGATAATCCTTATGATTAATGACTTGATCACGAATTCTAGGTATTCGGAGGAAAATTTCTAAATTTCAAATACATAATATCGGAAGGGATTAAAGAGTTTTACTGATTTCAATTTGTTTTAAAGATCCTCCTAAATTAGATTAGATTACCTCATCATTTAAAACAAAGAGTAATAATTTATAGAGATTTTAAATTATTTTTTTATATTCCTCCTAATTTAATGATAAAATCATCATAAGATTTTTCAGTTTCACTAATTTTGCTAAAATTCATTGACACTAAATCAGCAAGAGTCTCAACCGGAGCTGTTTAGTAAATGTATCAGTTTCTAATAAAATACTTCTTATTATGAATTACAGACACTCTAAGAATATCTAATTAAAATATAATAATAAAACAAGAAGTGAAGTAATGTATAATAAATTTAGGATCTTAGAAGATCATGATTTAATGTAAGCTATTCAAAATTGGATTGTTAAATAGTAGCCAAATAATTCTAAAGTAATCATTAATTTAAGATTGAAATTGTAAAATATATTGTTGATACTAAGATCAATGTGGATCATATTTTTATTTTGATGTTTTTAGGAACAATTTATTTTTTATATTTTCATTTTAATCCCTCTAACCAATCAAAAAATCAATAAATTATGATAATGAAGAAAGATTTTGTCTTTTATGAATTATTGTATCTGTCTTTTTAAGAAGTTATCGAAGTTGATTTGAGATAGAGTTTTCTGTTTTTACCTGTAGAGTTGAGATTATGGACTTTCTGACTTGGATTCATTATGTAATTGATGCAAAATATAGGGAGATAAATTAATGTTGATTGTTTCATAGATTTGGCTATTAATATTCTAGGTTTTGAGATTCTCTTACTCTGCTTTGTTTATTGATTTCTTATTTTCTTGAATTTAAAGAAATTTAAAATGTATTAAACCGCTCTCACATATATCATAAATCAATATAAATTTTTTTTATGTTTTAGTTATTTTTCATAGAACAATCCTTACGAGATTAACTTACTCCACTTGCTTCCATAAGAACCATAAGTCTTTTCATCACAGCTTTTTGATCTAAACTATTTTAAACCATGTACATTTTTCTATTTAGTAGCTTAAATTTGACTTTTTCCCATTAAATCAGTAATGGCCTCATTTTTATTCTCCAATTTTTTCAATGCATTTTTTTTTGGGGCTTCGTTAGTTACACTTAGTTGAGAGAATATTTGAAATCAGGAAAACATTGATGTTAGTTAGAGTATTCATTTAATTTTTGATGAAGTCTATTTTAATATAAGGGTCCTTTAATCTGGGACTGGAATCTTAAGAATTTAATAGAGGACATGGAAATCGCATTTTTTAACTTATTTGATTATCCATTCGACTACTTGCGGATGATACTATGAAATATATAAATATATATAAATATTTATAATAAAATTGAAAATGAGTGATATGTTTCAGGGAAATAAAAGTGGAGTCTCTTATGGAAGTCAATTTGATGCGTAATATCATTGAGGAAATATTGAATTTTAGTTTAGGTGCTAGTTTTGGTAGAATTGCTCCACAAGACAAACAAAGTATAGGATCAAATAATGGAGGTGGCAGTTTTGCATAGGTTTCTGTTTCATTTTTGGTACAACCAGATCAATACAGATCATCAGTGGGTTTGGAGGAAGGGGCCCCTCAAATTCAAATATATGAATATTAAGAGCCTTAAAATTAGAAAGGAATATTATTCAGAAGCAGCGGAGATTTCGAAATGTAATTTGAAGAGATTCGAATGGATCGATTAAATATAGATTAGCAATAAAAGGTAGAGGAGGATGCCTAATAATAGCAAAAAATGAATTAGAGACAGTCAGATGAATTTGAAATGAAAATATGTAATATTCTATGTGTATTATAGAATGTGCGGAGCAAATTAGCACAAATTTTAAACCTGAAATAAATCAAATGGTGAATCAAAATATTATTGAGGAGAACAAGAATCTTTTCAACGTGAATATTTCCAAAAGCATTTACACTAACAAAATAACATAGCTAGTTGAATAGACTTAATAGAAATTGAATTTGTAAAACAGAAATTAAACACCAACTCATCTATCGTAATTATTTAAATTTATAATTTTAGTAAAAGCCAATAAAAATTATAAAGGAAATCACCAAATTTATAAAGAGATCATTCTGATTTATCATCAGATTTTAATCAATAGAATAGTAATGATCCTAATCAAGATCCAATACAATAAAAACTAGCTAAGAATAGAGAATCAGCAAGAAATTCTAGGGCAAGAAAGAAGATTTATTATGAGTTATTGGAAGTGAAGGCTTAAGAATTGCAGAATGAAGTGGATTCATTAAAATAATAAATTTAGAATTAGTAAAAATACGCAGAAATTTGTAATAAATCTTAAGAAAAAGTATTGTATTCTTCGATTGTGTTAGTTTTAAATGTTCTTAGAATAATAATAATTATTGTTTGATAAACTTGAGACATATTTAATTAAAAATAAAGACAATATGGAAATCGGGATGATTTTGGATGCATTGAGATATAGAACCAATTCAAATAGTTAAGAGAGAAATGATGCTGCAAGGAACCACTTCGATTAAATGGTAGAAGTCTGTTTACCAATTCAAACTAGATACTTGATATATGCATTGGAAAAGAACAAAGATTTTTTTGCTTAACAACCAAAGTATTTTTTTACAATTCAATATCAGTGACTATTCTGATTGGATGGTTGATTCTTTCTAAAAGACTGATATTAAGCCAGAACAAATTGTAAAGGTTAAAAAGATGAAAACTAAACTACAAAGTGTAAGGAACAATATATCTGAGTATATAAATTCATTTAAAATTAGATCAATTCATAAAATCAAAGAATAGTTGAAGTTAATTTAGAGTGAAGCTTTGAAAGTTGATTAAATGTGGGAACAATTGAAGGAATGCTTAACACCTATTTAATTGGGTTCGTGTATCTTGGCAATGAGATAGGTACCATATATATATATTATTAAAAAGAACCAATACAGACAAGAATTGTAGACATCTTCATTGTTTCTGCAACTCAAGAACTCTTAAATGGTATTAAAACTTAATTTTAACCTAAATAGTCAGAGGAAGAGGATGTACAAGGTAGCTAAGAATAATTTACTGCCCCGAAAAACAGAAAACTAATAAAAAAGTCATAGAATTGATATGTTAATCTACATGTTGATTATTTTACTAATTAAATAAACTTGCAATTTAAATTTTAAATTATTATATTTTTTAATAATCCTATTATTACCTTCTCTCTTTTTAATTGGCTTCGTTTAATTAATATTATCATATTTAAAATTATAGAACATAATCATTTTAATTATGAATTAACTAACTTATTTGAATTCTTTACTTTGATTTATTGCTGCTTTCTTTTGAAAACAAAACAACTTGTATTTGCTATACAAATGAATGGTCATGAATTCTAGAGGAACAAAGTGTTTTCAATACATAAATTATAACAATTAAGATATATATAGCAAATTTTTTCAAAATCATTTCTTTGTCTATCCGAAAATGGAACAACTATTAGGTTTGAGAATAGATTAGATTGAATTGGAAGGATATTTTGGAGAGAGAGCAGGAGACTGATTTGGAGAGGATTTTTGGTTCTATGAGAAATAATAGATTTGATTTTAATTGCTGAAGCGAAGTTGTTTCATTTTTAATTGTAATCTTGATTCAATATCTCCATTTCCGTTATTGTTAATTAGAGTTTGAAATTTATCTTCTTAATCAGAATCTGGTAGTATCATCTCTTCTTGGTCCCCTTTTGTTTTTATAATTTTCTGGATTAGAATCAATTGCAATGGTACATTGTTCATATGTCACTTGAAATTGATATGATAAATTAATTATTTATTATACTTCGACTATAAAAAACAATACTTTAATCTTGATAGATGGCTGAAATACTAATTTATAAATGAAATTCTTTGTTAAGAGATCATTTATAGCCAAATATATTGTCCCTAAATTAAATTTACTTTATTATAAATGATAGATGTTTCTAAGCAAAATTAAACTTATTCAATTAGATTCATGAAAGTATTTTAGACTATTATAGCAGATCATTGAAATTATCTTTAAAGAGCATATGAATGAAAAATAGTCGTTCTAGGCTGATATAACTTGTAATTTTTTTATTAGTCTTAAAATTTCGATATGAATTTCTTTTATAAGTTATTAATTTTAGGGCTCTTAAGATTGAAATTAGAGAAGATATAAGTATTATTATTTTGGTTTATTAATTTAATTAAATTAATTGTAAAATAAGGAGATTGTTTTCTTTATTTCAATTCATTAATTTTATTTTAACAAATCGCTTCAGATGATAGAAATAAGTTTAAATAACTCCAAGAAGTAAGATAATTTGGTTAACGAAAAAGCTGTAATATTTATATAAGGTACTTTTGATAATCTAATGAAGCTAATTGGAGAAGTTGTTTAGCTAGAAAGAAACAAGTCAAAATTTAGAATAAAGATTAATAAAATGAGTCAAGTCAGGAAAATAACAATAATAGTGAGAATCCATAAAATACAGATAGTTCTTAAAAGGCTAGAGAAGAAAACTAATCAAATTTATATGAATTAAATAATATTCATGCTCCAAACTAAGATTATAGGAAACTAGATAGAATACCAGATTATTAGATTGATGAAGTTAAATAAGTATTTAAAATAAAAAGATTAGGTTTTAAGTTCAATCGAACCATTTTTGTACGATTAGGAAAAGAATGAATTTAAAGAATTACCATTTTTAGAACCTTATGAATAAAAAAACAATGGTTGTGTTTATAAAGGATAATGGAAGAATGGGTAAGTTTTGAAATTGAAAGTAATTTTAGACTTCGACATGGTAGAGGAATGTAAATTTGGCAAGATGGCTCAATATATGAAGGATATTGGTACAAGAATGTTGCTTAGGGAAAGGGAAGAATGGTTCATCCTGATGGAGACTTATATGAGGGAGCATGGAAAAACGACTTAGCACACGGATTTGTAAATATACGAATCAATATTATAGGGTAAATATGTGCGTATGGATGGAGCTTAAAGTGAAGGATATTGGTTAAAAGATAAATAGAATGGATATGGGAAAGAAACATGGCCAGATGGTGCTCGTTATGAAGGATAATATAAGAATGGGAAGAAACATGGCAAGGGTACATTTAAATGGGCTGATGGATCTGTATATGTTGGTGAATTCGATTAAAATAATATTCATGGAAAAGGAGAATACTATTGGGAGGACAACAGGAAGTATGTTGGAGAATGGAAAAATAATAAAATGGATGGAAAAGGAGTATACAATTAAATTATAATAAGGTGTTTACATGGTTTGATGGTAGGAAATATGAAGGAGAATATAAAGACGATAAGAAGCATGGTTATGGGGAGTTTCAATGGCCTGATGGAAGGGTAATTGCATTTCATTATATCACTAGATATATAAGGGATAGTGGGTGAATGGGAAATATCATGGTATCGGGATTTATATTGGCTCTTCGAAAGTAGAAAAGGAAGGAGAGTGGTAAGATGGGAAGAGAATACGTTGGATTAAGAAAGAGGAGGAATCATTTAAAGAAGTTGATGATTGAAATTCACTAATTCGCAATCATTAATATTTTTCAATCAACTTATTTAATATTAAATTTATAAATCCATGTTTCTTTGAAGTATAACCGAATTGCTGAGTATTGTGCTAAAAAAGATGGTTTCTCAAATGATAAATAAACTACATGATTTATAATACTTATAAAGTTGATTTTTTAACAGTCAAAATAATTTTATAAAAATCATTTACTTTTATGAAAATTTATTCGATTTTCCCTTTGATTTTTAAAATTAGCAACCCTATAAGAATTGAGATAATTCAAATCGTCCCTTGGCATTACTTGCTTATGATTTTTAAGAAAATAATCGAATTATCGTTGTAAATATTTGGAATCTAATTTGTGTAAGGGGTAGTATAGGAATCCTAAACTTCCTTTGATTTTGACATTTTTGTTAATAGGTAGATATTTTATAATTTGAACATTAAATAGAAGGAGTAACAATTTAGTTCAAAAGGAAATGATTTGAATCAACATAAAGTCCTATAACCTATTAATTAAAGAATTGAAAAAGTATAAAATTTGCAAAACATTAATTAAAATAAGAAAAACAATAGGATAGCTGAACTCTATGAAGCTGAAGACTTAGATGCTAAGGATTATGGAGAAGCTTTGTGAAATTGGCTAAGACATAGATGATTATGGGTAATTGTCAATGATATAAAGTCAAATAGGCTAAGAAAATGAAAGGATGGACACAGGTTAATCTTAATGATAAAAAGATTTAATGTTGAATATATGTGCTCAATCATCAATAGATGTTTTGTCTCACTCTGTTATCCACTTATAAAAAATCTATACATTTAAATCTGGGTTTTTGTAATAATTTTCTTATTCAAAATCATATAATTAATATAACTGAATATAATGTTATACCTTGAAATTATCACATTAAAAGGATGAATAAATTGAAATTTCAAATTCTTTCTTAATTTTGTATTTAAAAGTAGATATCAGTTTTGCTCATTTAATAATAAAATGAGCAAAACATCTTGCAGAAGATAAGTCAAGAGAATTATTAATATAGAATCAATCATAAAGGAACTATTTTCAAGGGCTGAATTTTTCACTCAAAGATACATTTTTTGTCATCCAAACAGAGTGGATAAGCTACCACTAATTAGATCAATTTATAGAGTTCTGTTGATGCCAGATGCTTGGTTGAAAACGATTAAATTGTCTCATAAAGTATAACTATATTTTATAGTCCATTTGAAATACGGAGAGAAGGGAGTCCATCCTTTCCAGGAATTAGCATATTAAAAGCTTCAAACTTTGTTGAGTTATTAATAATGAGAAATATTTTATAATAAAATGAGTGAGTATTACACATTTCAAAGATTGATATCAGCCATTTCATAATTCATCTTAAAATAAGTAGTCAATTTTAAATAGAATGATTAAGATGAGAATATTATTTGAGTAAAGTTTGGCAATGTTTCATAAATATATTTTGTTACGAACAAATTCTACATTTTTTCGTCATTATTCATGATTCAATGTAAATTATTTTGAGTTTGATTAAATTTTATTACATCATAAAAATGCTTCGTTCCAGTTCATTTCTTGGAGGATACTCGAGATCACGTAACTTATTTTTCGATTAAGAGGATAGTATCTAAAAACAAATTAAGGCCTAGAGTCTTGTCTTACAGACATACAAAATTACGGTATTTGGCATTGTTTTTTGCTTGCATGATTATGATAGGCGATGCTTATTGCTTTGATAATCCCATGGCTTTATAGAGTGAAATAAAGGATAAATATGAGGTGGATCAATTTAAATTCAACTTATTATATACAGTTTATTCATTACCGAATATCATACTTCCATTTTTTGGAGGTGTTTTGATTGATAAAATTGGTGCACGAACAGCCATCCTACTGTTTTCGAGTATCATTATGATAGGTCAACTGGTTTGTGTTTGGGGTGCATCAAATTTGAGTTATTGGACTCTAATAACAGGGAGAGTAATCTTCGGAATGGGATCAGAGAGTTTGAATGTGTCTCAGAATTCGATAATGGCGATCTGGTTTAAAGATTAGGAGATGAGTTTGGCAATAGGATTGTGTATAAGTATCCCTAAAATTGGTAATGCTCTCAATAGTCTTCTAAGTCCATAAATATATTCTAAATATTAATCTTTAGCTGCTCCTATGATGGTTGGAGTTGGAACACTAATATTCTCATTTGTAAAGATCATCAAATAACTATCTAGATTTGTGGAATAGCCTTAATTTATATGGACTATAAAAGCGAGCAGAGAGAAAAGCAAAATCAAATGTTATTGAATAAAAACGATGAGAATCACAGATCTCAATCAGAACTTTCTGCCTCTGTCAAATAATCAGTCAAAGACGAAGATTGCGATTCTCCAGACTTAGGACGAAGCCCAGAAATATGTATGAATTGATTAAATTTCAAGTCGCCACTCCATAGCACCACGAAGAACCAGAGGAGCATGAAGCGAAAGAAGAAATCAATTTCAAAGATATTGCCAAACTCTCAGGCACCTTCTGGATTTTGATTATAATTTGCATGTTGACAGAAGCATTATTCGTACCATTCTTAGATAATGGAAATGAATTATTACAAGAGAGATTTGGTATGACAGCTGAATAAGCAGGACTATTCTTGATTATACCATATTTGGTTGCATCAGGATCCACTCCATTTATAGGAAACATGGCTGATAAAGTAATCCATTTGACTACATTATTTAGTTTGGTCGAAGGAGTCTTTTAATAATTGTAACCTCATTCATTTTTCTTATAACACACATTCTTTTCATTTTCAGAATGTGCACTTCAGCTTGCTTTTTAATCACACTCCCATTAACTATCTTGGGATTGTGTTTTGGGTTCTATGCCTCAGTGGTCATTCCCTCAGTTCCTTTTGTGGTCAAATCCAATCTTGTTGGCACAGCCTTTGGATTAACAGGAGTATTTTAAAACACTGCTTTAGCCTTATTCCCTATGATTACAGGAATGATATTTAACTAATTCAAATATGACGAACATGGAGAAGAAAACGAAGAAAGAGGATATGTCTATTAAAGTTTCTTCTTTATTGGTATGAGTGTATTACTGGTAATTATTGCTATTCTGTTGATGTTTGTTGATAAAAACGGAGAAAGAAAACTAAGTTAGAAGGGAAGAGGAATTCCAAAGAAGAATAAAGTTGATTATCTAAGTGTGCATGAAGTCACAGATATTCCAGAGGATAAGAAAATACGCATCGATTATGATACAGATCATAGAATTTGATATTCAATTATTTATTTTATTAAATAATTTAACTTCGCTTATTAACCTACTAACCTACTAATGCTATTATGTTTAGAGCTTATGGTACTGATGGATATATGTTATTTAGCCTTTGAAAATCTCCATCAAAAGATCAAAAGGCATAATAAGTTCTTTATTTTAGAAATCAAATTTATATGGGAATTTTATATAATTAATATTGAATTAAAGATTTAATCAAAATGTTTAAATTTTATTATTGGGTTAATTCTGTATCTGTGTGATATTTCCACAAGGTCAAAGAAATTTCTTATAATTAACTGAACCTGCTAAAGTCTAATTGTCTTATTTTAATGTATATTTTTACTTTTGTAATTTTATGAATTTCATTTACCATTGTAATTATGCAATTTTAAATAAAAAAATATTTTAAATTATATGAATTTGAGAATAAAAAAGAAATTAATTGAGAATAAAAATATATAAAAATTATCATTAATTATCAAATCAACTTGTAAATTCAATTAACTATTAAAGTGCTACTAGTACTTTTAGTGTTTTTTAATTAGGTTTGCATGTTTTAATCATAACTATACCCATAAAATAAATCTATTTAATAGATAATTCTTACTTTACACAGAATTCTTTTTCAATAAGATTCTATTTTCTACAATTTATTCATCCTAAGTATCATTGTCTTCACTAATATTGTTAATATAATCTAAATTCTCTTAAATTGACTAATAAATTAAAAGTTTAATATACAGGAGGAATGAACGGAGATTGAATTTCCTTATTTAGTAACTTTGTCCATGGAAAATTTTATAACCATGGGTGTTGTTTAACTTCATTAGGTCCATTAAATCCCAATCTATTATTAGGTTTACGTTAAATTAATTTATTAATGAAATCAGCAGCATCAATTGACCAATCATCTGGCAATTCACTTCTTTTCACTTGAATTTATCTAGTTAGAATTTGATCCCTTATCTCCTATCTTGTTCTACCATTATATGGTCTTCTTCCCAACATAAATTCGTACGTCATTACTCCCAAAGCAAAATAATCAACAGCAATTGTGTGATTCTATCTACACATCACTTCAGGAGCTGAATATTTAATATAAACATATAAGTACCCATATATCCTGGTGTTCCACTTGTATCTTAGGAATTCTCAGGTTTCCAGATCCTTGCTATTCCTAAATCAGTTAATCGAGCATAACCATTGCTATCAAGTACTATGTTTTCAGGTTTAACATCTCTATGAATAACATTTGAATTGTGTAGGTATTCTAATGCTAAAATAACACAAGCAATGAAAAATTTAGTTTAATGTTCTTTGAATCTTCTCATTCGTCCTATATGATATCTGAGATCACCTCCTGTTAAAAGATCCATTACTAGATATAAGTTATCTCTGTCCTAAAAACAAAAATTCATATTAATCAAAAAAGGGTGTTTGAACTATGCCAATAAATTTCTTTCGTTCATAACAGAATTTACACTTCTTTTTGCTATTATTTTAGCCTTGGACATTTCTTTCATAGCATACTGTGTTCTGCTTTTTTTTAATTCTACTTTCCAGACCCTTCCGAATCCACCTTTCCCTATTACAAAGTGAAAAGCAAAACTAGACTTGGTTACACAAATTTAAGTGTCAATTTATAATTCTTCATCTTAGGGTTCTTCCTTTTATACCTTTTTAATTGGTGGACGTTGTTATTACTATTATTGAATAGAATCATATTTGATAAGCAAAGAATTGAATATACTCTAAAAATTTTATATATTTGCTTTTATTTTGGTACTAGAACTAACTTAAGGTATTTTTAAATGTGGAACTTCATTAATATTAATTTTTAGATTTGCACTAGCAAATTTAGTATGATTGGATAGTTTCTAAGAAGCCTACCGATTGAGACTTATAGAATCGTCATTTTCAAAAATCTTTTTTGAGTCTATCGTTGATTATTTTGGTGATTTTTGCATTGATAATTAGATTGGACTTTTTGATCTTGATCTATTACTATCCTTACTAAAAAAACTAAGCTATGGATTTTTGTAAGGCAATGCATATTCATTTATGTTGACTTATCCAACTCTTATTTTGTTTGGTGTGTGTACTGGAGTATGATTTCTTTACTATTTTTCTTCTGCATTCTTTTTTTATGCATATTAAAGAAAGTTGCCAACTGCTAAAGGGGATTTTCCAATTCGTAATCTATCGGAAGGAAAATTAGAGAAAGGCTTAGAGTATTTTGTAGAAAAGAGTTCCCTTAGATTACGATGGTGGTTAGACATTTATATTTATTTTAATACATCTCTTGAAATTTATATTATTAAAGGAAATGCAGCATCAATTTATTATATTGGATAAAACTAATTTCAATCACTAATATAAACATTCTTATCAATAAATAACACAGACTTATCCTCTCTGCATTCCTGATGATTCTTTAAAGTAAAATTTACTATCAACTCATCTTAAGTGTATCCAATTTGTAATTCATGAGTAATTTTGATTAGTTGTTCCATGCTTAGGAAATTGGTAATGTTACAATCATCGGCTTTCATATTGATTGCCAACTTTTTATCCTTCAAAGATAAATTTATCTAAATATCAAGAAAATTCAAACATTTATATCTGATAGTCTATATTCTCGATTACTTAATCTAAACTTTCTTATTCTTCTTCTCTGATAAGTGTTATTCAATAATCAGATTTTCTTGAATCTAAAATAAGGCATATTGAAGCGCCTTCTTTTAAAGAAATTCTTAAACATATCTTTCTCCTGTTGTTATGAACAAATTGTAGTCCTCAACTAATTCAGGGTAATTGACTTCCATGTATATTTAAAAGAAGGCAAATAACCAAAGTTTTTATCCTCTAATACATAATCGTTTCCGTATGAAACCAAATATGTATTAGAATCTTCTTCATTTTCTTTAATTATTCTGTTGGGTGTTCGAACATCCACTATAATTGGATTGCTTTTCTATCTTTTTTGAGCCTTCACTACTCAATATTAACTTATTTATTTGATGCTTTCACATTGGAATCTTTGCTAAAATATTTGTTATTTTTCAAATTCATTCCAAAAATTATACCAAATTCATTTATCAAATTAACTATATCAATTAATTCATTTTTTTAATAGCAAGATCATAGGTTCAAAGTTTTATCTACCTTCACCAATTTATTTTAATTACTAACTCTTAAATAAAGTTTAAACAATTAAACAATATATTTAAATATTAATTAGAGATTAATATATAATCACAACAATTAGGATAATTTAAATTAAGCCCTACGAATTAGATGAGGATTTCTTTTTGATGATTCCTAATCTACATCAACTGAAATATAAGATGCATTCTAATTTCTAAAGTTTTGATTACAACGAGGCGTGGTAGTTTATGATCTGAATCTCTATTGGTATTATGAAGACTAGAGCTCTATTTCTAGATACTTTCTCATGGGTAATCGTGGAGTAATTGAGTCAAAAATTTTTCCTTTTTTAAGAGGTGTCAAAGTTCTCAATTAATTATTTCTATTATACTAGCTGTTTTTCCTGATAAACAATTCTTCATTTTTACTTTTCGGTTTTTGAAGTGTAGTGCTTGCTTAAGCTTTTGATTAAGAATTATTCAATTCAGATTTTGAAAAATTACTGGGTTTTAGAATGGATTTATTAAACTTCTTTTCCTTTGAAAAATTTTAACAAATATCTAGATTACTTAGAGCAATCTATTTTTCTTACCAAGAGATTGACTTTCTTTTGAAAATTATCGGACTTTTCGGAATACTATTTATCAATTGATCATCTTTTTCCTTTTGCACAGAATTTAAGTAAGTATTTTATAAGAGCAATTCCTCTCGATCCAAGGGTGTTTGATTCCAATTTCGACTAATTACTTTTCCCTTCAATTACTCTTTCTCAAATACAATTAGCTACTTTAAAAAAGTGGATCTAATTTCGAATTCCTTTTACTAAATGTTGATATATTGAAGAGCTTTGAATAAACTCCAGCTATATCTATAAATATTAATTTAAATGGTTACCTTAACATAAGATAGCTCACCAGAGCGGTAAGTGATCGACTTTGGCCATTTACACAACAAAATAAAACACTTTCACCTCTTTTTAATGCTTTCTCAACAAATGTTTAAATTTCTCTGATTGTTTCTATTGTGACGATGGTCTAAATAAGAATAAAGCTATACTTATGAGTCTTAATCCTTCCAATAATAATTTAACGCAGATAAATTCTCAGGAACTTGGATTTCTGCTGCTGCACAATTCACTACATGAGTTATTTGGTTGATTTTCATATACTACTATTCCTAACATAGATAATATAGTAAACTTATAGAGGTTAATAATTTCCTATGAAAACCCCATCCAAAATCCGAGATGCTATAATTTTACTAATTTGCCTTAAATTAAGTGAACTATTAAACATTAATTAATGTGTTTTACGAATGATCGTAATTTAAATAATCAAATTCAACTATTAAGTTCGGTCTACTATGATTAATTATTTATTATTATAAGGATAATACAAAACAAATAATCTAATAAATATAATCTTCTCTTGTAAAGCCTTTCAATTTACTCATTTTATTTGATCTCATTATTAAGATTGCTTCAACTGTTATTTAATTCCAGATCTTAGATATATTTTGAAATCAAATGAATTTTATACAATCATTCACTAATTTGATGTTCTAGGCATCAAAGTTTCTTTAAACTCATTTTAATTATTTTTTTAATCATTCCTTACAGAATAATATTGTTGTTTACCTAAAAACTTTAGTCATTATAATCGCATTTTAAACTATGATATTAATTACATATAATTACTAAATTATGCTAAACTCTATCCTCAAGCTTCCAATTATTATTATATTAAAATTTAAATCTCTTAATAATAATCTATATAAGGATTTGATGAAAATATGGCCAATAAATATTAATGGAAATTTATTTTTTGAATTTATCTACTAATCACCATTATACTCAGTCTATTATTACCTTATTTTAAGTTTCAGTTTTAAAGGTAGTAAATAAGTTCTTAATTATTTATTTTTAATTTTCAAATTTGAACTACACAGATTCTTGATTATGAATCAAAACTTTTTCAAATCTCAACCAAAGAAGTTACAAAAATCAAACTCAAAGATTGAGCTTTGGCTATGTCAAGATATAGTAATAAAATTTGCAGTCATTCTTTAATTTCTATAATCACACCTTTAGGACTTAATTTTGAATTGTGTTTTCTGATGAGGGAATTTCATTTATTAAAAAGAATCTTAGCTGATAACATAACTCCAGAAATTTAAAGATTTTGTCGTAAATCCTCTAGATTTTATGCATTTCCATTCCCAAGTATAACAGATAGAGATCAAAAAATTAATTAAATTCATCCCATAGACAATACTATTAAGCATTGCTCATTTATTTCTAAATTGACTATTTTATCTTGTGGTGTCAAATGAGTATATTTCTAATAAGGAATCCTTGAAAATAACATATCAGTTAAGTATAATATATAATTTAATAAAAACATATTAATGATTTCAAGATTTTTATTAACGACTACTTTGTGCTTCTTTTATATCTGTAACCATAGGTCTTATAAAAAGTGTACTAGGATTTTGCTATTTAATATTTTTCGAGACTTATAAATTTGAATATAAAATAATATTACTATCTGATTTCTTATGTTGCATTTCCTTCATTATTTATATGATTTCAGTATTTGGATCCATCCCATTTTTTCTTGATTAAATTAAGTTTACATACTTTTCAGATCTCCTTCCTAAATCAGAACGATGAGAGTCTTCTGATTTGAGTAAATCTGATTACTTCCTCGAATTTTATTAATTAATAAAACCGAAAAGTCTAATGTATTTATCATATAATTACTATTTAGACTTTTTTTTCTCTCTTTTAGGAGATATTTATTTGAAACAACTACTTGCTTCTATGAGTCGTTGTTCCCCTTATGAGAATAGTAAACTCCCATATGATTTAGAACTGTCTTGTTGAAGATTGTTTAATTTTTCATTTAAGGCTTATTTGAATTTCTAGGTAGCTCTACCATCAGGAGATGATATGGAATACGATTCTTTTCTAAGAATTCTATTGATTATATTAGAATAATTGATGGTATCAGACTTCATGGACATCAATTCCCCGACAGAGGTAGAATTTTTAGTGCTTTCAAAATAATATGGATCTGTACTGTATTTTTTAAGACTGAATGTCTTCTTAAAATTGTTGTGTATTTTTTGAAATCTTCTAATTTATTTATTTTTATTAGATTATCTAGGCACATTTGGATAATGGAGATATCATAGCAGATCTATGTTATATTAAATGGTTACAAATTCACCATATTTTTAGAATCATTTGGGTAATTTATGGTTATATTTAATGGTTACTTCTAATGAGTCAATAAACTTGTTCGACTATCCTTGCTATATGATTATGCTCTATTCTCTGTTTGAGGAGGAGAATGATTTTGATGAGTAATTTTATATGGATCCATAGAAAAGGCATTATTGTTGGTCAATTGCAAAATCTTTGAAGTTTCTAACAATTCAATCTAATTTATTAACGTGGATATGTACATTATTTTATAATAATATTATCTCATATTATAGACGAGCATTTTGTTGGCATTTCTAATTTAATTTCTGAATTAGGTATTAAATCTTTTCATTATTGGTCAACTTTGTTGGCTCTATAAAATTACATGTCTCAGCCATAGTGTTTTTGTCTCTTCTCTGTCTTTATGATAAAACATCTATTTTGGATTACAAAATCAATTTTTCAGAATTCAATGTCTGAGTATATTACTTTTATTAAATAAGTTATTATTCTAATAATTAATTTTGTTCAATTAACTATTTTATTTGCTACGAATATTGCAATTACATCTAAGTTTTTTCTTTGTTTATTTAAACCATTTATTTTCTTAAATCTTCTTCGATATTATTATTGTTTTCTGAGATAGTTTGATTATTTAAGACTGTCTATTCAGAATTATTTTGATTTCTATTGTTATTCTAAATATCCTAATTGACACAAAGCTATTTCTTTACTATATGATATTTAATAGAATCATTTACAATTGTTCAACCCACTTCCTTTAGATGGAAAGCAGAATTTAGTTGTATTTTTATTTTAAGGAGCTGGGGGCTCTGGCATTGTATCTTTTTAACTCTAATATGTATCTGCCCTATGATTAGTTGATTCGGATATTATGCTTTGAGGGTTGAATTCAACGAATTGCAAATAGGTTATTAGTTCATTTTCTTAACTCTACACGCTATTTCCTTTTGATTGACTCTTTTGTTCCAGAGAATCAATTGATTATTATTATTCTGATGATCTTGATTCATTTGTTTATTAACAATCTGCATGAATTAATTATGAGTTATGGGTTTGTGATTGCTTGGAGAAATTGATATCTTGATTGTCTTAATCAGGAATGTTGCTGCAAAACTCTTCAAAAGTATCTAATTCTGGAATCTGTTGTAAGTATTGTAATACTTACTTCGTTCTCTATTATAATTTCCTATTGGAAGTTTTATAAATTGCACGGAGCTCGTTACTTAAATGAGGGTTACATGTACTTTTTTAATTTAAATTGCTATAATAATTGTTTAAATAATTAAAACAAATATATTTCAGTATATTAAAAATACAAATAAATAATGAATCATTAACATTTGCTGCAATGGAATTCTTTTTGATTGTATTTGCCATTTTTTATACCCACGCATTCGAAATGATACCAATTCTTACATGAATCACACTTAAAATCAAATTATGATATACTTGTATATATTGTCTATCGGGATTCACCGGTTGAAAGCAAAAGCAAAATTACTAGACTGAATCCATATTACCAAATTATTTTTTCTAAACATCCCATTCCAATCTATTAAAATAAATAGTGGATTCTATTTCGTCCAACTCCTAATATTCATTGCAGCCCAATATTTTGCAGCTGGATATTATACTCTACGCTAAAATATACTCTTAATGGTTGGTGATAAATAATTCTTGCTCAGAAATCCATTCCGAACATTTCGGCTTAGATTTGATGATCTCACTTTTTCTCATATACCATTAAATTCTACACAAACATATCAATTTAGCAGTTGTTGGCTCTTTTATCGATATTATTTATTTTAATGTTCCAACATAGTCTTCATCATGCTGATCTCCACTATTAATTAAAACTGAATCCCCAACCCTCAGTACTTAGCCCCGAACCTTAATTGTCTCATATTCTTCATATAGCCCTTTAGTTTATGATCCAACTTTGACTAAGGTTTTCCATGCCATTTATTGGTACAGTTCCCGAATTGACTATCGATTTTACAATCTCTTATGGATTTGCTTTTTTATCGTTGCTGAACTCTCCGGTGACTGTCTTTTCATTAATTTACTGTAGTCTGCTACCTAGCTACCTTACTAAGATTTAATCATATTTTATTTAAATATCTGCAAATGCGTAAATTTCTCATTTCACTTTCCAATAATTTAAGCAAAATTAATCACTCTATATATATAATATTCATTTTATCAATCTTATAGCTTAAAGGTTAAATTAAATTAATAAATTTCTTAACAAAATGCAGTATTTATACAGTAATTATTCTATTTTATAAATAGGCATAAAAAATTCAATCATTTTCCAGATCCAAGTAGATTATAAACAACCCATCTTCTTTTAAAAATGGAATTTTCATTATATCTAAAATAAATTAATTATTGAATTTTTATCAAAGTATAATCAATATTAATCCAAAAGGATTTGAATTAATATTAAAATTAATCTACATCAAGCTAATTAATAAATATTAAATTCTATAAAACTTATTCATAAAAATTTTGCAGTTCTAAATTTGGAATAGCATTGTGACTTGCTATGTATATTGATTCCCTTACATCGTTCTCCCCTTTAAAAGGAAGTTGTTATTTTTAATCATTTCTTTTAATCAATTGATTATACGCCTTGACCTTATTTTTAGGTTATCCAAAGAAAATTTCATTGAGATTTTGATAAGGTTTCTCCTGTTTACTGGATCGAAATATTGGCCTTCTATAGATGATATTTAAAATAATTTTAAAAGCTTTCAATTATTAATATTATCATTAATTAAATATAAATGTTTAATAATTACTATTAATTTTTTTATGATTAATTAATAGCTCCCTTAATAGAATTAGATATATCTACCAAATCATTAAATGACTGTCATACTTTAATTAAAAAAAGGGTCTGGAGCTTAAGGAGCTGTGTACTAAGGTTTTATCAAAAACAAGAATGAATAAGTGGCGATAAAAATAAATACAGAATTGAGTGAGCGAGAGAGCTAAATTTTAAATTTCATCAAGATATAAAAATAGAAACATCTTATAAGAATAGATGCAATTGAAAATTATCAAAATTAAGTAATCATTGTAATGGAATTGGCTGAAATGGATTTTTATTAGTTTATGGCTACAGATCAGTTTAAAGCAACTAGTATAGAAGAGAGAAATTAGTTTTTTTACCAAGTACATTAACTATTTATTTAGATGATATAAGGAGTATAAGAATTTCATAATTTAGGGTACTTTCATAGAGATTTAAAACCAGAAAATTTTGTGCTTTGTCGTAATTAAAACTAAAATTTGGTCATAAAATTAATTGATTTTGGCATATCTAAATAATAAGAAGATGGTCTTTAATCAATGAAAGTAGGAACCCCATTTTATATGACTAAAGAAATTCTTAATAATGAAACCTATAGTAAATCCATTGATGTTTGGGCATTGGGGTGTATTTGGTATGAAATACTGACAGGAAAAACATTTATAGAAGGTATGAAATACTTATATTTTAGGTAATAATGTTTAATAAATTATTCTTTACATCAACGGAGTTTCATAAGTTGAGATTGATTTTAAAATCGATTAACTCAAAAGGATTTAAAATGAATAGAAAGAAATTTTGAAATAAATGATTTGCATTGATAAGAACAAAAGAATTTCTTTAGATGATGCCATAAAAAAATTAAATGAATTCTTTAAGAAAAATGATATAGAAAAAATCGAAGCAGAACTCAAAAAGGAATATGAGGAAAAGGAAAAATAATTGAATCTGGAGAAATAGAAGAAAATTGAAGAACTTCAACAACAACTTGAATAAGAAAAGGAAATTTAGATTTAACTATATTAGCAATAGCTAAAATCTGAATATGATTAAAAAATTCAAAAGAAGGAAATTGAATTAAAAAAAAATCTAGAATTGAAGTAGGGTTAGGATAAGGAAAATAGAGAATAATAATTATTGTAATAGACTATTTCATATCAAAATGAAATAAACTAATTTAAAACATAATGTGAATTGGATTATAAATAAAAATTAAATGAGGTAGCTTAATAAATTTAAGCAAAAATAGAGAGAGAGTTTGGAGAAAAAATAAAAAATAGAAAATGAAGAAATGAAGAAAAAAATTAATGAATAAGCCAAATAATAATACGAAATAGAATTAAATAAGATATTAAAACAATAATAATTAGAGGCTGATAATTAATAGAAAAAAGCACAATTTTAAAATAAGAGGCAATCTTATGGATAAGTTCTTTCTCTATTAAAAGATTCTATTTAAAATGCTATTTCAACTATGAATTAATAAAAATAAATAATAATCGAAGTATAATTAGAGAACTAAGATAAATAATATTTGTTAAACTCGATTTAAAAATTTATAAATGATAAGGAACAGGAATTAAATTAATTATATTAAGAATAGGAGAATTTTAATTCTTTAGATGAAAATGTATAATTTTCCAAGTTTGTAGAATTGGAAACTCGTTATAAAAACTAAATTTAAATACATAGTGAAGAAAAAAGTATTGTCGATATCTAAATTTATAAATTTATGGCTGATTAAGTAAAAAAATAAGAATAAATGGCTAATTATGTTAAAAAATAAGAATAAATGGCCAGAGAAGAGAGGCAGTTGCAGGAGGAATAAAAAAATAAATAAGAAATGAAAAATCTGAATTTTAAATTTCAAATGTTAAATAATCAATATATTGAATCATAAAAATAAATTCAAGAAATTATGAAAATATGTGAAAATTATTTTTAATACAACCAAACAATTACAAATAATTTTCAGAGGTTAAAAGACAATTCAAATTAAATTGCTTCAAGAATCAACTATGTCCAATAGTATTTAAATTCAACATAAATGGTTACTATTGAGTAAATTCAACTAATAAAATTTGAAATATAAGAAATTCAGAAATAATTTTAAACCTTGGAGGTGAATATTATATCAGTCAATGAATCTATTTCTATTTATGAATAAGAATAAAAAAAATAAATGCAATAATATTTAGGATAAATTTAAGACATAGAATACAAAATTCATATTTAAATACAATAATACAATTTAACCAATAATACAATCTTAATTCAACTACAAGAGAAATAATAGTTAATGAAACAACTTTCTTAAAAGTTAGATAATTTAATTATAAGTAATATTTCTGAGTCAATCAAAGAGTTTATGGAAATTTAGTAGAAATATGAAGAAATAAAATCCTAAGTAAGAAAATTAGCAGAAACATTGTAAAATGAATAATTGAGTCTGACTAAAATTAAATTAATTTCTGAAGAATAAAAAAAATTCTAAAAGGAATTAGAAACAAAGTCAAATAATTATCAATAATAAATAGATGAACTTGTATTTCAATTAAATCCAATTTAATAGAATTGCAATTAATTGCAAAATAAAGAAATTATATAACTTTTAAATACTAGATTTTAAGAACTAAATTCTTTGAAAAAAGATGCCAAATACCAATTTGATGGTTTAATATAAGAATCTAAATAAAATTTAAAAACTTAATAAGAGCTAAATTAACTAAAGGAAAAAGGTAATATCTTTTTTTCAGAATTAGTGGGAAAAAAAGATTAGTATCAGATATAAATAATAGAGTTAAATAGGATATATGATTCAATTTTTAAGTCGGAATAAGATAATAAGTTAAAAGAAATATTTTATTCTTTGGAACTTTTAATATTAACACTTTAAGGCTAACATAAACTGATTTATACTTACATTTAAAACTTGAAGACTATAACTATAATGAAATTGAGAAATAATATATAACAAAAATGTAATAATTTAATGAATAAACACTAAAAATTGGAGTTTACAAAAAAGCTTACGATGAAAATGATAGTGTAACTAAGGTTGAGGAATAAAAGTTAGATTAGAATAGTTTCTTTAAAGACCATACAAAGAGTTATATTTCTCTATTATAGGATACCTAAAAGAGAAAAGTCAACAATTTTTTTCTAAATTAAAAGAAATTATTAATGAGATTGATAAACAAAAATTAAAGATTCATTTTATAGAAGTCGAAAAGGAATAAAAAATCTAAAATGAATGGTTAGTAAAATAACAATTAATAATGTAATTAAATCCAAAATTACTTCTATTACAAAACAAAATTAATTGGGCTCTCACCAAAAATTCTTAAGATATCGATAAATTAAGCGAAGAATTTAAAAAATTATCGATCGAGGTCGATACGCTGTTTCATACAATCCCATCAAAAGAAGATATTAATACATTTTAAGTAAATTTTAATAGAAATAAAAAATCATTTATGATTACATGTTTACTAATTATTATACTTAAGGCTTTTAATTTTCAAAGGTATGCTATAAGGCTTAAAGAGTTCTAAGAAACACAACAATATAAGTAGGAGAAAAGAAAGGTATAACTAAAAAAATAAATAGTTGAAAAAAAAGAAAATACTGAATCTGCTAAAATTGAATTACAAAAATTAGAATAAAAAAAGAATACTACTAATCGAGATGAAAATAAAGAAAAAGTAATTGATGCCTAGAACATAATGGATAAATACAAATCATGGTTATAATCTGAAGAACTCATCATCAATATTGAGGAATATATAAAAGATGAAACTAATCTTGACACATAAACAAAAGCAATATAAACTCAAATCAATACGTAGAATAATGTTAAATTAAAAGCAACTATAAAGGATTAAAAATTTAATAAAGAATTTAGTAGCGAATTTTATGATCAATTAGAATATTGTAGAACATTAGGAATTTTAAAAATGTAGAAATTATTTTACAATGAGTATTTTTGAAAAATTCTTATTTGACTAATAAATCATTTATCATGGTATTTATAATATAAATTTAATAACATTTCTTAACTTATTAAGGAATAAAAAAAATTGTTTAAAACCTATGGCTATGCTTGAACTCTATTTGGATTGAAAAGACTAATCCACTTTGTGTCTTACAAATCAATACCTTATATCAAGTTATAGTTACTCCATTTTTTTATAATCTTGTTATATCCTCAACTTCCTTTAATCTTTGAGCCAATAATAGAGCTCTAAATCGGTCTAATCTTTCTTAATAATCTTCTTTTTGTATTCTAATGTTATATTCTTGAATTAAATCTTAGATCAAAGTTGTATGAACACCCTAAAAATTAAGCATCCTATTTAATAATTTATGATTAAAATAAAACCCAATGGAGAGCTGTTAAATTATCAATTCCTATAGGTAATGTTTTAATATCATTTCAAAGGTTCCACAATGCAACTATTGTGCTACTTACATTAGTAATCTTAGTCTAATTAAAAAAGATCAATGGCAATGCTAAATTTGCAAAAGATTGTTAAAGTTACCAGTTTGGTATATGCAATAACCTATCTTGTATGATAACTTTGAAATTGCTTTAACACAGCCGTCCTTTAATAGGAGAGCTCTATTTTTAATTGATGTGACTTCTCAAGCCTTATGTCGTATGATTATTCCATTAATCGAGTAATCTCTTAATCAGTTCGATGAAGTATTATTAATTACGATAATCAAGATCGCTTTAATTCCTTGTACTCCCTATCCCACAGTATTACAGTTTGTTAACAACAAAATCAGAATGACTACACTTACATCATAAGATCAAGAATGCAAATTAGATCTATTTCTTAATTGCTCAACAGAATTCCAAAAAATTAGGCAAGTCTGTCGAATGATTGAAAGTCTAGCATAATATAATCAAAACGCTAATGTGTTAAAATCTAATTATCCTATTGAACTAGCTTAATCATTTCTAAATAGATTGCTAGAATATTAATCAATTAAAATTATTCATTTTACTTGGATAAATTAATTCATTGAACCAGAACTTAAATCTCAGTCAGATATAAAAATAGGAAAGAACCATTATCATTTATTCATAATTTAATAAAATTGCAATGTGTTAGACTATTATAAAGCAATTTCTCGAAATCTTCATGGAAAGTGCAATGTATATAATGATGATGATTGTAAAAATTATATCTCATAATCTATTTAGTGAATACTTTCTATAATGAAATTGACTCCTTTTTCTAAAGTTCATTTTGTTGGGAGGCCTAAATTTAGATCAATTTACCTCAGGGTTGGAGGGTTTAGAAATTTTAGAATATCAACACAGATTCTAATTAATTCTATTTACCTTATCTGACAGATCAAGACGAAATATCAATTGAATTCATTTAGGAAGCTAAATATAAACCAAAAGATAATTTGGTTTAAACAATTATTTCATATAAATCAAAGACATAAAAGCACATCTGTGTTGCAAATGAAAAGATTTAAATATGATTAATTATTATAGTTAAATACATTAATTTGATAGATAACTTAATTTATAAATAATTGTAATATTACATTCATTTGAATTGATTAATTTAAAAAAATTATGGTTTTAATTGTCTATATTGATGAGATATGGAATAAATCTAAATTAAGAATTTCTAATTTGAAAATATTTAATTATTCTAAAATATCAACATTAAAGAATTCAATTCATCAATCTCAATGTATATTATACCAATCTCAAATGAAATGAACACCCTCACTAGGTTTGAAGTTATAGTCATTGTTCTAAATCTATCTTTAACTTTCAAATTAATAAATTAATGATAATATCCAAGACTCTTGCAAAACTTTAACAATGCTTATGTATAGTAGATTAATAGAGCTGAATAACTTCTATTATTTCCGTAATAATTTAAGTTTAATTTGATTTCATAAAATAAGATATGAGACACCAAAGCATGAAAAATTCCTTTTGCTGCCTCTCTATCAGCCTGAATTTTAACTGCCTCAAATTTCATCAAATGAGATCTGAAAACGAAGGACGATTTTATCAGTACTTTGACTTCAAATTGTCAATTGATTCATTTTTTTGGTGTTCATCAAGAGTATTAGTAAAAAGTAATTGCTTTCTTAATTAATTAATGATTAATTGATTAGTGATATCTACGCTTGTAGAATTAGAATAAGAAATAGTTAGGAATAAAAATGTATTGGTAATAAGATTACATATTCATAAATGAATAACTTCATATTACTTCTTAGCTTTAATTTTGTTGGCTAATTGCTTGACTCTATTATATTGAACAATTGGGCATAAATTTTTGGTAATATCATTCTAAAATAAATTATATAATATACAATTTTAATATTTAATTTATATGTTTTAATGGGTTGTTCAGGTTCTTCATTCATTAAAGTGTAAATGTTTGAAATCAGTTTTTCCACATCATTTTTTGGAATTTCAGTCTACACTGTTAATACTGTTTAGATTAGCTACTCATTTTATTAAGGTTTATTATTTTATAATTATATTTATGATTATTATTGAGCCTTTTTAGTTTTGAGTAAATCTTAGAGTTTTATAAAGTATTTCTGTGCAAGTTTTTAATGATTGAACTTATAAAAATAACAGTTGTTACGATGCTTACTAATTATAAAACTGGGATCTTCAATAAAGTTCTATATGAGAGAATAACAATTAACACATACATCTAAGATTATTTTTTACTTGGTTAATCTAATTTATAAGACTCTCACATTCAATTAATTGCATCCCTTTGACAAATTTCTTATCTTTGAATTCGTCTGAGAATATTAAATAAAATGTTACTTATATAAATTGTAGTAAATCTTGATCTTCTAGAAAGGATGAAATCAAGAGAACCAAGTGATCAAGATCAAGAACTCTTTATGGATTAGTCAACGGAGCCATAGTGTTACCATAAGCAATTTGATTGAAATATTGTTGTATTATAGAGTTCATTATTTATATATAAATGAAAATGTTTTCAATTCTTAACTAATTATTTATCCTAAATTAGATTTTTATAATTATTTTATTTCATCATGCACATTTTTCAATATTCCATCCAACACTCTCTCTTATCTTTATTACTATAATTGCTGCCAACCCTTACACAGGATCAACAAGATCTAAGAGATATTAAGATAGTTTTATTTCCATTCCTTAAATAATTCCATCAATATTTTGCAAGTACTAGTTTGAATGTCTCTTAACTACTTATTCCTTTATAATTTTAATTGTTCTTGTATTTCAATTTACCTTTCAATTTGCAAAACAATGATATCATCATTCTCCTAACAGATATGAATCAATTATTTTGATAGATTGGTCAATTCTTGCATTATGCTTTGTGAATAATCTTTTTGAGGTTCCCCTTTTATATTAGATTCGAAAATAAAAGTTGATGAAGATCTCATATCATGTATATCAGATGCCAATCGATGTAACAACTAACATAGGAGAATGGAATTAGATTCCAATTTGCTTGTTGTTTGTTGCAAACCATCATCAATAATCAATTCAAATTAGTTGATTGGCAATTTGAGATCACTAATAAATTTGTTCAACGATATAAACATATCATCTTATTAATTATAAGAATAGTAAACAATTACTAAGAAATCTTTAAGCTTTTGCCAGAGCATTTGAATCTTGAAATTGCCACTCTAACTTTAGAACTAACTTAATAATAATTAATTTACATTGTTAATGAAATCCAAAGCGTTCTTAGAATACCCTTAATTCAACAATTAGTCTAAGAGACAACAAATATCATCAAGCTCATAATTAGGTTATGATTTTTTAAAATCAGAACTGAAATTTGTTTATCTTTGATCTATCCTGTAAGAATTCTTGCAACTAATACTTTCTCTTGGAATATAGGTGGAATATCTATTTGATATAAAATGATTCTTTAAGCTCACACTCCCTTCTTAAGTTCTAGTTGTAATTGTATTACTAAAGTTAGTATTACAATTATAAGATTTCCTTAGGGTTTCATTTTCACCTTGTATTCTTTCTAAATCCTATAAGGATTTAGCAAATAATTAAGTAATAGATGATATTTACTGATTCATTTCTTCGATCTAGTTGGATTGTTATATGATCTTGCTATTCATCTACTAACTTAATTCCAACAATTCCAATCTTTATACTTTAATGTCATTGTACTCTTTTTTCTGTAGTTCTAATTCTTGTATTTGGTTCTGCATATTTTAAATCTTAAGATTTTAATTATTTTGAAGACTCACATTGAATCTTTGGCTTGTCTAATTAAATTCCATGAGGAGATCTATTAGTTTGTCCATATCATTCACATTATTAAACTCACTATTTAGAGATTTTGCTAGATGAATGATGTTATCAATCTCAAGTGAATTGGAATTATTTTAAAGTATGTGTTGAAAAGCAATTTTATATTTTGAAACTCTTACTTCTAGATTTTGAAGGGCATCAGTGTAAAGTTTGATATCACAATGATATTGTTATTTATAGGCATCTATTTGGGAACATACAAAATTAATTGTTTCTTGTAATTATTGACACTTCTGCATACTCTGATTTTACATTTTCTACCATAAATTATATAATTCTTATTCTCTTTCCATTTATTTGTCTAAAAATTCTTTCATACATTAATCTTTGAAATAAATGAGAAATTCTTATTCATCAAGAAAATATTCATTTTATCTAATCTTCTTTAGGCTGCTGTAGCAATTAACTTGATTCTCATTTTCTTTATCTGTCATTAATAATTTTCTTTTAACTTGTTTATTGATAGCTAATTATTTAGACTATGTAATTACATTATGTCCTTGTAATTTGAGGGGAAAGAGAAGGAGCTTTGATAGGCGAAAACAAATCCAGTTGTTCTATATATACATTTTTCATTGATTTATTTAGAAATGAGATTTGAGTGTTTTGTTATTACAATTATTCATTCAACTAGTTGATTTATTTTTAGAGTTCGAAATTGCTAATAATTAATTGGAATAGATTTTACTTGGCCAATTCTTAATCTAATTTATTTTGCGTTTGTAATTACAAATTATTTATCTAATCTAACAACTTTTCTTATTCAAGAATACGTTGATTTATTTGAAATTCAAATGCATCAATTATTTAAATGAGTTCTTCTTACAAATTTTCCTGGAGCTTATTTTTGAATTGTTTATAAAGTTCATTTTCTTTCAAATTCAATTTGTAGTTGTTAAACATATAATTATTTTATTCAGTTATTAATTAGTGTGATTACAGTGAATTTATATATTTAAGTAATTGGGTGTTTTCCTTTGCTAAAAAAATAACTTATTGTTGTTTATTCAGATTCTAAAAGCAATTGCAAGTTGAATATAGATTGTTATTATGATTATTAATTAACAATAATTAAAAACAAACAATTAAGTAAGTGATTGATTACTGAAAATAATCAAACTTCAGTAATTTAAATTTGATAATATGGCGAATGAATGAGATTGAATTCAGTCAATTATTTATACAATATTATTATATTAATAAAAAGTAATAAAAATTTAATGTAAGTGATCTATCAAATGATTTGTTTAAGAAAGCACATATTGAAAAGCAAAACATATTATTTAGAAGTGCACGATGATTAAATGATATTGAGTGAGGTAATGAAATATAAACAACTATCAAGCATAAACACATGTCAAATGCTAAGTATGTAATAAAATATACATGGGACACAAGGATCATGTGGAAGTCATCTGACAGTTAAGAATTGTGTTCATTTGGAATAAATTATAATAATCGAATTAAATGGTTTGATTCTGATCACAATTCATTAAATTTACTTAAAATACACTTATCAGGGAAAATATTTTTTGGGAACATTTCAATATTTTATGATTCAAATTAACTTTTAGGTTAAGGAGCATCATCTAAAGTATGTTTAGTTAAATGCAAAAAGAGCATATCACAATATGCAGCAAAATGTATTTCTAAGAAATATTTGTTATAAAAAAAATCAAACGATAGAATTGTATGAAATCTTCTTAATTTTAAGAATAGACTATAATAAGAGATATAAATCCTTTAGAAAATAGATCATCCAAGTTTTGTGAAGCTATACGAGATTTATTAAGGAGAGAATTCATATTACATAGTGACCGATTATCTGGAAGGAGACACTCTCTATAATTACATCAAGACGTATCCAGATGATCAATTGTCCTCATAATAAGTAAGAGAAGCCATCAAAGTAATCAATACTTATAATGCTATCTAGATAATCCTAACAGCTTTGAATTATTTGGCTTCAATAAACATTATACACAGAGACATCAAACTCGAAAATGTATTGTTACAAAAGCCAAATGATATTACATCATTGAAGGTTATTGACTTTGGATTAGCTATATATAAATATCCTCTTCAAAAATTGAGTGTTTGTGGAACACCTGGTTATATAGCACCAGAAATCCTAAAGCATGCTGATAAAGAAGAGTATTTCACTGAAAAATGTGATATCTTCAGTGCAGGTGTTATCTTCTTTAAATTGTAAGCAATCTCATATTATCAATAGACTAACAAAGAAAACCTTATTCAGAGCATAAAACACAATAGAAATTATGGAAAAAAATAAAATATGTTAAATTAATTTTCAAGAATTTGAATTCAAATTATAGAAGGAAGCAATTAACTTATTAAAAGGCATGCTTGATCCAAATCCAAATACTAGATATTCTGCTTAGTAATGTTTAGATCATTCTTATTTCAGTTGCAAATTAGAAAATATCAACATTTTGTAAGAAATCTTAGATAAGGCTACAGGATTCTCAGGAATTACATAAATCAGTATAAAGTTCTTATTAATGATTAGTTGATTAAAAGAACACGAATTCAATTGGATAAGAATGTCAAGCAGCTTAAGTTAAAAAATGCAATCCAACTTCATATAAAGTTAGGATGGAATTACGCAAGAGAACTAAAAGTCCTAGAAAGTATGCTGATTTCTAATTCTACTATCCTTCTTTTTGTTAAAAGAATTCATGTGAAAGTCTTAGCAGTAAGGGATCATCCTATAATGGGTCCCAATTTGAAAATTTTATAAATGATAAACTTGATTCTGTCATTGAGGAAGATGAGAAACAATAAATACATAAACAATGAAATACTTACTATTTATTTTATCGTAATTATAGAATATTTATTAATTTGACATAATTACTTATTTGTTTGCTTATGAGCAGCTCAAAAAAATATAATTTTGGAAAGGTAATTGTATAAATTATGAGAATATTAAAATTATAAGAAATTCTTTAATAAAAAGTATCAGCTTATTATAATATTCATTAACCACGGGGTTGATGGTTGAGAATATTAAGCTTAGCAGAATTATTAGACAAAATTCAAAGGATTTTTTAAAAAAATATAAAATCTTGTCTTAAAATGAATAGCAATCAAGACTTAAAAGAAGTGTGTGTTGAATAAATCTAAGAATGTGAAACCTAACAGAAACACTTAGATGAACCACATTACAGAGATGATGATGATCAAGTATAAAATTCCATTATCTTAGTAAGGAGATCAATACTCTGAAGAAGAAGAATAAGTTCCTATCTACTCACCTTATCAACTCTCTTTATATAAGAAACCAGCTCCTCGAACTTTAGAGGAATTTCATTTAGACGAGGATCCAAAAAAGAAGGTTTGCATTGAAGAATGCTCAACCACAGAGTAATCACAAGACCATCATGCTATGGGTGACTTAGAAATACTAGCAGAAATGCTATAAAAAGAAAATTAGAAAAAATTCTCATATCCAAAAAATCTTCCAATTCCAACTAATGTAGATGAACATTTCTCTAAACTTAAGAATGCAGATTTCATCCATCCCAAAGAGATGCAGAAGAACTTTATTTTGAATCCTATGTTTAAATCTGAATGAATATCATGAGCAATCAAAATAGGAATTGGTGTGAATGAAGATTCTTAATTGGATGATGAAACACTTTAAGTTTTGAGGGATTGGGGTAGAAACAATTTGGTGGTACATCTACAAAACCCATGAGTTCATTAAAGAGAGATGGGCTAGAGAAATAGAAGAGTAAGCTAGATTATCTTGAGAAGAGAGCATAGTTCGAAACATACGAGAAGGAAAGTTCACTATCATGTAAGATAAAGAGTTGCTGAAAGAGCGATTAAGAGTCAAAGGCAGATTTGTTACATGGACACAAGTATTCCATTCAATTTTATAATTAGGCTTTAAAAATGTTGAATCAATAATAAGACACAATCAAATCATGGACCTATAATGATTACTTTAAGATTAAAAATTTACTAAATGAGAAATTTGGAGCCATTAGAAGTGAAAAATCACTAAAGTTTTGATTCTTAAACTTTTGTATTTAAAATTTGTGTATTCTTGTTTTATAATATAATATTTATGTAAAATTCAATAAATTTATACACTTTAATTATGCTACCTAACAAAGTGAGACACCTGCAATTATACTTCATCAGTATTTTATTATTTCTTGAATATTTTAGGTAATTTTAATTATTAAATTAAGGATATTTTTGAATCCAAATTTTTTTATGTAGGAGTCTTTAAATTTAAAGATGAATATTAATGTTAAAATTACGACTACATTATCTTAGCCTTCCTACTCTATTGAATTTCAATCAGAGGACATTCAATTGTTAATTGTAAAGGCTTCTCTTTCGTATGCTAAGTTATAAATTCATAATAAGATTAAATGTTCGTGGGTTTATGTTATATCTTCCCTAGAATTTCCTTTTATAATTTTTATTGAGAATTTTTATGAGAATTTCTCTCTGAATTCTTTTAAGGTAAAGGTAACTTTGATTTTTGAGACAACCTATTGTTTGTAGTCAAACTGACCTTTTCAGAGGTATCTTCATCATCCTAAGTTTTAACGCAATGTGGTGAGGTTAAAGAGTTTAAATAGTATTCCTCATTAAATTATACCGATTTTTGTTATCCGAGAAAGATGTCTTTAGATATCTTTTTATTCTAATCTAATTTAGCAATCAATTTATTCAGTTTATTGAGTGTCTCCCCATGACAACAATATAATTTAAACCTCTTATAAATTTATAACTAATATACATCTGCAGGTAAAAAAAGCATTTTGGATTTTTCAGTTAAACAAACAGCCTTTGATTATCTATGTTCATAATTTTGAACAATCTCCAAATAACCAAACAATTAACCATATCCACATCTATTCAATTTTAATTGAATGTTTTTAGAGCCTTAATTAATATTATTTCTTACTCAAAGATCTATTCATTCGTTTTACTAATTGACTTTCATTTTAATTATCGTTCTTGGCATTTTAAGTAATTTCAACTTGCCCATCTAACAAAAAATAAACTCCTCTAAAAATAACATCAGAAGTTACTTGACAATCTCGCCTTCCTTATAAATCTAAGTATTATAACAAAATTCAATAGGTTGTAAATGATATTGCATTTAATTTAATTCAGTATCATTCCAATCATTAAATATAGAAATCGATTTTAAGAACTCAAAATTCTTTTGTTAGATTCTACTATAATATTCAGCTATGATTGATAATCAGTAATAATACATAAAAATTTATTGAAGGCCTCTCTTGATAAAGTAATAAATTAAGACTCCTCTTTGCATACAATTGTTGCTTGTCTTGGAATGAAATTTGTAAGCGCAATTTCACCAAAACTTCCACCTGAAGCAATCTAACCTACCTTCATCATATTCGGATATTTGGATAACAACATATTTTCATCATCTAAATCTGCAAACTCAAATTCATCCTAAAATATCAAATTTATAATACCTAAAAAGTGCCCTCATTATAATCAGCTTTCTTCTCATCCTTTGTGAATCCTCCATTCTACAAACCAGATTTCCCTACCAATACCTAATTAATTTATTATACTATAATACCCAAACAGCCCCACTTAGAATGATATAAAAATTCTTACCAATATCTCCTAATCGAAATAATGTTCTTCTTGCTGGCACTTCTACATATTATAATTCCTAATTGGATTATAGATTATACTCTAAATAAATTTAACATCTCATCTTAACTTGTTGATTTACTCATTTCTTAAAAATATTTGATCGATGAAAATGCCATTGATAACAATTACAATTCATTAGAAGTTCTTTGTTTTTTTGGTTTTTCCAAAATATCAATGATTACCTAAATATTTATGTTAGTTATAATACTTAAAAATGCTCCTTGTTTTATAGATCTATGTATTCTTTTGCCAATATCTCTTTAACCTATTATTAAAGATGGAGTTATTATTTTATTTTCTCAATGTTTGATAATTAATGACTCATTTATTTTATATATATAAATTATGTAATCCCTAAAGAATAATATTTAATATTAATTAATTAAAATTATGTAAATTTATTATATTTGTCATTAACATATCATTGCTAGCCTTCATAGAATTTAATTATTTACAATAATTATTAATATATATATAAATTCAAAATGATTTATAATTAAATGCAGAATCAACCATTCAAATTCTCAAAAATCAACTTTTCTAACCCGAACTCCTCCTTTCACAAATATGTTAAAGATGAAGCACAATCAATATAAATGCCTGAATCTATAATAGAGGATTAGCATAGATCCTCTATTTCTACTGAAGGATCGTATGACAATTCAGAATCTTAAAACATTAATAAAAAAGGAAAGATCACCAAAATTAAAGATAGGGATTAACTACAACCTTAAAAGTCAGAGACTAAAAACATTCCCAAAAATTTCGGAGTCTTATTAAAGAAATATTTATGTATTCATTTCTCCTAGATTACTAGGTAGCAAAAATACAGAAAATTAAGCTATCAAAGCTTTCTTGAAAAATGGAGAACATAAGAAGAACTTCTCTAGACAGGATTTTACCAGGTTGTTTCATGATCCAATTGCAGCTGATTTATCAAGGCAATATTTTTCTGGATTTCAAATTATTCATGATCTTATGATAAGTGAAAAAATACAAGATGTTAAGAACCATATCAAATATATAAGTAAGTTTTATAATTCTACTTACAATAAATAAGAGCTAGACGAACTTAAATTATAATGAATATTTTTAATTAATATTAGTATTGGAAATTCTATTTTTCAGCAAGTTAATTAATTTTATCATTTCACTTCAACCTCTCAAAATTTAGAACCATTTATTATATTCAAATTAATGAAATAAGATAAATATAAACATGAAGAATATCAAAAGGTTTTACTATAATAATATCAAAGTTATTAAATCTTGGTGCTTAAAAAAAATATTGATTATGAAATCAAAATTGTTATATAAAAAGGTTTGATATATTTATAAGAAGCATCAGCAATTTATTCTGTAAACCATGAAAATAATAATGAAAGGCCATGCTATATAATAGAATAAAGTTAAGAATTAATTATTAAGATTAGTCAATTAGCCAGTTCTCTAAAAATTTGAGATTAGTTTATTAATATCAGAGTTCCGCTTGAATTTGATCAAAAATGAGCTATTTAGAAAACATTTTACATTCACAGGCCCACTAAAGAAAATAGTGGAAATTACAACAATTATTTTATGATTGGTGAACTCTATCAAAAAGGTTTAATATTTTTTTATTATTAAGAAGAATTGAAGAATTAAATTATATTCTTAGAATTTGGGAATAGGTAAAATAACAAAAGTGTCATAAGCCAATCAAAAGTCATTAATTAGATTTGGGCTCTATTAGTACTACGAAATTGTGTTTCATTGATTGATAATCGTGCTTTACTCATTTTCTAAACTTATGATGAATGTAATGAGGGATGTTTATCATCAATTCTCGATGAAGATGAATTATTTTTTATTGATAATATTTACTACTTAATTTTTATTTTGATTATTATATCTCCTTATGCTAAACTATTATTTCTAATCATTATTATATATAGAATCATAACAATTTTCAATATTTGGCTTTATCTTTGTTCACTTTATTCCCCATGAAATTGCTTCAAATTTTTTGGATTTACTATTATTCTTTTCTCAAGTATTAAAGAAGATAATTAAGATTGTAAATATAGGCAAAGTCTCTCATTCTCTTATTGATATCAAATGAATTTTATAATTTAATCATTGTAAATATTAAATACTATAAAATAAGAATCAATCTCTCTAAGAAAAGAAATAATCTTTATTCGATTTTTACTTTTTATAATCTAATACTTATTTCTCTGTGTTATTAGGTTTTAATATGTAAGATTTATTATTAGACTATGGAATTGCAGTAAAATAAAATTAATTTTATGGCTGTCTTGATTGTTTTTTATAAGGAGAATTTGTCATTAATGAATTGCTTCCAATATTGAAATTTATTTAAGTATTATTTCCAACACAATTTTATTTAGGCGAATGTAATTATTAATCCATGTTTTCTTTATGAAATGAAAATTCCATATTTTAGTTACATTATTGTTAAATTTAGCGTTATAATTGCTTTATCAATTCTTCTTATTATCTAATAATAAGATCTTTGTCATCTGCCTCAGTTTGAGTAAATTGATTTTCTCTTTTAATAAATTTAACTTTGCATCGACTTAAATCTGGTAATTTTTAAAATTGATTGACTTTGTTTAGATCATTTATCTGAACTTCACTTACTTAACTTTATTACAATCCTTGAACATTAAATTCTTCTGTTTGTAATGGAGGTGATCTCGTTACTTAACTATTTGAAATTGGAATTATGCTTGGAGTATTTCTTCGCTCAGAACTTTAAGATGTATCAAAAATTCTCGCTCTTTTTGCTGATGAACTTGAATTTTATAAGTAATTTGATCGTTAGGAATTATTTGTACTTTACATTTGATTTTTTTTAATTAATTATATATATACATTAATTCAAAATATCACTCAATATTTCTAAGAACCCAAGACTTTTAATTAATGATTATGATATTAACACTTAAATTAGTTGTTTAAATTGATAAATGAATTTTCTTTAAGGAGAAATTAGGTTGGAGATTGTATTTCTTCTAAATATTCAATTACATTATTATTAACAAAATTGAAATTAGAAAGAGACTCATCATAAAAATAATTCGTTACTCTACTATTTTCAAATTAAACTTTAATTAATTGTTAAATAAACAATAATTTAGAAATATTAGATCTATAAAATTGCTCTACTTTATTAATATTAAATCAAACGTAGATTTTCTTAATATTTAATTGATTCAAATCGTAATATTTTCTTTCAGAATAATTATATGAATTATAATTATTTTTTAAATTTTGTGATAATTTACTAAAAATGATAAAATGAGGTTATTTAATTCAATAATAATGTTGTTTAATGTTAATTCAATTAAATATTGTTTTATACGATTAAATTCAATTTAAAAAGTAAAAGGGCAGTGCAGATTCATAATAAAAATTCATCATAAATTGATGTAACTTGTAATTTTTTAGTAGATTTAATATATGTTTAGGCTATTAATTTAAGGGCTCTTAATATTGAAATCATATTATTCTTTTGGTTTATTATTTTATTTTAATTAATTGTATAATGACTAATGGTTTTGTTGGAGATTGGTTTCTTTATTTTAATTCATTAATTTTATTATAAAAAATCGTATCACATGATAAGAATAAGTAAAATATTACTAAGAAGAAGGATAATTTTATTAATGAAAAAGTCTTAATTGTTATTTAAGGTACTTTTGATAATCAAAAAATAAAGCCTATTTGATAAATAAGACTAAATTGAGAATAAAAATAAGTAAATTAGTCAGGAAAACAAAAATAATAATGAAAATCAAAACCATTAGAATTAAGGTGATGTAAATAATATTCAAGCTCAAAGCAAAAAAAGGAAACTAGATTAGAATTTGAGAAGGATATTAAATTGATTTGCTAAGAAATAGCACTTATCGTTAGAAAAAGTAGGAAGTTGAAATTTATTAGTTCATAATCATTATCATCGTTCAATTAAATTATTTACAATGAAATTTTTAAATCAATTATTCAGAATCATTATTTCATTTTGGAGAAAACAGTTTATTTGACAAATGACTGGATATTAATTTCTTATTACTCGTTTCCAACAATTTCAACTTCATTTTTTAATCTCTTAAACTCGATTTATTTAAAAGTACAACATGAAGAAATTGACAAATTCGAACTAATTTTGTGTTCCTTGAAGTATTTGTGGATTTCAAAAATTCTTATTTCTTTGTGGAACAGCTCAATTCATTTTTTAAAATATTATCTATTATAGGAGCATATAATTTCATTAAATCAAGAAATATGGAAGACTTTAATAATAGTTTTAGATGAATATCATTCTTTATTTGTTTTATATGATTATCTGTTAAATAATCTGATATTAAGAAGGATAATTTGAGTTTTGTTAGACTTTCAAAATATGTAGATACAGATTTTAGTGTAAATGAGGAATTTTGAGTTTATATTATTAAAAATAACATAATAAATTTAAGCGAAAAGAAGCCTTAATATCAATAATGAAACTGGTTAAAACACTTCTCAATTTATCCATATTTTTGGTTGGATTATAAACACAAGCAGGTTTCACTCCATCCAATAAATTCTAATATTTTATTTTGTATATAAATCAAATCAAATCTCCATTAGTTTGACATCATTAAAATCATATTATTTTCTAAAAAATGTAAAAATGAATCAAATTTTATATTTAGAAAAGTTGAAATTCTTTTGAATTAAAATTGTTGTTATTGCCTTATTTTTCAAGAATTTTAACACCTTCAAATTAAATCAAATATAAATCTTCTACATTTAAATTGAAGATTCAGTTCATTGTTAGTTAATTTGTAAATTAAAGCTTTTGCTCTATTATTAATAAACATTATTGGATCATTTTCCTAATTATAATAGAAAATTCAAATCTCGCTGAATTCCTAAATTCTACTTTTAAAATTTATTATTAATATCAAAATGAATTAGGAAATCAAACAAGCTAAATATGGTTTAATAATGAGAATGATAGCAATCAGATTCGAGACTGTCATTTTGGTAAAAAAAATTGAAAATTTTTTTGTGATAATTATAACTTAATCTTTTAAACTTATCCGAATATTAAATACTGATTAAATGAAACAAAAAAGGGTAGTTAAAGTGGATAATGAAAGAATCAAAAAATTATAAATAAAGGAAACTAGTGTTAACTTAGATTGGCTGCTAAAATAACCAAATATTAATGAAATCTAATCAACATTGTAATTTATATCACTCATCGATTTGAATATCGAAATAGATAATTTTGATATATAAGGCGTCTGCCATACTGTTTATAACAATCAGATATAATTGAAATATATTTCAATAGCAAACGATTTATTAATTTTCTAGGAAAGTAATTGTGTAGTTTTGAGTGGCTGTGTTATCTAAAAGAGAAAATTTCATAGTAATCATAATTAACTATTTTTGATTTCTTTATAAAATCAAAGTGGAAAACTGCTATTGCTATTCTAACATCCAATATCATAAAAAGAATGGTATAAGGTTTTAAAATTATCAGCCATATAAATCGATTTTCTTAAGAAATATAGGATATTAGATAACATATGTTTAAACTTTTATTATGTGTCACACAAAAAAAAGAAGAAAAAATACGCAGCTCAAATTATAAATAGAAAAAACTTTAAACTCTATGATTAATAAGATGTCATAAATAATTATATAAAAATTTTAAGAAATAATAATATCTAAAATGTTTTTCCAATTATTAGTATATTTGATGAAAATGATATTCTATATCTAATCACTGAATAATTTGTAGGTAGCGCTTTTGAATAATTATTATCTAGTCAGAATACCGTAATTACTCAATCTGATTTAGCTTTTATAATCTTTTCTGTTCTTTAGAATTTGAAAAGTTTATAAGATGAAGATCTGTTTCATGGAAACTTAAATCTAGATAATATTGTCATTATCAATTCATCAAGTTAGGTCGGAGTCTATGTGATTAATCCAATTTACAAAGTAATTTTTATGTTTAGCTTAGGTTTACAAATCAAAATCTATTGAGTATTATGTCCACACTATTCCTGATTATCTTGTTGCCCCTGAAATAAATGATACCTAAGCTCCGTCAGTTTCTAGTGATATTTACTAATTGGGGATCCTTTTGTTGTTGGTCAGCTTTTAATGTGCGTCAGAAAAACTCGATGGTTCGTTTGTTCAAAAAGTGTTAAAAAATAAATAATTTTTGGTATCTTCCCAAGAGATCAAGTTTTAAAAGTGCCAAGATTCAGATTACCCTCATCTTTACAGTGCTTGCTAACTAGATTTAATCAAGAAAATGACTGAGAAAGATCCAACTAAAAGAATTTAGGTTTAAGATGCAATGAAACATGCATGGTTTATAAATACTAAAGATAAACTTAAAATGCAAAAATAATATTTCAATAAGCATTTACCTAGCCTAAAAACGATTATAGAAATGGTCGAATAAAGTGAGTAAGATATTAGAAGAAAATCCCTGTAATAATCAGGAATTAATTTTACCCATCAAATGGTATCAATTTAAAAATACGAATTCAGTCCCTACAGACAACAATAACCAGAATTTAGTCCCCTAAAAAAGACATCAGAAAGTTTAAATGAAATTGTTGACGAAGAACATTAAATAAGCAATTTAATTGATTAGTTGAATAACAAATAATATCTGATGTTGCCTTCGCAATATAATCATCTCAATTAAGCCAATAATTAGTTGAGATTCATCCAATCTGAAAATAATTTAGACTAATTTCAAGTTTGAAAATATCATATCAATTCTTATTGGTTATAAATTTTATATTATAATATCGGGGTATAAACTTCGAAAATTAATCTCAATTATGTGATAAAAGATATCAGATTTTCATCACTAATATTATTATGAACTAGCAAAATTCAGATGCAGAAATGAGATTTGTCAACTCCACAACTTCATCCCCCCATACTCATAAACTTGCTAGATAAATACATCCTTTAGAATAAACGTATAGTTAACAAGAATATGATTCAACTCCTATTGTATTAAAACTAAATAAACTAGCCATCTAACAACCTATTAGTTCTAACTAAGAAGAAAATTAGAAAAGAATTGTCATAAAATTAAAAATGCAATAGTGGACATTGGACTCCTGAAGAACATTAGACATATGTAGAATTTCTTCAAAACCATTAAACATAATCAATAAGTAGTTAAGAAAATAAGAAAAACAATAAAATCTTTAAGCTTATGTCTTAAACGATTGGAACTAGATCACCATCATAATGTAGGTAACTTTAACCTATAAATTAGGTCTCATCATTAAAAATTCAATCCTAATACCCCAGTAAGTTAGAAAAGAATCAAAAAAACCAACAAATAATTAAGTACTCATAAACTCTATATTCTAGATTCTAATTTTCAGATTAAATTACCAATCAATAATTTGATTAAGCAATTCTATACTCCTGACCTTAAACCTAATTTAGGTTTACATTATGATTATTTTAGAGCCTATGTTGAACTTTTAAGATTGCCATGAGTCATAAGATATCCAATAGGAGGAATCTTTCAAAATTAGAATTCGAAAGTATTCATATAGCAATTTCGATGATAATTAAAATATTTATAATTCTCATTACAATCTCCTTTTGGAATGAGCTATAATAAATAATTTAAATTCTTAAAGTTAATTATTCAAACATTTGTCGGATTTTTACAGTTAAAAAATAATTAATCATCGTTATTATTTTAAATAAATCACTCATCAAGAATATAAATTAGAAATATTCCCTTATTTCATCTAGATTTATTTATAGATCTTGAACTGAATTCAAATCCTCATCACTAAAAGACATTATGATTATTTGATTATTAACTTTTTCAACTCATTCTCAAATTCTTTTTAGATTATTTTTTTGTGGAATTCTTTAGACAACCCATACGTAATATTACTTCATAGATATTGATGTAAATTGTAAAATATAATATTTTATATTAAAATTTTAGATAAAGTATTTTTTAATTCTTATTAAAGTAATCTTTGGTTTACCTTGATTCTATCTCTTTAGTTCTAGTTATATTATTAATTTAAACTTTAAATAAGAATACAGAAATAAAAATGCAATTCCAAATTTATAAAAAATAGTTCCTTTTTAATCAACTTCCTCTCTACTTTTTATTGTACTAAAAACTTCACTCTCTGTATATAAAACTTTATGAAAATCAAAATATATTTAAATTAATCATAATATGTAAAGTAAAATCCCAAACCCTAGAATAGTTGAAAAACATTTCTCAAGGCATCGATAATAAGATTGTACATCTCCAGTAGTTGCATTTCCAATTAGACCAGCACAGGTTTTATAATAGAGAACCCTATCACTACCAGTAAGGCAGTATTCGCTTGATTGCATTATATAAACAACTTCAGCTGTGACAGCACAAGCTTGACCACATTTATCTCTTAGATCTCTGCAATTATTCCATAGACAATTGGCATATTCAACCTCTGTGTTAGATTTCAGCCCTTGCATTAAGCAAGCAAAAAAAATTAGTAATTTCATAAATATTAATAAATTATATATGATTTTAGTGTGTACTATTATAAATTTAGAGAAAAGAAATATTATATATATTGAATTATTATCTTTAAACCGTTACAAAAGAGCTAGGAAATTTGGAATTTTGTCTTCTATAAAAGAAACCACAACAAGTAAATGGTAAATAAATAATGCAGAAACAATTTAAATTTGTAAAAACACCTACCAATTTGCAAGAATATTAAATCAGGATTTTTTGCATAAATCTTAAAATTAATTATGAATTTATGACATGCAATTAGTTAAATTAATATTATGTTTATCTCAATTTGTTATGATACATATAGATAAATAATTTTTTTTTAGTATGCTCAATAAAATATACCTTATACGAAATATTAAAATTTATCATACCTAAGATAAACAAAAATAATTCCCGTCTAGCTCTCCACCCTAGACATAAACAAATAATTCAGCATCAGAAGCCACTCTTGGGTTAAATCTATTTTCTAATTCTTTTAAAGCAACTTCACTTTTCTAGAACAGGCAATGTGGTTCCATGTCCTGTGTACATCATTTTACCAATAATAGTATTTTATTTTTAATATTTTTAGCAAGCATTCAATCCTCTAAAAATGTATTTCATAAATACTAATAAAATATATTCTTAAAACAAAGCTCTTCCTAGAACTGTTATATAATCTGATAATATCTTAAATGGTACTTTCCCTTCAAATTTCATTACTTTACCTGGTATAGATAAAACAAATCCAAAATCAATATGAATCAGATGGCCTTCATCATCTAATAATATATTTCCATCATTTCTGTCTTTTACTTATAAAAAATAGCAAACTAAAGAGTAGGCTGTAAGTGATTAAACATAAATTTATAATGCTTATTAAATGTTGTTTCTAAAATGATCTAAAAAATCAGAGAAATCAATAAATTAAGCAAACTTCTTTTATAGATTCTTTTACAAACTATCAATAGTGGTAGCATTTTTAATCATCTCTATCATACCAAAATCAGCTCCTTAATTAAATTTCATAAAATCTTAATTTTAAAGGCAAACCTTCCTTCTTAAAAATTAATCAAATTAACAAATCAATTATGAAGTAAACTGCTCTTATGTTAAATTATCTCCTGTTTTTATGATCATATAAACTAATTTCTAAGATTTCAAAGCTTAAAAAGGACTTTTATCTTTTAGTCTTTCTTGTAAGCCAAAGAATTTTCTCCAAAGATAGCTTATTTGATATCTATGTATTCTTACCAACTCAATACTAGATCTTACAAATAACTGACTCAACTATTAAAAAGTAAAATGAATCCTCACAATATCATTTGTTTTGCATTACAGCTGATGTGAATTAATTCGAATCAATTTATATGTCATGCTCTTCAACTTATATATTAAAATCTTAAATCAAAACATGTTGCCTTTTTGATTTTACTTCCGAATTTAATAAAGTAATATCTCCAAATTTAACTTTGCATGCCTTGATCTTAGATTTAATCAATTGCTTTGGAATTGGAGCATAGTTTTTCTACTCCTAATACCAACTATTTGGATTCCATAATGATCCAGCTCCTTATCGTTTTGCAAACAGTTATCTTATTTATGAAGTCACAAAAATTGCAGGTTTCATTTCTAATTTCATTAGAATATAGAACTTTTTTTTTAATGAAATTAATTAAAAATATGTTTCATTGAAGTCTTAGGAATACTTTCTTCTTTAATTATTTATCATATATTCTTCTGCTATTTCCGTAATTCATAATGTTATTATAATACTTGAGGATGTCCTAAAAACAACTATTTTATTTATAAATTTAATTAAAATGTATTTTTAATTAAATTCAAAGACATGTAAACCTAATAATATTATTAGGTATCAGTTTTGAAAATAATATTGAAAACAAAAAATAACTTATTAATAGAAACAAAAATAATGTGATTCAAAATTTGAATATTGTTCAACTCTTTTGATGCCCATTAAAGCTATAAATTTTCAATAATGATAATAAGTGATGAAGTTATCAAATTGAATGAAATTAATATTGGAAAGCATTATTTACTCTAGATTATAGTCATAGGAGGTCAATAAAGCAATTATCTAAATTTTCAAATAAGATAATTTGGATAAATGAAATTTAATGCCCATATTATATATTATGATTTTTGATAAATTTTATTTTTGTTGGATTTTTTTGTTTAAAAAGTTAATAATGCCTAGCAAAGCCTTTGAATTAAGCCGAATTGCCTCTTAAGGTCTTTTCTTTAGTTAAATTATTATTTATTTTTTTTTCTTAAAGAAATTCATTCAAATATATTACTGAATATATATAAATAATATATCTAATTGCCTTTGTTTATCCTTGTGTAACACTGAATATATGGATTTGAAATAGTTTGTATTTTGAGTTTCATATTCTTAAGAGGCTTACTTTGAAATCAACATTATTTTTTTATATAAATAGTAATGGAAGAGATTTTAGTGTCATAGAGAATGGGACCATCTGCACTGACTCAATAACTATCGTCTAAATAGGAATCGCCTTGCAACCTAATGCTAGAAGACGATTATCAAATAGAAAGCCAAAGAGATATGATAGAGAACAAGAGCATAGATATGAATATGTCAAGATTCGAGAGTAGAGTAATAAAATAGTATAATAAAAGACTGAATTTAAGAAACATGCATAATTTTTAACAAATAGAGCACTAAGAACAATTTAAACATAAAAATAATCTCATTTTTTGCAAAGCTATAAATTATAGTAACATGTTCATCGATTTATAAATAACTTATTCACAAACTCATACATTCTTAGAAATACTCAAAAATAGAAAATTACTGATAAGCTACTTGAAAAATAATTTATTAGTTAACATAGAAAAAAAGGTATTTAAAATATTAATAATTAAGATTATGAAAATAAATCAGTTATCCCAATATTCTTACCTTCCACAAATTCAATAATGATATGGGATATTTTCGGATTTATATGTAATCTAATGATGCTCTGGTTGACTCCATTTTTGGGAGCATTTAACAATTATTATAACGAGACAATATCAGTCTTACAATAAATTATTTTAATATAGTTAATTTTAGATTTTTTTGCACAATTTAATAGAGGAATATTTGTGTCTGCAGTTCTGATAACTAATAGGAAGAAAATAATTACGTAATACTTAAAATCTAATGCTTTATCTGATTTCTTAAGAATGGTCATTTGGATTGACATCAAATATTAGATATTATTTACTTTTTGTTTTGAGATAATAATAGTTTTATAAATCATACTAATATACTAAAAGATACTTAGATATCTATAGGAATATTATTATTAATATATCTATTCAAAAAGAGGATAAAACTTTATTTTAGATTTAGTTTAGTTGATCATTCAAATTTACTATTTTGCACATATCATAGCTTGTGTCTGGCATTACGTAGGCGAGAATACTTATTATTTACACAATTCTTGGATTCTTGAAAACCAATTAAATGAAGAAACTGTTTGGAATAGATATAATTCAGCATTTTATTGGGCAACTATGACAATGACAACTGTAGGGTATGGAGACTTTTCAGCAAGAAACTAAATTGAAATGTTGGTGTCCTCTTTTATAATGTTTTTTTCAAGTTATGCTTTTGCTTATACCATGAGTTCGATTGGAATAATTCTAAAAAATGTTTATGATACAAAACAAACATATAAGTATAATTACAAGTATAATTAGAAAGAACTTAATTTAAATGATTTAATATATGAGTAAGAACTAAGTTGATGAATCTACTTAGGGAAGAATTAGAAATTACTTGAGATTCTAATAAGCGCAAGAAAAGAAAGAAAACTAAGATGAAATTACCAACCTTATTAATCAATTGCCTAAAAATTTACAACAAGATTTAAATGCAGATATATAATCTCGGGTGATCAAAAAAATGAAACTCATAATAAATCATTTCTCTAAATACACATAATAACAGGTTGCTAAAAACCTTGAGTTAGTTTCCTTTATTCCAGGAGATTTCATTTATAAATAAGGTGATTAGCATGAAGATAATTTGTATAATTTTATTTGATTTAAGATATTTCTTATAGAGTGGAGATGTGATTTTAATGGAATGTCAAACTGAGTAAAATCTAAGATCTGTAAAGAATTCATAATATTTGGGATATTATTCCTTTTTTACTGGGTTTACTCCAAAAGAAACCGCTATTTGTCAAAGTCCAAGTGAACTATATAAAATCAGCAGAAAGAAATTCCTTGATATTGTGCGTTAGAATTAAAAAGACTTCGAAATCTTCCATCATATCAAAGAGAAGTTGATTTTTTCAACAAATTACGTCCTCTTTGATCATAAATGCAACTTTTGTAACAGGTATATACATTAAGAAATTGATTGTCCTTTAATTTAATATAAACCTGATTTAGAAGCTATTTTGAAGAAAGAAAACTTTAATCAGATAGTAAATCTCAGAAGATTAGTTATCAGAACAAAAAGAAAACATCATGCATTAGGATAACATCAACCAATTGAACAATAACTAAAAATATTTCAGTAAGACAATCAATTTTGTGAGGATACTGACTCTGATTAGGAAGGCAAGTTTGGAAACCAGAAATCATTTTTTTCTGAATAATAATAAAGAAGTTCATCTTAATTATTATAAACTGAAGATGATGGACACTTTGAAAATACTCCTCCAAGATAAAATCAAAAAAGAGCAACTTAACATTATGGTCCACTAAAATTATAAAAAAGTATGCTATTATTTTTCAATTAGTGTCATCTTTTTCGAAATAGAAACTAGGATAGGTTGAATAGAAATCTTCACAAAGGAGAATGATTATTTAAAATGAAGAGTAAATGGCATTAAAAAATTATTGTATGATTGAGGAAGTGTAATTATTATTGTAAAAATAATTTAAATCCTCTTTTAATTTGGATAAAGTATGTAATACTTTTCGAAGTTATATGCCTTTATATACAATTGAATCATAGATTAAAGAATTACAAAAAGTTCAAAAGAAAAAATAAAAAAGATTTTGGAAATAGAATGAAAAACTTGGAAAATATACTTTCTCTAATAATGTAAAAGTTTTGACACTAAAGATACTCAACTAAAGCAAATATACAAGTAAAAATATTAGCTAAATTTGATATAAATTATAGAATTATTGATTATATAATAAAAATAATATTCAAACAAATAAATTATTTCGTATATATTCTCTTTGTAAATTGAGATTATGTTGAAATCATCATAATATAAATGTTGAAAAGATCGATTTCATTTACTTAATTCAATCTTAAATTGAAGTACTTCTCATAAAAAAAAATAGAGCATAGAAATTAACTAAGGCACATTTGTAATTAGTGAAAATTATATTTATTATCTTAATTTGTATCAATGAATTCATTGTCTCAGTAATTTAATCTCGAATCGACTGATTAAAACTTTTGTGGCCCGAAAATAAAGTTGGATGACAATAGACTTATATATGTTCAAAAACAGTCATCTCATGACTTATTCAAAAGTTCACTGTTTCAAATATCAAATGATTACATAGAAGTTGCCTAAACCCCATTTCCTTAATTTTAGTCAGCAAAAAATAATAGAGTGACTCGCAGGATGGTAAAAAAATGATATTTAATATAAGTTAACAAGAAAAAACAAATAGGATGTTAATCTAAAATTAGTTGATAACTTGGTTTTCAAGAATTTGACAAAAGAGAGGTTAGTTAAACAGTTCAAGCGCAATTTATTTTTGCGTTCATATGTGATGAGTTAGGAATATAAAGATGTAATTCAAAATCATTTTAAATATGAATAAAATAGCTCAAAAAGGGTGGAATGTATTTTAAATTTGATAATAAATAGTTAATTCATAAGTGTAAGATAAATAAATTTTTCTAATTCCTGGGAGTAAAGTAACTTTGATTTTAGATCTTTTGTCTTTATTAATCAAGATATTATGTCTCTGGGTATCCCCATTAATAGTATCCTTCAGACCAGAATATCATATTTTCAAGTGGTTCTAAATAGGGATAATGTTTCAAATATTTATTGAAATCTTCATCTAAACCAACAGGCCAATAAATATTTCAGGCGAAACAATAACTAATCAGAAAAAGATCCTTACTAACTATTTGACAAATCATTTGTTTGAAGATATTATTGATATCAGCTGCTGGGTCATTTAGTACTTAAACATCAATAATATTTCTAATAGCGTTGCATGTGGATTAATAATTTTAGTTTCATTCAAAAAGATGTTGAAAAACTATTCCAATTGCAACGAGACTATGTTTTTAAAAGGAAGCTTTAATTATGCTTTGGATATATTTACTTTGATCATCACCATCCTTTCTTTTGCTCATGTAATGGCTTGCATTCTTCATTATGTCGGATAATTGACTGTGAACACAGGTCAATCATGGTTATTGAAATACTAGATTGACGATGCATCCATATGGGTGTAATATAATTATTCTATTTATTGGGCTATCATGACAATGGTTACAGTGGGATATGGAGACATAACAGCAGCAAATTAATATGAGATGTTCTTAATAAATTGTATGATGCTTTTAAGTAGTGGAATGTTTGCATATTCCATGAACAGCATTGGAATGATTTTGAAGAACAACTATGATATTCAATAGAGATATAAGTAAAAATAATGTTTATCAATAGGAGAAGCTTAATACAGATCAACAACTATATGAAGAAAGGCTAATTAAACTAGACTATTTAAAATAGGGTAAGAAATTATGTTAAACATTATATACAAACAGAATTCAATGAAAATTATGGGGAGGTTAGGGAAATTATTAGTCATTTGCCTTCTAAATTAAGATAAGAATTAACAATGGGCATACAAATGAATATCATGGAGAAGATATTAGTTCTAAATCACAATTTTTCACAATCAATTTTAAAATAATTATCTCAAAAAATAGAATAAGTTAAATACATTCCAGATGAAGTCATTTACAACAACGGCGATTTGGAAGATTAGTACCTGTAAACATTTATAATATCTAGATATTACTTATAAGAGGGACAAGTCTTATTATGTGAAGAGAGGAGCAATAAAGTCTTACAAACCATTAAGTTAGGAGAGACATTTGGAGAACATTAGTTTTTCACCGGATTTCCAGCGAAAACGTAAGCAATCAGTTATGGTCATTCAATCTTATATCGAATTCATAGAAACTCATTAATTAAGTTATTTAATAGTGTAAGCAACAAGGATTTTTAAAGATTTCATAATATTAAGGACAATATTATCTATTTGAATAATTATTAAGTAATCTTAAAGAAATGCAATATTTGCAATTTGTACAATCATATTAATATCGAATGCCCTTTAATCACTTATAGACCAGATCGATTTAGAGTAGTAATGTAGCCGGATAAAAACTGCTAGAAAGAAATGAAGAGAAAAAAGTTCAAAAGGGCTGGGGATAAAATAAATTCTTTAGCCATGAATAGCAAAGTAGTTGAATCTGTATAGGAGTTTACTTAAACTTAATCAATGACCAATTTTCATGAAATTGAAGATACAAATTAATAACTTAATCCTAAAATTTATAGTGGTCACAATCAATAAAACACATAAGGAATAAGCAGTAAATTGATGATAGATTATAAATAATAAAGCAAAGACTTTTTCAATTTTGATAAATAAAGTTCTGAATAATAAGTTGAAATGCCTCAAAGACCTCCGAGAATTTCTATATCAGGATTATAAAATTTGATTAAAAGAAAAGTAATACATAACGCATTGAAAAAAGATCTTAATAAATAATAATCAAAATAATCTTTTAATAGAGCCCCATCCCTTCGAAAATAGTAATCAAATGCGAGGTAGTCTTCTAAACATCTAACAAAAGATGAATTGGAAGGCCATCCGAGCGAATTGGATTAGAAAGAATTTAATTAACTGGAATATATATAATCGCACCCGTAATAAATTAGCTTTTCAGTTGATCACTATTATAACTATTAAGGATATATGTAAAATGATAATCTCCTGTAAGTTATAAAGAAGTATGACAAAAATAAAATGAAAAATTCGAGATTGTGGAACCCATTTAAAAATTCTAAAAATTCTGATGGAGGCATATTTGGATCAATGGAATACTCAATTGTAATGAATAAATGAATATTATTAATTTATTTAATTTCTACAATAATAACAATTATTTTAGTAACATATTATTTACATTCCTATTTTATTTACGTATTAAAATTAGCATAAGGCAAATTACAAATAAAGAAGTTATCTCTATACTCTTCAATGTTCATTTGAAGATTTTGGATGTTTTTTTAATTTAAATCTATATACACAACTTTGAGATTTTATATAATATTATAACCCTAAGAGAGTATCTTTGATTTTATTTATGGTTCTTAGTATAAATTCTAACAATTCTGTTATATAGTACTAGGAGAGATTGAGGTGTAAACCAATAGATATTAAATAGTTTGAAAACTTTTGTTTTTGAATATGTTTGATTTAATTACTTAGCTGCTCTATATTAGAATTAATGATGCATTTTTGAACATATAAATTCTAAATTGCAAATCTATTCAAACATCTAAATAACGATGAAGTTTATTATTTAAGTTACAAATAAATTACTTTCACACCTTAAATTATTTATCAATTTTTTATATTTATGAGCGAATATGAAGAGTTTAACTTAAATACAAAAATAATAATAGAGAACAGAATTTGATATTTTGCAATTGATAACAATTATTCTATTCAATAATAATGATAAGGCATTAGATAACAAATATATCAAGTAAAAATTATATTTATATATTAATAAAATGAATTATAATTTGGAAGAAAATGAATAAGAGTTTCTTGAAAATAGGTCACCAAGAAACGAAGAAGAAGAAGTGGACCAAAAAAATGAAGAAGAAGGTGCTTAGAATACATAAAATTTAAAGAAAAAGAAAAAAATATAATAGTTTAAATTGAAACCTGAATAAATTACGGACCCGTAAAAAGGAGTGCTTTTTTTATTTAATTTGTGTAAAGATTATCGGTTTGGCAATGATGAACTTGATGAATTAAACAAGTATATGCATGTAATAGAAGAATGGCACTATTAAGTAATGCCTAAATACGACTTTGATTATTTTACAAATAGATTATAAAAATTTGGAGGGAATAATAGTGTTTAAGTAATATTTCTTCTTACTTTTAGACTCATCTATAATTCCTTAGGAAGGCTTACAAAGGTCTGATTCCATGGCATTTTGTCCTTAATCCATTGGGAGAGCAACCTATTAATGACCTTTTAAACAATTAAACCATTAATGAAAGCATAGTTAATAATTCAGCAATAATGTAGGAAGAATAGCCCTATCAAAACATACACTAGACTGAATAACATTTTAACTAGCCAGAACAATAATAGTAAGTGATTTCTCTTTCTTCATAAAAGAAACCCTTAAAATTATCTTTAAAAAAATAGAATGTATCATCATAAGTGAATTCAGTAAAAAAAGAACTTACTGTGCGTTTTAATGATGATGTTTAATATCAAGATGTACAGAAGCCTATTTAAGAAGAAAATTTCGATGATTTATTTGAATAATTAGAAGCTGCATATAAAGCCAAAGAAGAGAAAAAAATTGTAAATTGAGAGAATAGTATTTTGATAGTAATTCTATTGTTTTTTTGTATATTTATCATATATCCTATTTTGTATTATTTTCATTTTATTAATTTGAAAAGTAATTAAAATAAATGTGAATCAAAGTAATTGTATATTAAACATATTTCTATAATATTAAAGATCATATTTGTGTTAATAATAAACTATAATAATAATAATAGATGCACAATTTTCTAAATTTTGTTATAATATTTTATTTATGATAAAATAACTATTTAAATTGAGAGTATTTACTTTTTGCCAAGAAGCAAACTTTGGTTTTAAAAAAGTCAAACTTGAAGAAAAATAAGAACATGTCAATTAAGTATTTCACAATGTTGCAAATAAGTATTTATTTATTTGTAAATAGTTACGATTTGATGAATGATTTGATGAGTGGTGGATTGCATAGATGTTGGAAGAATTCGTTTGTTGAAGAATTAGGATCATTAAAAAATGGAGATTCCTCTATTCGAGTACTAGATGTTGCTGGAGGTACAGGTGATATTGCATTCCGTATACTTGAGAAACATAAAGGAAATAATTTGTTTAATGAAAATCTAAAAATAACAGTTTTAGATATAAATTAATCCATGTTGGATGTAGGATAAAAAAGAGCAAATCAATTAGGATTTTAAAATTGTAATATAGTTTTTTGAAACATTAGAAATTGAATTTGTATGTGCAAATGCAGAAGAATTGCCATTTGAATCAAATACTTTTGATGCTTATACAATAGCCTTTGGAATTAGAAATGTTCCTAGAATTCCTAAAGCAATCGGTGAAGCTCACAGAGTGTTGAAATAAGGAGGAAAATTCTAATGTTTAGAATTCAGTAAGGTTCAGAATCCAGTTTTATCTTTTTTGAATTAATTTTATTAATTCAATTTAATTCCAGCTATGGGATAAATAGTGGCCAATGATAGACATTCATATTAATATTTAGTAGAGAGCATAGAAAAGTTCCATAGTCAATAAGATTTATTAAAAATAATAGAAGATGTTGGCTTTAGATTTGCAGGTTTTAAAAATTATATGGATGGGGTTGTGGCTGTACATTTTGGATTTAAGTTATGATGTTAATTTATTAAGTTAATTTAATTGCAAATTTCAGGTAAAATACTATATTGTCATTGTTATTATTTATTATGATATTAATGGAACCACTTTAAAATTTAAATTTCTTTCATAGCTTACTCACTGATTTCAATGATCATCTCCTTCTCATTATAATCAGTCGCATCATATTTTTTGATACAATAATCAAAATATTGTTTGGGCATCTTGTTATCTAAGGTGTATAATTATTACATTAATTAATATAATAAATTAAACAATAAATAAATGGATTAAAATCACTATAATCTTCTTAATAAAAACACGACTTTGAGTTTTTCTTTTTATCATTTTTTGGCATAACTTTAAATTTATTTGGTTTAGGCTAGTAAATTCCCTATTGTAAATTACATTACTAATACTTTAAATATTTTGAAGTAGAGTATCACATTAATCAATGCAATTTTAAATATCTTGAATTGGGGATAGGTTATGTTTTTGAATAAAAAATGCTTAAACATAATTTGATCAGCCATAGTTTCTAATACTATAGATTGAAGTTTCAGTATGTTCTTCATTCTAGTTGATAATTTATTGAATTGAACTTTAATTACAATCTTTTTATTTGAAAGATGCTATCCTCAATTTTGGAAAGTAGTTTTATCACTGCGTTTCATGCCTATGTTCGTCTTGCTGTTGAAACAGTTAAATATATAATACATCTCTCATTCTAATTAATTTTTTATTGCTTATTCTATATTGCTATGATAATTCATTCTTATTCATTATTTTAGACTACATTTCCGCTATTTACTTTAAGCCTGATTTATGAGTTCATTTTTTTTAAAGAATAACTTTATTGTATTTCAATTTAAATTCTGTTTAAATGGATCTTGAAATTGAACAACCTATATTATTTTTTGCTTGAAAATATGCACTTTAATATTTATCTATTCATAAAATATATAATTTAATTCAAATAATAAAAACTAGAAAAGAATCATCAAAACATTAGCAAATAATATACAAAAAATGCTCGTTTTTTCATTTTATATGTTCACTATTTTCCTTCTAAACAAAAAATATAGAAATATACTGGTGGTTAATTTTGTAATGATACTAAAGAATAAATTAAAGAACATTAATTTTTATATGATAATTAAAATAATGAAATAAATTCAAATTAATTGGTATATATAATAAAGGAAGTTGAATTCATCAAAAATTAAATAAAGCTCAGTTGCATTCTAATCTCAAAAAAAATTTTACATGTGATTGCATATTTACATAAAAATAATTTATATAATTATTGGAAAAGTTTTAGGCTTGAGTTGAGTTAAAAAGTAGCACAACAATTAAAAAATTATGTGTTCTAAATAATTGAATACAATAAATTATTATATTTAGCGCTCTTTAATATTCAAATTGTAATCATTCTTCTTGTTTGATTTAGTGATTTATTGATTTTTCTAAAATTTTTTATTTCTTTTAAGGACAATACACTTAAGTATTGTACCTGAAATATAAATCGAGCTCTGCTTTATGCTAAGAGATAAAGGGCTTTACCCATTTATAATTACCAAAGAACAATTTAATTATTTTTCTAGCTATTCTAGATTTTTTAAGTTTCAATAGGGCATTCCGATTAAATCCTTGACTTGAGATCTTCATAAATTATTTTATATAGCTATCACTCATTACTTTCGCATCATCTTAAAATTATTCAACGATGAATTTTAAGATCTTTTAACCCATATTTTTGTAATAATTCTTGGTCTAGCCTGGGAAAATATGAATTTTTTTGTTATAATCAGTATCATTCTCCTTATTTTTCTGTTCCTTTTTTTCTAATTTTAATTAATTATCGCATTCATCTTCAATTTTTCCTTATGATTGCTCTCCTTCCTCTTGCTTTACATCTAACTTTTATTCAACTTTATTATTGAAGAAAGGATACAGAAAATGACAAGGAAACTACTTAAAATTGAATAGTAACGCAATGCTTTAATTGTAATATGTAGGCATCATTTAATTTTAAAAAATTAAGTTAGTTCCCAAATCTAATTTAATATAAGTGATAACAAAAGCAACTAATGGATAACTTTCTTCGCTTTTATTTGAAAATATCTGAACTAAACCTCAAAGGAAATTTTAATATAAATTTAGTTAATTTGCCTCATTTTATTAGATAATCTTTGGCTATCTTCAATAAATATCCTTTATTAGTTTATTAGAAATATCAAAATTTCCAATTGGGAGCCTATCATTTTGAAATTCATAGATATAAATATTATTAACAAAATAGTTTTAAATTTTCATAATTCAAAAATGATCATAAGATTATATTCTATAGAGCTTTTCAAGGAAGTATAATTGCCTACACTTCCCCACTCTAACTTTTCGAGTCTCAAACCGTTATTAAATCCTCTTCCATCACTTGAATCGAATTTTCACTTAATTTGAAAAAAGCTCTCCATTTGTAATAAAAAATCCAATATATTTTGATAAACTATTTTTATTGGCATAACCTAAAGAAATTTTCTTTTTTATTGTCAATGGTATAAGAATTAAAATATTTTCATGCTCGTAATCATAATCTATAACTAAAATTTAAACTCAATGCTCTTTTTGTTCTTGTTTTACAAAAAGTAATATTCTAGATGTTTTGTACTGCATTTTTATCTTTATATTTAAGAAATATATAAATGGTATTAGTTTAATTACTCTTCAATTTATCATATAGCCCAACTGAAAAGCTAAGAATTTATATTTTAAAATATAAAATAAAATATTCAGAAATAATATAAATTTTAATTATGCGATAAAATAAAGTAAAAAAGGAATAAATTAAGAATGGAGGATTGACATGGTCAATAATAAGTATATATCATTCTAGATTATAACTTAAACAACCACATTGAATGGAGGAGAACTATCAATGTGTACAGAAAAATTGCATATTTTTGTTACAAAAGATCTTTTAAAATAAATTGCTGTTGTAATAAGCCAGCCATTCTTTTAATTGACTTCAAACCAGCTCTATAGATTCATTAGGAAATATAACAGGGAAAAATGGACAATAACCTTTATTCAAAAATTAAATTTCAATACATTTTAATAAATTGGACTATTCTATTCAATGTTTTAATAATGGTGTAAAGTAAGTAAGTATTTTTGTTTATTCACGATTACATTTTATGTTCTATAAGCTTTTTTAATTATTCAATAATTTCTAATCTATCCCAGATCAAGATCTAACTCAATTTTGTGTGTTAAATTGTGATATTTAATTTTTTATAACGACTTAATTTTCATCAAGCTCTGTTGAGTGAATACTTAAGCAACCTACCTTAACTATTCAACCTTCTTCTCTTAACTTTCAAATATTTTAAATTCAATAAACAAACAAGGTTGAGGAACCTCATTAATTATTATATTATTAAGAAGAAGATGTATTCAATGAAAGTCTTGATTAATGAACTTATTTCTACTCAATTAAAGCTTGACCGAAACGACTATTAGTTCAATGCAATTTATTTATAGACTATAAGTGGTTAAAATAAATGATTACAGAGGATTTAGATTCTCTCTCTTTTTATAAATTGCATTGTTGTCTAAAAAATGGCAATCATCATTTTCTAATCTATTATGATGCAGTAAATTCAAAACTTAAAAATTCTGAAATCAAAAATTAATCAACACAATCTATCACTCATTTAAAGGCCAGAAAACTGTCTCCACCTCATCCATTATCATATAAATCTTTTTAAAATGTTCAGGTATGATAAACAATAGTATTGATCTAGCAACGTATTTTAAGAAAGATTTAATTAACTCTTTATTAATTCTATATACGTTATTAAAAACATTTAAGCCATTTGTCTTGTTAAAAAATGGTAAATTTCCAATATAGAAAGTTATTATGGTAATATATTAGTTTTTCTTAATGATCTAATTATTATATGAAAAATATATATTACTAATATGCCAATACAAAATAAGCATGGATAAACATATTCATAAGCAAATTAAATTGATGAATAGAAATATATTATTTCACTGTATTATGATTATATTTCCGAGAAATTCGGTAATTAGCAATAATGTTAAATATCTTTTTCATGATCTTAATTGTTAACCTCGAAATAGTTATTAATTGTAAAATATTACAGAGAATAATTAAGACTTTTATCCTTAGTTTCAGATTCAAAGTGGTTCCTATGGATCATAATTAATTCATATAAATTATGAAATGTAATATCGAAAATAGGACCTCCAAGGCCTAAGAGATAAATTGGCAATCAGTTAAAATAAAAAGCTGCTGGTTAGAATAATGATCGTATTCCATATAGCATAGCATCTCCTCTTGTCTAAACGTATTTTGGGCTCTGATGACTTAAAATCTTGAATTTGTTTCATTTAAAGATTTGTTGTTTCCTAATTTAGAATAATTAATACATTCTGGCACTAAATTATTAGAATTAAATCATTTAAAAATCTATAATTTAAAAAAGAATAGGAAGATTACACACTACTTTATTATTATGTCTAAATAAATTTATTTACAACGTTAGGATAAGAGAACTATAATAGTCATAATTAGAGATTTATAATATTATGATATTCACTAATATTGAGAATTTAAGAATATTTTAATTAAGTTACATATTATTTGAGCATGCTTCAATCATAATAATCCCATACGTTCTCTTCCAGCCATTCCTCATACTTTGAAATAAAATCATGATCTATAGGTTGATTTTATAACTTCTCAAGATAATCATTCTATTTATAGTTAGGCTCAGCATCGTTATAAACGGGAATTGAATCAATTGTATTGTTATAATGGTAATTATTATGATCGAGATGCAACTTTCTAAGCTCCTAATTATATAAACAAAGCATACTTCTTAAGATTAAGTTATATCACAATTGTATATTTTATCTTAGCATTTTTCAAATTTATAGAGAGAATCTAGTAGTTAATCTTGCTTTGATATATTTTTATTTTCATTCTTAGTGTTCTATTTGTATTTACAATAGACTTCTGATATTAATTTCATTGTGTTTCCAAGTTTCAAGTTTTTCTTATTAAAGTTAAGAATTTAAATCTTTAATAATAAATGACTATATTTTTTTATTTTCTTATTTTCTGGAAACATTCCTGGAAATTTTTTTATAGCTAACTAAAATTTAACAATTCCATTACATATTCTTTATAATCGATAAGGTAATTGTTGATTTTATCTGAAAAATTATTACAAGTAATATAAATTAGCTTCACCAAATTACTTACACATTATTCTAATATTTATTATGTATTTAACTGATCATAATCAATTTTTGTAGATGAAATTGATTAAGGATTAAATTTTTCAAAAAACTTTAAGAATACTAACACTCCATTTGCATCTGTTATTAATTAAATTAAGTATGAGCATTGTACTTTACAATTATTTCTCAATTGTTTCAAAAATAGCAATAAGAATTCAGTTATTGCATAATTCAACACAATTCTATGTCTATCAAATTCATCAATCACCTCGTTTTTTTAAGTTCTTAAATCTTATTATTAATTGGATTATTCTTTATATTTAGAATAATCAGCACTAGCTAATTTACTATCATTTAAATCTAAAAATAAAACTACTATATTTACAATATTCTTCCCATTCTCGATGAATATCAACTCCTTGTTAATTGTTAGATACAGATCCTGCTGTTTTGACTAAACCTCTAAGTAACCCAACAACAATTATCTATCCCATTTAATTTTCATCTTAACTTAAAATTAATCTTCTCTTTGAATATTTATTATTTTTACATAGAATTATTCTGTACTCGATGCATTTTTCATAAAGAATTTAGAAGGTTATTTTATTGCTTTTTAATATTCTGACATCTTTAACCAATATTACCCATCAGAAGGCTATTCTTCATTTAATTCAATTTATAATAGGACCAAAAATATTATCATTACTTTCTTTAGAGGAATATAAATAATTTTGAGTGAAAATTTGATTAGTTTAAGTAAAAGGTTCTCAATCACTCACATACATATATATTGATGATTACCTCTGTAACAATTATTTTTCGATTAAATAATTATCAATGTTAAAGTAGCTAAAATCCAGTTCAATACTAATGCTAATTATGAAGGGTATTGATCTTATCTATCTTCATAATTTTGAATAATTTCCATTATTAATTTCAAATCTTCTATTATTTTTGGAATATAAATTTCACTTTGGATAATCGCTTTATGATTTATAGCAATCAACATCTTATCATTTATTGCTAAATATGATTTCATAAATGATAAATATATTTTTGACAATTAATTTAAATCTTTCTTCCTACCAACTTCCATTAAATCAAGAGTTTAATCCAAATCCATTGGGGCTTCTACTTTTTAAAAGTAAAATAATTCAATTTAACTAAAGAGCATACCTAGATTTTAAGCTATCATTTAATATATCTGATTTTTGAAAATTATATAATAATTATGCACTTTTATATTAAAAATTTAAGTATTCACAGATTATTCGTAATGATAATTAGATATTAATAGTAGTTGTATATCATCCTTCTACAAAGTTAAGAATATATCATCTCACTAATTTAAAAATTTCCTTGTTATTTATTATTGTTGTTTTCTCTTGGATTTGAGGATGGTTTAAATTGAAGTTCATAGATAGTATCAAGAATTTTCAAAAACTTTTTTGAAAATTCAAAAAAGCATTTTCTTGAGTTAAAATTTTTATAAATAATACATAATATATTTTAATAAAGCATTCAAAAATTATGTATTTCATTCTTAAATCCTTTATTAATATTTTATGAAACAGAATATAATGTCAAATAAAGTACAGTTTATCGAATAAAACTATACCGAAGGATTATTGTAGGTTCCGGAACATCTCATAGGACAAGTCTCCAAAATCTTATAGGATTAATTTGGATTTACAATTGAAGAAAGAGTTAGATAGCAAACTCCATAATAACAAAAAGTATTGAGATAATAATTAAACTTAATTGTATAAATATTATTGTGTAGCTTCAAGAGATATTGCATACTTAATTAATAAACAACTATTAAATAACAAATAGAAAATATTTAATTGAAAAAACAATTTTCTAAAAAGTTCTGCCTATTTGATCTACATTAATTGTTATATGAAAATTAATTTAGCTAAGAATTTAGAGATGAATTTGAAAATTACTTATGTAATGGTTCAGCTGAAAAAGATCTAAAAGAATCAAGATAGATTACACAAGATTTAAAAAAAGAACTAAAAAAACTAATCAGTTAATTATTACTCGAAGTCTTAAAAGGCAACCCAATTACAAGTTTATTGAAACATCGTTTGAATATAAAAAAGTTTAGCAATTGATATAATATAATATTAAATATGTAATTTCCCCGCATAACATTCATAATGAAATATACTACTTTATTTAGACATACTTTTATGTACCCTCTTTACAATTTAAAACATGTTTTTGATATTCTAAAATTTGTATAGAATTACATCTAATAATTTTATTATGGGCAATTTTTGGTAAAGATGTTACCACGAAGATAATGACGAATAAACAGAAAATAAAGATCCAATTATTGATTCAAACCCTTTATATATTGACTCAAAACCTTTATAGATTGATTCATAACCTAAAGTAGGTCTTATACAATAACATAATTTTGAAGAGATTCAAGATGTTATGATAAATCCCAATCCTATACAGAGATAATTTTAACTAGACTGTATATTTGAGGAATTAATACAAATTTGCAGTTTATAATTTGATTTAAACAAATTATAACCACAGACGTGCCAGAATCCAAAGTTTTGAATGGAAGGG